AAAAAATAATAACGTTTTCTTTATTTTTCCCTCAAAATATGAGCCTTGTAAGGAAGTTTCGGTTTCGGTTTCGGTTTCGGCCGAAATAGACACCGTTGCCGAAATTCGTTTTCGGTTTCGGTTTCGGTCGTAAAACTAGTTTCGGTCGGACACTAAAATCTAATAGACTCGAAGCATAGACATGGCAAAATAGGCATTTTATTAAATATCACGTGAGATTAGGGGGGTGGGGGAGGGGGTCAGGCAAAATCTCACCAAATCTCACCAAGGGGGGCGGGGGGGTTGAAAAATGGCCAAAATTGTCTCACGTAATTTATGGACGCCCCCTTATGAGAAAGCCTTCGATTCGGTCGAGACCTGGGCAGTGCTACAGTCTCTCCAAAGGTGCCAAATTGACCAATAGAATCACGTTAATATAAATTATTATAAATTGTAGCATAATATAACTTAATAACACTTTACCTTTACTTAATTTACCTACATTAATAAAATTAACAACGAGTTCGGACTTCAGAAAATAACTTAATACAAGTTGCTTTACAAAATTTGAAGTTTAAAGGACATTGTCAGAAACCGCCTAAAAAACCGCCCAAAAACATTAACCCATCATAATTATTTTCTATTTTTTTTAATACATTAAGCACCCTTTCATTCTAATGGACACTTAAGCATTGAAAGATTAAATAAGTAAGTCTTTTACCGTTTATTCTTTAATACTATTACAATTTCCGGACGTTTTGGTGCGAGGCATGGTCTAAAACCTATCAAGTTCCATAATTTTTGCCGATAAAATCTGTACGAGGCATTACCGTACTTTATTGCTGGGAGTCCATGTATAGTGATGTTCCTGCGGCCATCATAGACAATATATTTATGTTAATATTTTTTCTATTTATTTATTTTCCCAAAGCTTCACAGTGACAGCTGAAACAGCAATACTGTTAACAAAACAGTAAAACTAAACTTGGAACAAACTGTTACAAATATGAGGGGTTTAATATTTTACAAATTAAAATAAAACCGCATGTTGCTTTACTTTCTCGTATAGGTAATAAATGTAATTAATGGCTAGATTACAACTGTCTACAGTATTTTTGCGCACGGGTTATGCATAGCTTATTTTTATTGCTTTATAACCTAGAAACAAGAATAACAACAAAAAATTGTTCTGAATTTGCTTTTATGTGTAAAAAATAGAAAAATTCATATCAAGGAATGTATGAAACATGAACATAGAGATGATTTAATTTGTTGCTAAATATTTTTTGTTCTTTCTTTCTTTCATTTTTTCTAATTATTAAAACATAACAAACATTCATTTAAGATTCATTCTCACAAGAGAAAAATTAAAATAGAGTCCAAATATTTATTAAAAATGAAAAGTTCTAATTTCCTGTCATGTTCCATAGAAGATTTTTTTCATAAAAATCTAACCCTATCATGCTTTCAGTATACTGGCCTTGGTAACGTCGTTTCTCAAATCCCACTATATTTTGATGAAAGCGTGCCCCTTGTTCTTGCGAATAAGCCCCCATAATTATTTATAAATATATTCCAATGAGAATGTGACGTGCATCTTTAGAGACATTCTACTATGAAGATGGAAAATTCAAATCGCTATAACTTTTTAAAAAGCAAATATTTTCGATATGTAATCGCACTTTTTTATATACATTTGCTTATATAATCAGAATATAATAAGTAAAATCCATGCGCAAAAAAAAAATTGTTTTTTGTTGACCGGTGTTATTAATGTTACTTTGTTACCCTCAATAGTGAGGAAATCTTATAAAATGGTAACCCTGATTTTTATTGTCATTCAAGTGCTCTTTCTTCGCATAGGCTTCTGTGATTTGGCCAAGGGCCACACACATTGCGATAACATTATGCGACATTGATTTGACAGCAGCNCCCATTCTATTATTATATACGATTCGGCTTCGATATCTATAATACAATAGGAGTTTATTTCATGTGTCAGATGACAAGGGTGGAAACAACCTACGATTCATGTTGTTTATTTACGTGCAATATGTGGGCATATTGTAAAAGTGGAATGCCGAGTTGTATTTCTAAAACTTGTTCTATTATTTTATACTATTTGGCTGCGACTCGGCGTGACGACAATACAAAACATTTTTCGCGAATCGGTGTTCATACATTCACACAATACATTAGACGCCATGTTGTCATAAACGACATATTATAAAATCGCTGTGATTTAATATTCTTAATCATTAATTTTATGGCAAGTGTCCATCAGGAATCATTGTTCTTACACACAGAATCGTATTATTTCGCTTTCGGGTAGTAATATGTCAAAATTGTTGGTTCTTTAGGCGAACAATGTATGGAGAACGAACATTGTCCTTTAATCACTGGTTAACTGTAATAAGCAACTATTTTAAAATTAAGTTATCCTGTCCATTATTGAATAGGGGACCAAAGGGTTGGTACGTTTAGGAAACAAACTTTTTAAATTAAAGCGGGTCCGTTGGCGCCACAAGGATATTGGCTTTTTAACATCATAGAGGTTCTCAAAGAGTTAAATTACATTTAACTTACACCCGTATTTATTTATTTATTTATTTAAAGACTTTATTGCACACACAACAATGTTCTGTACAAAAAGGCGAGCTTAATCCCATACGTCATTCTCTACCAGCTGACCTTGAGCAAAACAGAATTATTCACAAACGAAGCAGCAACGCTATGCAAAATCGAACGCACAGCGTTGAATAGAGCTCTTGATTGGTTCGTGTGTGTCACTCTGCCGCGTCTTTCCGTTCTATACATAGCCAGAACGCAAGGGTGTGAAACTAATCGAGTATAGTTTGGAGATGACTTTTTTTACTAAGCTCCTCCAAACTATACACGACCAGTACGCATATGCTGCGTACTGCTCGCGTATACTTTGTAGTGACTTAGGTCAATTATCTTACTCCAAAACATACATCGCCAGTACGCATACGGACTAATCATGTATGTATTGTAATAAGTGCGTGATTACAATTTATATGCGAGTAGTTGCATACTAGTCATTTTGTCTTATTGACCTCTCTTTCTATTACATATTAATTCATATCTGCGTGTCTACTTTAAACATTGAATCATCTTTCGACACGTATTCTGCCATAGAAAAGATATTTGTTTTGGGGCTGATATTTAATTTTCACCAATTCTCGAATAACTCTTTAATTAAGAATTATGTATGTATGGAAATATGTCAAAATGATTTTGTTCTTGAGATAAAAGTTAATAAATAAAATAAATAATAAATAAATATCCTTAGACATTTTACACTGCGCTTCTAGTCCCAAACTAAGCAAAGTTTGTACATAATATTAAGTATTAAACATACATACTTAAATACTTTTTTTTTTTGTACATACTTACTATACATAGAAAACACCCAGTCCAATACAAACAAATATGTTCATGCACACAAATGTTTGTACTGTGCGGGAATCGAACCCGCTACCTCCGGAATAGTAGTCCGTTTCGAACCACTACACCAAACGGCCGATAATACAAACCTAGCATTTAAAGTCTCGCTTAATGTATTAATAATGCACGTTGAACTTTCTTCTCTCACTCTCTCTCATTTTAAATGAATTTATGATTACACTAATAATTGTTATTTAATTTGAAATCTACCTAATCAATTTAATTTCAAAAACCACTTACAATCGTGTTAAAAATCTAGATTTATTATAGATTCAGTAAAATAATAATATTTTATGTAATAATATCGAATAAATGTAATTTTAAATATAATTCCATATTTTACTAATTCAATATCAACTAAACACACTCTAGTCAAGTGTAAGTGGTGTAGTAGAAACTAATCGAGTATAGTTTGGATATGACTTTTTTTACTGAGCTCTTCCAAACTATACACGATCAGTACGCAAAATTCGTGTATAGTTTAGAGTCACAGATTTACAAACGGGCACTACAAAATATACACGAGCAGTTTCCTATGGGTGCGTTCTGGCCATGTATAGAACGGAAAGACGCCACTCTGCCACTCAAATATTGTCTATGAATAGGTTTTTGGGACCCTGTGCATCCACGCGCACTGTGAGACCTCATAGTATTTGTGGATACGGGTATTAGTTATGCACAAAGATTAATCTAAGGTTAGGTAGGTACCTACTTAATATTTGCGGTCTCTAGTATCTGTTGTTCATACTTTGACCTGTACGCAGACCGCATGCAATGTGACTAATCCATTATTTCTTATTTAAAATAGATAAAAAGTTTTTATTATTATTATAATAGCTACGAGTGGTTAGGCATTCATTATTTATAAGAAAGCCAAACCTTTATTATTCGAATGCTTACTTCATCCAATTAAATTTATTTATTTAGAAATTCCTTTAAAATTGCATGTACCTACACGTGCGGGTTTTTATACAGCTTTTAATTAATGTAAGTCTGAGTATTATACTCAAAGAGTCTCTTGTCATAGAAAATTCTTAACTGCTTTAAAATATCATGTTAAATAAAATAAAATATTAGGTAGTGCAAAATGCAAATAGGCTTCGTTATTTATAAAATTAATTATCTGTACAAAAAGAACTTAAGAAAATCGCAGAGACCAAACAGCTCAAGAATAAAATGTTCCCTAAAATAAATCCTAAACTACTTAGGTAATATAATTGTTTGTTCAAGCTTATTGAGTTCGAGAACAACCTCACGGTTGTAGTAATGAAAATATTGTATCGGTGTCATTAAAGTAAAGGACAAGTGGCTTGTCGAACACAACCTTGAGTCCGTCAGTCTCGTGAAACTCGTGATACATAATTATGATCCTTAAGTTTGCTTCCAATAGGTAAACTCAACCTTCAGGGATCTCGTGTCACAATAAAGAATATGATAAGCAGTCACTAACTGCGGAACATAAATCGTATCTGTGAGACCACATTACTCTTGAAGCTATTTTTTATCCTATTCCATCTACTTATACGTCCTTAATTTACTATTATTGTCAACAGTGTACGTCTTCCTTGGAGAACACATTGCGCTGGTAGACTTTGTGAGCGTTCTGCAGAGAAGAGGGCTCTTGGACAAGGGCGAGTATGCCGTGGTAGCAGTCGACGATGAGATCTACGATCCAAGTACTGCAGCCATCACACATGCAGGTATGTCAAATCAAATTAATAGATTTATTTCAGACACTATAGTCCATACGGGACTATTCCCACCTCTCGTTCCCACCACTGCAACTCCTGTGTAGCCAGGATCTACAGCTTGACCGCCACAAAAACCCAACCAATGAAGGTCAAGTTTGTCCCATGGGACACTATAGTCCATACAATAAGGAAAAATATTTAAAAGCCAAAACAGTCTTACATCATAAAAATAAAACTAAAAAAGGAACTATCAATTTTACACATGCAGCCGAACCCACTGCGTGATAAATGGACAGTTTACTCGGCCGGCTACAACGCGCAGAATGTCGTTGGAGCTCCCACGCACACGGCTCAGCATAGAGGCTGCCCTTTTCCGAAGAATGGCATGGAAGCCATCAGTATGTGCTTCGGCAAACATGCCTGACGCGCTGCAGTACCGTGGCAGCCCCAGCAACATCCTGAACGCGTTATTATACTGTACACGCAGGGCGTGTCTTCAGCGTATAGCTTACCCACAGATTACACGCATAGAACGACTGGCAATGTGACTTTGATTGTCAAACGATGCTTGCTTAAGTGAAGCAGCAAATCGAACACACAGCGTTGAATGTGCCCTGTGCGTCCATGCGCACTGTGAGACGCTTGAACACGGGCGATACCTACAACAATCTACTGTGACATGTTCACGTCAAAATTCCAAAAATTTCCTTTGCGGGAAATATTTCGAAGAAGCTTTCTGCAATATCTTGAATGCGTAGCAGTCTAAGGGATGTGATTTTCGATGTTAAATGTAGTGAAACACCACATGATTCTATTATTCTATTAGTAGGTAAGTACTCTGCACTCAGAAGCGCTAAATTTTGTTAGCATTACACGCACTAATTAATTTGTGGCGGGAATCAATCTAGGTACTTACTTACCTACGAGTACAAGTGAAGCATGTCGTAAATTTTATTAAACAAAGTAGATTGCTAGTTTACCTCATTATCTGGGGGCCGCATAAAAAAGTGTCATTAAATGTATAGTAGACTCCAACTAAGAAGAATCCCTCTAAATGGCAATGCCAGATTTTGTATGGAAGGTGGCGTCTTTTTTTTTTCGCGCGGCCATCGACCAAACTTTGTTTTTTAATTACAAAATAGTGCAATAAACCAAACTTACTATGACATGTATACCTCTAAACTCAGTCTGAACTGAGTTACGAACATTAGAAGTTTGATGATTTTACATACTATGTAGATTTGCTTTCTGCGCGCAAGTTGTTTAAGAAATTGTAACAAAATAGTGACATTGTATGTGTAAACAAACAATACCACCCATTATAGGCTCCAGCCATCAATATGGAGCAGAATCAGCGCAATAAAAAAAGACTTCACTATTTTGTTGCAATTTCTTACAAAACTTGCGCCCAAACAGCAAATCTAGTATGAAAATCATCAAACTTCTGATACTCGTAACTCAGTTCAGACTGAGTTTAGAGGTATACATGTCATACTAAGTTTGGTTTATTACACTATTTTGTAATCAAAAAACAAGGTTTGGTCGATGGCCCCGCGAAAAAAAAAGACGCCAATTTCCGGCATTGTCTTTTATTCACAAGTAAATAATTTTATTTACTTGTGAATAATAAACTTGAACAGAAATTATTTTTTAATGCAAAATAAGCCGAGAATAAAATTTAATCTAGGCCGGCACAAAAGGTGCGAATCAAATAAATATCAAGAAGCTTGTTGGATAAAGCTCAGTCAAGCATCATAAACGAGCATTAATATACTTTTATGAAAATTTATTATAAATGTTATGTGCGAGTAAAAAGCCAAATCTTATGATGAATTTTTAAGTATGAATAACTCAGATGATGTTTTTTGTCATAATAATATATTATGTTCAAACGATCAATCTTCATCATTTCGAATATAACCTTCCTTCGGCCGTCCGCGTCGGGGAAAAATATAGACATGGGATTTACGAGGGCTGCACTAAAAGTATCGGGAATAGAATATTTCCACTGTTCCTATCATATTAAAATATTTTTAATTGCAAACTCCTTGGTTTTAAGCATCGAATACCATTTATTTATTTAAAAAACGATTCTCGGTCTTATCACAAGGTCTTGTGAAACTTGTTTAGTCGTTGAGAAAATGGAATTGACTCGAGAAAATTCAAGAGCGATGATTTATTATGACTTTCGGAGTGGTTTAACACAAAAACAGTGTGTTGACCGGATGATTTCTGCATTTGGTAATGAAGCCCCATCCAAAACTATAATTTATCGCTGGTTTGCTGAATTTCAACGTGGACGTGTCAAGCTCAGTGATGGTCCCCGTCAAGGTCGTCCAAAAACTGCAGTCACCCAAGATAACGTTGATGCTGTGCGTAAGCTGATTGAAGAAGATCGACATGTGACATACCGCGAAATTCAGGCAACTTTAGACATTGGCATGAGTCAAATACAAATAATCTTGCATGAACAATTAGGTGTAAAAAAGTTGTTTTCCCGATGGATACCGCATTCGCTCTGTGAAGAGCAAAAAGCGGCTCGCGTTACTTGGTGCGTCAGAACTCTCGGAAGATTACATGCAGGATCCTCAAATGCTGTATACAACATCGTATCAGGTGACGAATCCTGGATATATGCGTACGAACCCTAAACAAAAAACCAGTCACGAGTTTGGGTGTTCGAAAATGAGTTAAAGCCAACAGAAATTGTTCGTTCACGGAGTGTTGCAAATAAAATGGTGGCCACGTTTGTCTCCAAAACCGGCCATGTTGCGACTATTCCTCTTGGGGGACAAAGAACGGTTAATGCAGAATGGTATGCTAGCATTTGTTTGCCACAAGTCGTTTCTGAACTCCGTAAATAGAACTGCAACCGCCGCATCATCTTCCATCACGACAATGCGAGTTCTCACACTGCGTACAGAACAAAAGAGTTTTTAGAGCAAGAAAACATAGAATTATTAGACCATCCGCCGTACAGCCCCGACCTAAGCCCTAATGATTTCGATACTTTCCCTAAAATAAAGAACAAATTGCGTGGTCAGAGATTTTCATCACCTGAAGAAGCTGTGGACGCCTACAAAACGGCCATTTTGGAGACCCAAACTTCCGAATGGAATGGTTGCTTCAATGATTGGTTTCGTGTATGGAAAAATGTGTCAAATTTCGCGGAGAATACTTTAAAAAGCAATAAATACATTTTTAAATAGTAATGTTGTTTCACTTCCTTGATTCCCGAAATTTTCAGTGCCGCCCTCGTACATGCGTTAATAGTGACACGTGCCGTTTGTTTGGTTGCTTCTGAAGCCTTATTGTGTCATTTATTTTCTTTGAACTTTTCCGTTAGCTTCAGTAGGATGTTTTTCCGGCATCAAAATAATATTTAATTTGACTTGGTAATTAATTTTTTGAATAGTAATATTACCGAGCTGAAGTAATTATTGTATTTACATTTGTCCTATAAACAATGGGATGAAACTTCTAATGGAATGATAAATAATTAAAATGATTGTGTATCCAAACACCGAAGTTAAAAGTAGGTACTTACTTTTTATTGGTTCTTATAAAATTATTTGCTTGAAGCTCCGGATATTTTGATTTGCCGAAAATAAAAAAGGCGCATCCCTCGGGATCTGAGTTCTCGGAACAGGAGTAGCCAAATTATAATATTATTGTTTTGAATGTTGCCTAACTAACTATTGAATAAAATAAATATTTAACGAGGGCTACTCACTCAATGTTATTTGACATTCAAAATAAGTTTGACACTTTTTTAGTTTCTGGTATTTTGTAACACAATTTTTTTATCTTTTGCTATATTGTTAGTTACTTCTTAATATTACGGAACTATTTTAAATTACAATTTTAAGAATGGCTATGAGTTGTGATTTAAAAACAACCTCCACATCATTAGTATTTAGCGCTTAATCTAGCTACAGGAAAACTTTGCGGTAAAACTTGTGTCACACATTTCACTAAGTTGAAAATTACTTCTAAGAAATAATTCTTGTTTTTTCAAGACCATTTGGGGCAGAACAGCAGCAACATACTGGCGTTCCGTGCAGTACTTAGACTCACACCTTCGTTTCCTACTAATCCACATTACGAGTAAGTAGTCGTGCCTAAACACATATTATTAGGTATGTGTGTGTTAAGTTACAGTCAAAACTCATAATCGGTCAAAATAACTTTTGACTGCAAAACATTTTATTTAACAGACCCAACAAATTAATTGTCTACATCTTTTGCCAGACGAATACCTGGCCATATTACTGTAGTACTTACTTAAGTTAGGTGTGATCAGTGCTGATTTTTGCAGTCAAAAGTGGTTTTGACCGATTATGAGTTTTGACTGCAACACAATATTATGCTTCCTAAATAATAATATTCTGAATCTAGATTCCTCGATTCTCGATATTCGACTCGACCTTTAAATGCTTATGTTAGGTAACTGTATGTATTTTTAATACAGGATGTTGTGCCAAATGATTCGAGAGCTGTCAGCTGCGCCCCCATTTTGCGTGCCGAACTATCACAAGCTCTTTGAGGATATATCGGTAAGTTTAATTACATTAAATCACGTTATCATTTTTATAAAATTGTGCAGGTAATTTTGTTATGACCTAACTGTTAAGAACTCAGATTTCAGTAGACTAAGGCTGGGTTGCACCACCTAACTTTAACGGTAACTATAACGATAACCGGTGCTTTTTCTATGGAGTTTGACAGATTTTTGACGTTTGTTGTTGTTTGTTTGTTGAAAGTAAGGTGGTAAGACGGTGCAACCCAGCCTTAATGTGAGCATAGTTAGATTAATAAATAGTTTATCTTGTCTTGACTATAAATACCACCCCGAGTTGGTGAATAATAATCAAAATAGCCACTTCTAGTAAACGAACAACTCTTTGTTTTAATACCAACTAATCTGATTTCGTAAAAAAATTCACAGTGAAAGTCCTAAAAGTAATCTAATGATAACTTTATTTCGTTGTCGTCTTTATTAAAACCTTTTTAAGACTAGACTTAGAGACGCGTTAGATTAATAGAGGGTTCAGTGAAAAAAGCGTTTTTACTCAATGCCAACGCGCCAGTTGCTTTGGTCATTTAAAAATGGCCCTGAAAAATGGATGCCATAAAGCTTGGACGTATTTTTAGTCTGTGCACTGAGTCCTCATATATCCCGGTGTATCCTTGTTTCGAAGGTTGCATAAGCGATTAATCTTAATACTTCGTTATAAGTAGGTACGCAGGATGGCACATCAAGTACACACTGTGGCCATATGAGTAAAGAAATTTACTCAAGCGCTGTGACATAAAAATATAGATTCAATGTAAAATAAAAGATTTGCGATTTTGAAACTTCATTTTAGAGAAAGCAGATTTGCCACCAATAATTAGTATTCCGAAGGCATCGCAAAATGCTGGGTCATAATTATATTACGAAGTCCCTTTCCCATTGGCTCCATTCATAAACAAACCAGACTTTAACCTCCATTAATTCAATTTTGGATTACGTAGCTCTTTTCGTTTCAAATCTAGAAGTCATTGTAAAAGAGCAATATTTAATTTAGTCTTCAATTTATAAAATCAGTTAACGAAAGCATCGAAAAACCAACTAATTTATTTTGTTTGTGAAAATGTTTAGTTTGTCTGCGTGTAAGTAATTTATTAAATAAGTATTAATGACGTGAATTTACAAAACTTGAGAAATTTCAGACACGTGCAAAAACTAAACAATTTATTCAGGTATAGAGTAGGTAAGCTTCATCATCATTAAAACTTATTTCATTCACATTACTCAAGGTATTTTACACATACAAGAAACTTTGTATAGTAACTCCCAGCTTTTTGGCTCTATTGTTACATTATTTGCCTAGACGCGTTCTCTACATTAAACATAACCTATGCCTTCCAACACCTTAAATGAAAACATATTGCTCTGAGTTGCAAATTACGAATGAAATTAAGACTAAACGGTCAGACTAAAATTTATTTGCCTATTGAATAAAGCCGTTACCCTCGTCCAACAAGCGATATAGGTCATTAACCGGTACTTTGTTATTAGTCCTGTCCTTTGGAGATATTGATGGTCCTTCTTTGGAGCTGTAGGTTACCTAAACACTATCAATAAAAGTCACAGAGATAGTGTATAATGTAAACAAAGACTCACTAATGATGCTATCAAAAGGAAACATGTTTTAACATGTTAATCATTAGATAGTGACAGTGATATTTTCCGGACTAACATGAATGAAAGATCTGCAACGTCGCAGACTCTAGGCCGTACCCTTCCCACAAAATATCATTAATTATATCCTTTCATAAATTATAAGCTACCTTGTATAATCCTACTAAATAATAGTCGTTCGTAAATAAAGGATCAGAGGCTGGCGCCGTGACCCGAATAATTAAGTATTACTATAATTAAGTATTCTATGTGTTTAACTTAACAATCGTTTCATGAACTCAAAGTTTAAGGCCTCGTTAATTTGAAACTAGGTATTCGTACGCGTGTCGTGGTCAAATATAATTAGCTAAGTAATGAAATATGGTTTAGATTTTATCAGATTTTCAAATTAGGGTGTCAGTAATTTACTTAAAACTAATATTTGAACTATAAGCTCGACCCATTTCATTAGCAAAATTTAAAGGACATTTATTTGGAGGGAAACACTATCATATATCATTAGGTAATTGATTAAATTCTCAGTTTAATGCAATAGGATACCTATAGCTTTACCTCAAAGTAACTAAATAAAATGACATTGATTGATCTCCAACTAAGCAAACCCTATACCTACTTATTTGTATTGAGTCGCTATAAAGTAAATGATGTTAGTACAAAGGGAATTGCTATTAAATAATTACATGGCGCTCACAAAATTGATAGCACTGTCATGATAGGTTGACGACCCCGCATTACTAAAGCATTATCTAGCACTTTGTAGTAATTATGATTGGATCATCTAGATCAGATAATTATAATATTAAAGCACTATAATATCAATTAATTTGTAGTGTCTGACCAACAGTTTTAACTTTTATTTAAGTGGATACATAAATGGTCTTGCGCGTAGATTTGATTACACATTATTATGTAGAGTTAATACTAGAGTCGCCTATAAAATAAACAATAAATAAATGAAACAATAAATGCTTTGACTTTGTAAGTTTCATTTACCCGACCGCCTGCAGAGCGTTTAGTCACAGCATAGGCCAATAATATGTTATTTTGTAGGTGCCAATAGAAGCTGCTCATCTCTACGACGGAGTGACTCTCTGGGCCAGGGCTGCGACGGCAGCAATGCGAGCTGGACTGCAGCCGACAGATGGAGCCACTTTGATGAAGTTGCTCCGACCCACCACCTACCGCTCCGTCCAGGGTTTTGATGTAATTTATTAATTATTGTAACAAAGCTATAATAATTAAAGCATCTTAACATATTGAAGCTTGTACAGACGACAGCACGTCAAGGTAAACATTGAAATCTTATGTCGTTGTGATAGGTGCTACTTTGTAACGAAAATGTATAATCTGAAGTACTATCGACTGTACAACAATAGTAAAACTCATTTAGCTGTGAGGAATTAACAGAAAGCGAAAGCAACGTTAATATTTCACGACAAAAGCTTATTCTTGTCGGCATTGAGTCTCCTAAATTCTCGACAACGCGGCAACGGGCTTACCTAATATTTAGCTTACTCGGAAAGATAAAATGGTTTTAGTTTTGACAACACAAATTACAAGTAAAACTTTGAAATAAATAGATAAATGTTTGTTTACCAGGTAAAAATGGACAACAGCGGAGACGCCGAGGGTAACTTCACAGTCATCGGCCTAGTCGCTGACGAGAGCGCGCCAGGAGGGTGGAGTGCGCAACCAGTCGCTACATTCCGCTACGCCAATACTTCTGACGTGTTACCAGTATGTATTATTAGATTTTTTCAAGATGAAGGATAAAATAAACAAGAATACTATCAAAAAGCTGTAGGTAAAACATTAAGCACAAAGCAAAAAGCCCTATTCATAACAACATTCATGCAAGTTTTCAGTACCCAATTACTGAAAGTTTAAGGCTATCTTGAATGTAGATAAGATTAGACACCGACCCGCGTCACCTGAAACTTTATACTTAGCAACTTTTATTGTCAGGAACTTTAAGAATTAGGTTGGCACTAAGGTCGAAAGCTGAATGTAGGTATACCTATACATTTTCCAAAAAAGCAAAAAATAATAAAAGCGATACCAAGTAAAGCAAAAATAAAACAAAAGACATTATGTAGCGATGATAAGAAACATTATTCTGTTTTAAAAGGAATTGGTAGGCGCCAGCAAGATAGCTTGGATCGGGGGTCAGCCTCCTGTAGCAGAACCAGCGTGTGGCTTCAATGGTGCCAAGTGTGCCAACCCCAAGGAGCCTGGAGTCCTCACGGTGGTAGCCGCGACCGCAGTCGCAGCGGCCGCCATGTTGGCTGCTGCCCTCTTCGCTCGCCACTACAGATACGAGCAGAAGCTTGCTTCGGTCTTGTGGAGGATCGAAGCAAAGGACTTGACTTTCATATCGACGTGCAGTAACGATAAGGTGAGAGACGTGTAATTAGACCTGTAACGTTACCTTAATTTATTCTGGGTGCTTAATGTGAGTTTATATCAAACGTCGTCACTAGCGAGCGCGTTAAAGAAATACACTGGTCATCACAAAAATCGGCCCACCTACTTTTTACAGGAAAACTCGTTTCTACTGACACAATTATGGTGCCCCAACAATATTGGTGTTATTTGAAAGCCCAATAAATAATCCTTATAGAAAAACACATTTAATTTCTTAATAAACGATTAACATATACAATAAACGCGACTTGAAAAAAGACCTCACTCTGGGCTCACCTCTACTGTTTGACGTAAACTCACACTACGCCCTCTGTTTCAAATGTCACAAGACTCTGAAATACGATATCAAGGGCATCTGCTGCTTAATTAGTATTCACGTGGCAGTATACAAATAACAAAATTGAATATCAACATGTATGCCGTTCAGTTGTTTTTTGATGATAGCCAATACATTTTCGCTGTCATCAAAAAAATCAACAGTGGCCTTTAGGGTAATAATTCAAATTTTAATAAAACGATCTCCAAAAATAGAAACTTGCCAAATTTTGGTCTCGAAGCGCTGGTAGGGAAAAAAGATTATGAGACATATTATTATGAAGGCTCCATAAGAGTAAAACTTTTAAAGTATTTATTTTTTTCAATTAGTATTTTTTTTTCTTAATATTTGACGATTTGTAAGCACTATTTTTAATAGTTTAAGCAACTAAAGGAATTGTTACTTTGACTTTAGAGACATAAATACTTACGAATCAATGAATTTATTGAGACAGAGTTAGTAAATAATAATATAAAGTTCATAATGGTACTCCATATACACTCACTCACCTTAATTGCTGATGTATCATTAGTATACACTTACACGTGTACATTACATCAGAGTGAATGAGCATTTTGATTACGAAAACATTTCAAATACCTACCAGTAATATTCGTATCTCGTGACATAAAATAATTTGACGAACAATATACATCGATACGTGTTTCAGATCAATACTAAAAATATCAATAATATTAATAATACTAAGTACTAAATATTATATTTACATAGACGAACTGTAATAGAGAACTCACTTAATTATCCAATACCGATATTTCTCTATTGTAATTAAAAACTGTAAACGAAATAAAACAGCTAGTAGCTATGGAACTACTGCATTTGTTTTCGTCAGGAAAATAAGTACTTGAATTTGTATACCCACCAGCCACGGGGGCAGCTAGTGGAGCAGCTTTCTGGGGTTCTTCCTGCTTTCTGCCCTTCTAGGCAGGGCCTACCCACTAAAAACCTGGCGTTGCCCTTGGTAAGCCACGACCTGGTAAAGTAGAAGCAGGCCGCTACCAACAGGGCGATTTGGAAGTCATTGGGGGAGGCCTATGTTCAGCAGTGGACGTTGTGTGGCTGAAATGATGACGATGATGATGATTCGTCCGCGTTCCGTCCACCCGTGGCCCGTCAGTAGCTGGGTCATCTGGTAGGTTAGACCAGCGGTTCCCGAATGGTGGTCCGCGGAACCCTGGGGTTCCGTGGAAAGGCCGCAAGGGTTCCGTAAAAAATATTATCCCATGTTTCGTGACCGACGTTGTTCGCTCGCACCGACTCGTTTACGCACAAGGGAGGGGCAGGGCGTGCGGACGGAGTAGTACGGGGGTTCCGCTAGGAAAAGTATAATCAATTAGGGTTCCTTGGCAAAAAAAAATTGGGAAGCCCTGGGTTAGACGACCATGCCGACGTCGTAGCCACTACGCTAGGACAGGCAGAAATTCCTGCACTAACGGCCAAGCCTCTCCAGCACATGGAATTACCGCCTTTGACTTAGTATCTTGTTTCCACCCAAGTTAAGTATATGCAGATGGATAATGTAAATGTGCTGCAACATCAAAAGACTTGATTCAAATTGGCCCATCTGCATGAGAGAACAGAGAAAAAAAATATCAAAAAATTCAAATGAATAAAAATCAAGGTTTGTGATAATTAATTGCCTACAGAAGAACATAAATATGTCAGTCACCTTTGATCAATAAGTATTTTTGTAAGGGTCTGAAATTAAATTCTATATATCATTTTTATTTATATAAGCACGATATATTTCATGAAATATCACGAAAGTTCCCCTAAATTTAGGATCTCCGAGGATTTAATATTGTCATGCCAGGTAGACATACCATTTTATCACTTAACGCATGAATGATTTGATGGGATCTTGCTAACGAATTTCTTTATTCGTTTTTATGAGTAGAGGGTTTTTTTACGAGGCAATGTTTTAATAAAGCTGTAAAAAAATGTTTGAGGTCTTGTGACATAGGTACTTGAGAAAATAGAGCAGCAGTAGTAGATTTACCAAACCCTTAAAATTTAATTGATATTGCAAATATTTTAATTCCTTTTTGAGGTCTGATACTTAGGCTGGGTTGCACCATCAAATTAAATCAAATCAAATTCGTTTATTTGTGGAACATAGGTAAATAACATATTACAGGTGTTAAAAATTAAGTCGGTATCACTATGTTTGGCCCGAGGTCGGCGTACTTTACATAACATCATTGAGTCGTATTAGGTTAGTAGAAATTAAATAAAATAAAAAGTAAGTTAGTAATGTCCAATCAGTAACAATTTCATAAACATTTACATCTTACTTCAACTTTGACAAACGTCAAAAATCTGTCAAACTCCATACAAAAAGCACCGGTTATCGTCATAGTTACCGTTAAATTTAGGTGGTGCAACTCAGCCATACTCTCTTCTGAAAAAGACACTGGCAGTTCAGGCTCTGTTTTTTTTTTAATCATAATTAAAAATAATTTAGCAAAATTTATTGAAGCCGATTACGCGAATTCGAGACATTATACAGATGACGTTTATTATTGTGCCGTACTGCTGCTACAGTGGTTTATGCCCAATTTTTTTGATGATTAAATTATAGGTCAAAAGCGATTGCTAGATATATGAATGACTCTTAATATCTGTCTAGTACATGCACGTAAATTAGATTAACGAAATTTAACCATTAATTAACTAAAGCCTCGAGCGAGTCTATTCCACGATGTCATATAACAACAATATTTCAGTGTCTAGGTCACCTTTACTTGTAGCCTTTCCTTTTGGACTCATATTCAGGCGTCTAGATGAACCTATCCGTTTATTTATTTTATTATTACCTGTCCGTTTATTTTGTAGTTAGTTAATTACTATTAAATATTACTAAACTAATTACGAACATTATTCTGTTCGTAGAATTATTTTATTAACACTTCGTAGTGACGGCAAGGCAAATTAATTAGAAAATTAAGTTTATCTAGTAATCAAGATTACTACAAGATTTTACAGACAGTAAACAAATAAGTACATACTCATCCCACTAAAATTAATTCCTTTAATTAAAAATACGTCGTAGAAAAAAAACATTTTCTGCAAAAATAATGTTCAAGCACAGAATAAATAATAGTATGGTTCAAGTAGCTTTGTCCCATTTCAGGGCTATCAATGCCATGAAACAAAATGAGTAAGGCTTTTCAGTAGACACCAGTCGATCATTTCACTGCATTTACTTCCTATTTAAGATCTACTCATAATCAAAATCCATAAGAAAAACATAAGTTTGGAAGACCAACGAATGCTGTAGCGATTTTTTTCCACTGCCTCGTAATTTCAAAAGTTCTGTTTTAAAAAACAGCGTTTGTCCGGACAACGGCATTCGAAACTAGGGGTACCCATTTCCATTGGTATGTAACACAAAATTTTTGTTACAGCCAATAACAGCTCAAGAAGATGACACCCGGCGCGCTCATACCACTATTGCGCTTTGCCGCGGAAACATAGTGGCTGTAAAGCGACTTCGGAAGAAGAGCATCGACGTCACAAGGGCCATCAAGAAAGAGTTAAAGCAGGTATGTTTCAAGCTTAAAAGCGGGTCAGACTCACATTTAAAAAGTTTCGTAGCAACAATACCACTATAGCTCTAGGTCGCGGCAACATAGTGGCTGTGAAGTGGCTTCGGAAGAAGAGCATTGACGTTACGAGGGCCATCAAGAAAGAGCTAAAACAGGTATGTTTAAAGCTTAATATACTATGCTTCAAAACAGTTAAAAGCTGGTCAGACTTGTATTAAAGAGTTTTGTAGCAACAATACCACTATAGCTAGTCGTCGCTGCTTCGGAAATAGAGCATTGACGTTACGAGGGCAATCAAGAATGAGGTAGCTGGTAATAGTTCTCAAACAAAATGATATATTTTTATCAGTATTGAACACACTAATATTTGATATTTAGAAAAAAAGCTATGAAATTAAGGTCCAGTTCCAGTTCCACTAAGGCGGAGCGGAGCAGAGCAGAGATGTGTTTTGAATAACCAATCAGGTTTCATTCCGCAATCGCTCCGCTTCGGTGGAAATGGATCGAGCTGTGCGGAACGGAGAGAGGTTGAAAGTATGAAATCTGATTTGTTATTCAAAACACTTTTCTGCTCCACTTTGCTCTGCCTTGGTGGAAACCGGGCCTAATACACACTTTGTAGATTCACGTCGTACATACGGTTATGGTTCAAAAGATTTAGGGATTTATATTAGCCCTGTGAGCCGACTAGAATCTAGATATATTTTTGACGTGGATAAATAGGAGCCTTAGTAACAGGGTTCTCTTTAAAGCCCTCAAATGGTCCTGAAAGTTAAAATCTGTAACAGAATCTGATCTTTGAATTTTGAGATATCTCGCCTTAAGGTACTTTTCTATTTATAAGAGTTGTAAACTTCGTTCTGGGGGTCTACTGGACAAAAGATTTCTGTGAATCGCCGCTATTAATCTCTCTGCCATACCCCTGTCAGAGAGCGGGAGAGAGACATTTAAAGATCGGAATAAAATTGAAATCAGTTTCCGAAGTAAAATAGAAGGTACCAACTGGGTAGGTACTTATATGGGATGTCAAACTTTCATATCGTGAATTATTTGGAACTGAACACAAAGTTTTAGCAATTACTGCTCAACAGTATTCTTATATTCTTTTTTCATCTTGAGAAGTTGTAGTGCTGAGTGTTCTACAATCACTCTTTGAAGTAGGTAAATGACCCGTCCGAGAGTAGGTACGGCTAACCTACATTGAGTGTTGATTGGGAAACGCATCCAGGGTTTCAATTAACATTAATGGTGTACTTAGAACTAGTAGAACTTGGACCCAAGGCTGAAAGTTGAATGAAACAAACTAACTACTCAATTACTACTGTTGTGTAACGCCTAGGAACGACGCCTCGAAAACTTTGTTAAGTACAAATTAATTAAGTAAATGAATACCCTTGTGACACGATGTTTTTTACTTCTGGTACAACTTTGCCGGTATATTTCTTATGAATGACTTAATTACATGTTCTAGAATACCAAATTTCATAAGGGATATGTTTTTTGAGCAAATAGCAGTTTTGGAGTTAAATTATGCATTACTTCCTTTAAATGTTCATAATATTTCAGCTTGAAAATTCCTGGATTTTTTCATTCGCAACTCATTTTAAACTTTGTACAATTTAGATGGAATTTTTTGAAAGCGAGACGACACTGAAATATTACACCCTTTGAACAATTTGTAAAATACTGTCCATTTTCGTTTGTTAATGTCATAGTTTTATTAAAACTGAGAGAGAGTAGATAAATTGAACTTTTACATGATGTTGAGAGCCATTTTGTACTGCATTACGTAAAATGAAAGCAATGTGTAGTTAGCACGTGTTATTTGACATTTGTGTTTGGCAGTGATGTTTAAAGTTATAATATCATGTAATATAAACATTTTAACAACATAACTTTATTGGACTACATCAGTTCGTAGCCTAACCAAAAGTTAATGTTGTCAATTTTCTAGGTAGTAGCGTAACTTTTGCAACAAAATTTGTGACTAAATAACTAAACTTCGTATAATAGTCTAAATGAAGAAAATTGTTGGATATCAACTAGATAAATAATAAAGTTTGAGGCAAGGATTTTCAGAAAATATTACAAGGACATCTTGTAAATAAATTATATCTCATCTGGTCGGTCACAACATCTTCTAAATTGACCAGCTTATTTCAATGCTAACACCTGAGACGGTAAAAAATATAATCCTTAATGAAGAAACCAATAAAGATCCCGACATCTCAGTCTTCTAACTGGAAACGGAAGCTGGGAGCGGAAGCAGTGAGGAAGTAATTAATTAACAGAGGTAAATAACCAACAAGACTTGGTACCAATGCGTCTTTGATTAATGCCTCTTCCTTTAGTCAAGCATTTTGAAATTCATTAACGGTTCTCAATGGCTGACGATTGGATCGTTGTTGAACGTAACATATTTACGATGAGACAATACAATTCAGAAGGGAAAATTAAAATACCAGTGTTGTTTACAAAAGGAAAATATTTTACGTATTTCCTACCCACGCTACCGACATCAAAGATGTGTCATATACTTGGAAAACCGCATGTTTTCTATGGCCCTGAAAAAACGGGACACGAGCAAGTTCAGTAAGGGCAACTGACCCGGACTATCTTTGTCAATTAAGCTTACGCTTTAATTAACTACTTCCATTAAATAGGAATAAGAGTCAACAGCCTCAGCCAGAATAAAATCAACCTATACAAATGCGACACTCATAGACCAGGGATGTTAAGGATATGAAGTTTCGGTTACGGTTACGGATATGAAATCATTTCGGATTGTCAGAAAGTTTCGGATAATTTCGGTTACGGATATTAGAATTTTAAAAATGTAAAATTCAAATAGCAAGATGCTAGGCGACCCACATAGCCACTTTATGTACTATTCTATGACGACACCTAGGATAAAAGTAAAACAGGCGGGTATATTAGGTGGTACCAGTGGGAATGCCAGAAAAAATATTAAAATTTTGACTCCGCCTTTATCCGAAACTATACGAAACTTTTGAATCGGTTTCGGTTACGGATATTTTTTTATTTCGGATATCGGATGGTTTCGGTTACGGTTACGGATATCCATAACATCATTGTCATAGACACGACCTTCAGACGTTTGAGAAGCCCTGATTAAGATTGTGATTCCAAAATTTTCCCTCACATTCGCAATCATGTCGCCGAGTTGGCGACGTCGATAGACATAAAACTCCCCCTGATTTCAGAATAGAGATTTTGTTACACTTTCGTTAAATAGCGTTCTTGACCTTTGATGTGGGATAAGGTTGTAGTCCGTGATCCTATTTCGAAATCGAGAGTCGGATAGTTTCAGAAACTATTATATCTTTTTGAGTGGTAGCATGGGAACAGTAAAAATTTGGTCACTAAAAAAACTAAAGGGGGTTATTATAAATTAGTTTATTTTATTGAACAACTTAGTTGGACATAGCTTGAACTTATTAATGTTATCATAAAGGTATTTCGGATAACCTAGTTCGAAGTGGGTAAAATAATAAGCTACTTAGGTACATGACTTCAGTCCCACACAAATGTACAGTCGCGGAATGAAAAGGTTCGTCAGTTTTCAAATTGATTCCTTCAACGAATCGCGAGCACATTTATTACCTTTTGAAACTATGTTACAGAATAATCTCGAGATAGACAAAATAATCTTTAACTGTTAGTCAGTAAAGTTCAAAATTATTCAGATTAAAGTTGTTTGACATTTATCTTGTCAAGAAAATTTTTATGATTGATAAACTAAAACCTTCTTGTTGGTTCAACCTGCCATTATTATTTCTATTAACTAAATAAAAAAAATACATTTTGTAACATTGCACTGATGGGACAGAAAAATAAGCAAAACCTTCTTCGTTAGCAAACGTCACATTTATTTAAATGTTAGCAGCACTGTTTCTTGCACTGGTATGTTGGCAGGTTTGACTCTTACAGTACCTAGTGCAAGCGAAAACCGACACTAAGGTGACGAACCTTTTCATTCCGCGACTGTACAACATACATTTCAGTCCCAATTACCTGCTTATTCTGATAAAAGTTATAATAACTTGTTTTGTCAGATCTAGGTTCTTAGATAATTATTATTATGTACCGAGTACAGACTACAGCCTATTAAGATAGACATTGACATTTAATGTTGTTGTAATATTATGCTATTTTGTAACAAAAATGTAGAGTTTAAATGGTGTTGACTGTAAGCTTTTTCCTATAAGCGATCATTTCGCTCTCACAGTGCTTAGAATTTAGTATTATTATCTGGGGGCACGGCAGTGCCCCCGCCAAGTCGAGCGCGAAGCAAACACTGCCGTACCATCCTTTACTGGAACCATTTCGCCGCATTTTCAGGCCTCTATTTGAGAACCTTTAGATAAGACCAGAACGCAGAAATTTCGTCATCTAGTAAGCTATAATCACACACTTAAAATCCAAAATTTCAAGTCTGTAGGTCAATTAGTTCCGAAGTTAAGCGAAAGCAAAGTTTCGCATTTATGACACTCACTCACTCACTGATGATCATCAAAATAGAACTAGTACTTCCCATTAACTCAGAGAGCTGAAATTTGGTACAGAGTTAGGGTTTAATGGCCACATAAAGGGAAAACTATAAAAACTAGGAAAATCGAAGATCTGGAGTAACACCACATTCATAATAATCAATACTACTAGCGCCACACCGGCGCCGTGGTGTTCGCCTGTACCGCTCACCGCTAGATGGCGCTAGCACTTTGAGCGTCGATTTTCTGCACCGCGGTGTCCAGATTTTTTTTCCCCTCTAGTTATTATTAAATCAATTCTGATTCGTTGTCCTTTTTAAAGATGTGTTTAATATCGTAAAAAAAATGACGATAATATTAAAGGACGACGACGTTAAATAATTATGCCACATTCTACAAAAAGAAGTGAAATCCCACCAAAAACATTCTGTAAAAAACTAGCCAAGTCTCGATGGAGCTGCTTGTTTATCTCTAAAAAGTAATGAAATCTAGACAAAGTCGTGCCAAGTCTATGGTTCTTTACTGCAATTTCTTTTTTATTATAGTTAATGTCAACGGCCAAGTCACACAGACTTGGCCGTTGAACAATCTTTATTAAGATAATCAATAATTATGCATAAGTATTATTGAAATACGCAGCTTTATTAAGCCTACAATTCACTGGTTATTAAATCAACGTTTTCCAAGTGGCAATTTTCCATCGTCAATGGGTAGTGGTTCTGGCAACAGATTGGTGCAATGGTGTCATGGAGCACCTGGTTTTGTACCCTTCAACGGCCAAGTCACACAACATTAACTATAATAAAAAAGAAATCGCAGTAAAGAACCATAGACTTGGCACGACTTTGTCTAGATTTCATTACTTTTTAGAGATAAACAAGCAGCTCCATCGAGACTTGGCTAGTTTTTTACAGAATGTTTTTGGTGGGATTTTATTTACCTGAACATGTTGATATGACTACGAGCACTTTTCTTAGATACGGGAGCTCCGCCACGAGAATCTTACCGCCTTCGTCGGCGTGTGCGTCGAAAGTGGCGCTGCCTGCATCGTCTCAGCGTACTGCTCCCGTGGCTCCCTTGCCCGTGTCCTGGCCGACAGAGACTTGCACCTTGATGACATGTTCGTGGCTAGCCTGGTCGCGGACTTACTCCGAGGCTTGACATACCTGCACGACTCCGCACTGATTTCCCATGGGAACCTGACCTCGAGCAACTGCTTGGTCGACAGCCGGTGGGTGCTACAGATCTGCGATTATGGACTTCATAACTTGAAGAGTAAGTTTCTTTTTAGCTTAGGCTCGATTCGACCAAACTTTTATCGGAGAATAACTCCTGGTATAACGGGAAAATTGACAGTTTCAATATGGGAAATATGTAAAAATGTCGAATAACTGACGATTTATTCTGATATTAATATTTACTCTTGTTTGGTCGAATCCACCCTTAGTACCTAATGTTGAATGTGTTACTTTTTTATCAATTTGTTGAGCGTCAAGGATTTGAGCGATAAGTTTGATTTAGGATTTGAAGGAGCTTTTTGTATGTCTTTCGTCCTAAAATCCTTTCATAGAATACGTGTCTTTTGACGAAAGCAAATTGCTTTATCATACTCAATTTATGTCAGAGGTAAATAAACCTATCACCGCAGGAAATGATCGCGTTTGGAATATAAAACTTCAATTTATTGGGAAAACATAAACTGGGTTGATGAGCTGAATGACCAAAGGGAAAGTTATTTTTGTGTCATCTTTATAACGCTAAAAATAAGGTGTTGCGAAGGAAACAAATTGGGAAGGGTTTCATATTCGGATAGAAAGCGTAATATATTTTGGTCAGGACGATACAATTCAATCAACATCCTACCCTCATTGAATTGCACGTTTGCGTGTTATAGCCTGACCAGGAACATAAAAACCCTGGCATAGAGGCGCGTCAATTGCATTTGATAGTGCAACACTGAGTACAGTCGTACCTGTGTTAAATTAATAGGCTAACTTTATGTATCAGGATTCAGGATTACGGGCTAATTTGATATTTTCATAAATTAACAAAGAAATATTATTATAGGTAACCTGATTTAAATAAATTAAATGAAACCATCAATCGAGCTAGTAGGATTTATTTTATTATTCATCAATAATCAAATTCAGAACTTGAATATTCAACTGCAATGTCTGCTCATGAACGCTTCAAACTCGGTACTTCTTTCCCAATTCCATAAAATTCAACACTTAGAAAGTGACAAAAAACTTTAAAATAGGTAGTTGAAACAAACCACAGCTAATTTTCATAGTGGACTGTACTATACGATAAACATGTCAGTCAATTTGACAACCTTTGTCTGAAACATTATTCAATGAAAATATTGTCCGAACCCTTAGTATTTCTCTTCGACAAATACTTTAACACTTTTTGAACCACTTTTCTTTCACGACTATAAAAAGATTTTAGCAATATAATTCACAAAATCAATAGCGCACATTTAAAATAAAGTTTGTTTACACTTTGACAGCAATAGACTGACATGCAAGGTGACATGTCAATGAAGTTTTCAGTAACTGTTGCCATTAAAAGAAATTAGTACCATTAGTTTTCCGCAACATGGCGAGGGTTTTTATGTTCCTGGCCGGGCTATAGGTACCAGTAAAACATTAGGGAGGAGGAAATAAATTGATACATAAAAATGTATGCTGCAAACAACATACATACTTTCAGTGCACGTAATTTGGATTACGCATCGAGATGAAAAGGGCATAATAATGGCCATGTCCAAATCTGACCGGTTTTATCGCAAACGGACCTATTCTCGCGAACGATATTGCAGCCTGGGCACGTAAAGATTAGCACGACATTGTCATAAAAATATTTTTAGTGCGAAATGGTCGAATGGTTAGATTTTGATGGAGCTGGGTCTATCAACCCATTACCCCTGGGTATAATTGAGATGAGATTTTGGTACACTGAGTTTTCAACTACAATTTGTAGTTCGATTTAAAATTATGTTTCTTTTAAGCATTAAAGTCTGTGATAATTCATTGTTCCGCGACAGTGAGTCGGGTTTTTGAGGTTGTGTGTGATTTCAGACATATTATTATGTTATTCATTCATTAAAAATGTTGTTCATTATTTCAAATTATAATTTCTTCTTTAATAAAGAGCTTCCTCAACTCCGATATGGTTTCATTAAACAAATAAACAACTTGGATAAGAGAAAGGCATATATGCCAACATTATTGAGATTCAAACCTTTTGCTCGCATTAAGCCATTTCGTCAGATATATTTATGGACAATAAAGCATCTGGGGGCTATTTCTTCTTATAGTAATGCCCCATAAAGCCCACGCTTTTACTGTAGGCTTCGGAGTGTTAATGATAACGATCCAGCTGCGTTTGTTTGGCAATAAACGAATAGTGGTTATTTAATACGTCCAAAAAATAGTGGTCCATTATGATGACCGAAAGTTTGTTTCATAATGCGACTACAAAAAATTGAGTCAATTTAGATGACAGAAACTGCCGTAAGAAACGACTTACTGCGGTTGTAAACGAGTTTAAAATTTTATATCAGATTACAAGTTTGATGGAGCTATAACTGTCCAGCCAAAAAATAAGGGTAAATTGAGAGAAAAAATGCCGCTTCAAAATATTTTTAAATTGCAACAGCATCCAATCAATTTGAATTCCAATAGTTATTTATGGACGAAATATATCAAAAGGGCGATGATTAATGACACTGCAAATAAAAGATAGGTGTTTCATATTATTAAAAAATATGATTTGTTGTTTTAAACAATTTGTAAGTATTGCATATTGTACGTACGTTTGCGGTTTGAATCGTATCTACTAGGTAACATATTTAGGTCGCATGATCGCATCACAACATGTCAGTTCGGTTTCACATTAAACCAAGGTCGAATCAGATAATAATATGATTATTGGAACATTGTTAATTAAGTAGGTGAATGAACTGTTTGAACTTTGAACTATCACACAAATACATTTATTACCCCAAACTGAGCAAAGCTTCTACCACTACTTGTTAAGGGATAAATACGATAGTACCTTAATAATTATATTACATTATGTGATAACGTCAATCATGTGTTCGGATAATATCCCTAATCCCTATGTTAATGAACACTTTCGTTTTAATACAGATTTTGTAATAATTTATAATTATTAGCAATGGCAAAGATTTACAAATTACAAAAGACAATGCCGGAAATTGGCGTCTTTTTTTTTCGCGCGGCCATCGACCAAACCATGTTTTTTGGTTACAAAATAGTGTGATAAACCAAACTTACTATGACATGTATACCTCTAAACTCAGTCTGAACTGAGTTACGAGCATTAGAAGTTTGATGATTTACATACTAGATTTGCTTTTTGCGCGCAAGTTTTGTAAGAAATTGCAACAAAATAGTGACGTCTTTTTTTATTGCGCTGATTCTGCTCCACACTGATGGCTGGAGCCTATAATGGATGATATTGTTTGTTTACACATACAATGTCACTGTTTTGTTGCAATTTCTTACAAAACTTGCGTGCGGAAAGCAAATCTAGTATGTAAAATCATCAAACTTCTAATGCTCGTAACTCAGTTCAGACTGAGTTTAGAGGTAGGTATACATGTCATAGTAAGTTTGGTTTATCACACTATTTTGTAATAAAAAAATAAGGTTTGGTCGATGGCCGCGCGAAAAAAAAAAGACGCCACCTTCCATACAAAATCTGGCATTGCCATTTCCGTAGGCGGTTGTGCTGACGCGGAAGACGCTCTGCGCATGGAGAGACGTATGCTGTGGAGGGCACCGGAATTCCTGAGGGACCCGAACCCACCTCCCAGAGGTTCCCAGAAGGGGGATGTGTACTCCTTTGGAATTATACTGTATGAGATTTTGGGAAGGAATGGACCTTGGGGCGACACAAGCCTTACGAATGCTGGTAAGTGAGTTTTTATTACTTACTTCCAAACTTTATCATACTAACGGTGAATTTCCCTTGGGGCTAGTAGAGCCTAAGTAAAGTTTGAAATTTTAAAATAACATTAACAGTGAAGCAAGGACAGGGTTACACGTGGTTACACTCTTTGATTAACTTGTTCCGCAGTCTATGAAACTTTCAGTACAGTTTTGGCCTACAATTAACAATTATTATACAATAGCTAAATAAAAAACGTCTAACAACTTACAGGAATACATAAAATAATATTTAATTACCTTCATAAGAAACCGTAAATATTTGAGAATAATTTAGTTACACACTGGAATGTGTAACGAGGTAATTTGATTAAAAATTTCTTTGTTCCTTTAGTAAAATTCAGTGAATATATTTTTAGCAAACACAATATCGTAACCTATCTACGAAAATTCACGTTAACTTCAGTTTTTATACTGTTTTAGAAATAATAGGCAGAGTCCGCCAGCCGATCGGTGGAATACTGTTTCGGCCTCCACTGGGCGGTTTGGCAGCACGACCCTCGGTTCTAGCTGTTCTGAATGCCTGCTGGAGCGAGCGACCTGATAGACGACCGGACTTGCGTTTGGTGAGGCTGAGGCTAAAGGACATGCATGCTGGCATGTAAGTCAACTCAACATTTATCTACACTAGAGACACTACAGAAGATTATAGGTCCCTCTCACCCAAGCACTTGATTCACTTTATGGATAGGATTTTTGCGGATGAGAGATAAAGGTGAAAGGAAGCATAAAAGATCCCAATGGGTCGACGTGCACTGCGGTCATGCGCGGCCCTAAATAAGATAAGATTCTACACTAATATTATAAAGAGGACAGATTGATTGTATTGAATAGGCTCCAAAACTACTTGACCGATTTAAAAAAAAGTAGGTATTTCACTATTAGAATCTTATATTATTTCTGATGTGCATAGGCGGTAGGTACAAAGGTCGCCGGATCAGCTAGTCTTTCAGATATGAACTTTATATTAGTTTTGAACACGTGCCAAGAAATTCCAAGGGACCAAAACATGCCAAAACTCACTGTTTACAGTAACAGTTACAGATAGATAACAATTAGAATACCCAATTCAAAGTTTTGGCGTAACTACCCATACCCACCCAAGAACAATATCGGCAAACAATTATATGTGGGGCAAACAGATATTCAAATACAATTAATCATCTGCGATCTAGTTATATGAAGTTGGAATTAGTGTTATGAACAGCTTTTGGGTAACCATTCATGAAATTGTACGAATGAATTGCTTGAATCAGTAGGTAGATATAGTCATTTAAAAAAAAAACTTCCCTTGACGCTACTTTACGGAACATCAGCGTAAATTAACTTCCTTTTAATGCTTTCCGTTAGACGTACTGTTTACTTAAGTAATTCTCTTAATCAGAAACAAGCCTTTGCCTTCCAGAAATGTTGGTTTCTCATCCCAACTAATATTATAAATGCGAAAGTAACTCTGTCTGTCTGTCTGTCTGTCTGTCTGTCTGTCTGTCTGTCTGTTACGCTTTCCCGCTTAAACCTCGCAACCGATTTTGATGAAATTTGGCATAGAGATAGTTTGAGTCCCGGGAAAGAACATAGGATAGTTTTTATCCCGGTTTTTGAAACAGGGACGCGCGCGATAAAGTTTTTCTGTGACAGACAAAATTCCACGCGGGCGAAGCCGCGGGCGGAAAGCTAGTAAATAATAAATACGTTAGCGCAACTCTTGAAAACTCAATTTAGTCTTGAGACAATAGTACTTTAGCTAAACCTGTTCTTTGATGTGGTAACTCATTTTGAAAGTAAAAGAAGCGAAACGAAAATACATGATTTATATGCTTTGTCTATACAGGAAGACAAACATATTCGACAATATGCTGTCCATGATGGAAAAGTACGCGTCCAACTTAGAAGCACTACTCGCTGCCAGGACTAAGCAACTATTGGAAGAAAAACGAAGGACAGACGACCTTCTCAACAGGATGTTGCCAAGGTAAATCAAAGTCAAAATTCCATTTTTTGCATGGACTATTAAAAATAGTGCTCACAAATCGTCAAATCTACACTAATATTATAAAGAGGTAAAGTTTGTGTGTTTGTATTTTAATGTTAAATTGTAAGGGGTAATCTCGGGATCTACTGAACCGATTTTAAAAATTCTTTCATCAATAGAAAGCCACATTATTGCTGAGTGTCATATCTTATATAAAAAACAGAAAAATTCCACGCGGGCGAAGCCGCGGGCGGAAAGGTAGTATTAAAATAAAGATATAAAAATAAAAGGCTAATAAAAAAACCTTTGAAGTTTGGCTCTTATGGAGCCTTAAGAAGAACCCAAGAGATCCAAAAGCAAACTGTTATATTTTATAACATAGTACTCAATACTCAATATGTATAGTAACTATTTCCAGGAAGGAACCGACAAAACGCGGTCCGGAACAAGCACAAAGGACCAAAACTGTGTTCCTTAAACGAATATAAATGAAAACGCTACTCCTGGCTTATAACGTGAAAGTGGAATTAATGTTGCTGTGTTAAGGATTAGGTTGTTGTTCTAAAGACAATTACTGTATCATATTATTTTCTTACCAAAATAATGTGTACAAGACCTAAAGATTATAAAAGTTTAGCTTTCGGTATACCAGGGGACAATAATCGATCATGTTTTCTGTGACAGCTAATTTTACGTAGGATAAAAAAGCCAGTTTGTATTTTTTGTGAGTGCCATTTGAGTTTGATAAATGAAAATATATTTGGCTCAGGCAGCTGTGAAGAGCAAGGACAGAGTCAAGAGTGTTCCTTTGAAATTTCTTAAATTCAAAAGAAACGATCCGGCTCGAAGGACCACGTTTAATCAACTAAGCAATTAAGAGCCAAATGATTTCCAATTTTGTTTTTACTTGACATCGACCTACGTGCGTAATGTTTTTTTATGCTCTATCTACTAACTGCCTTTGATGTTCTGAAATAGACTTTGTTTTCTTTTCAATGTTCATTAAAGCAACTAGAAATATATGGTGAAAGTATAATCAAGAATCTAATCTACAACTAGTTTCAACCAGTTTGAGCTCTTATATCATTCAAAAGTAGTATACTTAAACTAAGTATTTAATACCGCATCTGCTTATTATATGAAGCACTTAACCTTGGTCATGGCGAACATTTGAGGGGTTTAAAAGGGATTAGAGTAGAAATTAAGGTGATTAAACATGAAGTAAATGGTGCTACGTACCTTAATAAACGTTTCAGTTTCAACACTTAATCTTATCTAGGTATGTAGGGTAGGTATACAGGCTTTTCAGATGTCTAATGTGTTTTTAGTAAACATTAATATACGTCACCCAAAGAGTAATGATAGAGGCAGATTAGCAGACATAATTATGTCTGCTTCTGAGAGCAAAAAAGTAATTACAATATGTGGTGTGTGAAAAAGTAACATAGTATAGAAAATACGTTGATAACTATCTAGAACAGGGATTCCCAAACTATGAGCGAACATTGACTGGGCCCTATCTACAGGGTGTTAGGTAAATGGGTATATGAGCCGACACTAGCCCATGTTAATTTTACTATTTATATTATATATTTTACCATTTATATTATAAATGGTATGGTAAAGTCAGAAATTTGATATCATGATTTTAATTTTTTTAATTTTCATACAAAATAAATTTTACAAAATCCGATTTGTATGAAAATTAAAATAGTTAAAATGAAGATATAAATTTTCTGACTTCACCATACCATTTATATGACCATGTTAACATGGGCTAGTGTCGGCTCACATACCCATTTACCTAACACCCTGTATAGAACGACACACCACCCCACCGATCTAACCGCTGGGCAGCGGGCGAAATTTCCTATAGGTGGGTCCCGAGTTTGGGAACTTGTATTAGATGAGTCGTAGCCCAGACAACTTTGGGAACCACTGATCTAGAAGTTTTGACGAGAAAAACTGGTTACGAACGATAATCTTGGAGTAAAGGATATATAGCCTGACCAGGAACATAAAAACCCTGGCATAGAGGCGCATCAATTGCATTTGATAGTGCAACACTGAGTACAGTCGTACCTGTGTTAAATTAATAGGCTAACTTTATGTATCAGGATTCAGGATTACGGGCTAATTTGATATTCTCATGAATTAAAGAAAAAATATTATTATAGGTAACCTGGTTTAAATAAATTAAATGAAAACATCAATCGAGCTAGTAGGATTTATTTTATTATTCATCAATAATCAAATTCAGAACTTGAAATATTCAACTGCAATGTCTGCTCATGAACGCTTCAAACTCGGTACTTCTTTCCCAATTCCATAAAATTCAGCACTTAGAAAGTGACAAAAAACTTTAAAATAGGTAGTTGAAACAAACCACAGCTAATTTTCATAGTGGACTGTACTATACGATAAACATGTCAGTCATTTTGACACCCTTGTCGGAAAAATTATTCAATGAAAATATTGTCCGAACCCTTAGTATTTCTCTTCGACAAATACTTTAACACATTGTGAACCACTTTTCTTTCACGACTATAAAAAGATTTTAGCAATGTAATTCACAAAATCAATTGCACACATTTAAAATAAAGTTTGTTTACACTTTGACAGCAATAGAATGACATGCAAGGTGACATGTTAATGAAGTTTTCAATTACTGTTGCCATTAAAAGAAATTAGTACCATTAGTTTTCCGCAACATGGCGAGGGTTTTTATGTTCCTGGTCAGGCTATACCTATATTATTGTAATTATATTTGGTCTTTACAGGACAGTGGCTGAATCTTGGAAGCGTGGAGAGCATGTCCAGGCAGAGAGCTTTGAGTGTGTGACAATTTATTTTAGTGATATCGTCGGCTTTACTGGCCTAGCTGCCACGAACTCGCCTATGCAAGTGAGTATAGCACTTAAGAATTATTCGATTTCGGTTAAAATATCTTTTAAGTCCTGTAGTCATGGTCCCAATTTTAAATAAAAGACGATCTTCAGGATGTAAAGGATATTATGGCTGGTATATAACTAATATTACGTTATTACGCCTGTTTAATCTCGAGGGAGTATTCAACGAGGATTTTATTAAAAGATCTATCTGTCTCTATCTCAAACGACGTCATTACATTATTAAGTAATAGAGAAAGTTATATTCAAATATATCAGTAGCTAATTTTAAGGTAGACTAGAATTTGGTCGTCTGAAAACTTGACCTCTAACAAGAATGTCACACCGATGTCCTACATTAACCGTCCCTGCTAGATAAACATCTACAATGCTGTTTACATACAACTTATATTGCTTTTAATGTTTTCTCAATTCGCAGTATTGCAAAGGCGTTGGAAACTAATATACGATGAAATAGAACTGTTCCATTAGGCAATAAGAAAATTAAAATTGTAATTATTTACTTTCTTCAACGAATTATATTTTGGGACACGAGTATCGGCTCTAGACGAAACAATTACGAGTAGGTATGGTCCAAAAAGGGAACGTTAGAATTCTCTGAATTTCGAATCACAATACAAAGGATAGGATCGAAGATAATATCTTGGCAACCTACCAAATACCAACCAATCTAACCAGAACAATGGCGACTAAGATACTAAGGCAACCGATATTTAGGATGTGAGAATTTTTGGGTAACCGTTCATTTGGAGTAGATATCCATCCATTGTTCGACTAATACTGATCTGATTCACTGGTTTAAGAAAATAGCAAATACCTAAATAACTAGTTTATGCTCCTAAAACTACTGAAAGAATCTCCAACCAAACTTCACCTATTAGTAATTTAGTACCTAACGTTTGATCCTTCAACTTACGACAGGCTACCGGAAGTTTCCACAACATTGTACGTTTCTAAAGATGTACAAAATAAGTTCTAACTTATAACTTTTAATAGCAACTGAAGACAAATTATTGTCAAGGATAATTTAAAACGCGACCTTTTAAGGTCGTCAGTCATCCACTAAGAGTTTTGTAAACTCATCCCAAGTTTAAATGGAACATCGTAAATTCGATAATATTATTAAAGACTTAAGAATTGGTATTTGCGTTTCAACGGTCACATTTCAGGTTCAGACATCTAGAATTAGAAGACAAGGCAAGAATTAAATTAACACTTTAATAATGAATATGAGAATAGTTTTTGAAAGAAATATTATGAAGTTGTTCTACGCAAGAAGCGAAGTTGTTTCTAACCCATTCTGTTATTTTCAACGTTGAAACTGTTATTTTACATACATTATAACTTTGCAGGTAGTTGAGATTTTAAACGAGCTCTACACGTGCTGCGACGCAATTATATCGAACTACAATGTTTATAAGGTACGTTGTTTAAAATGTATTAAGTTTCACGAAAAATATCTTGATAAAAATACGTTGGATATTGCTTTTCTCACTGTATCTATGTCATGGATATAAGATCACTAAACAATGAAAAGAAACATTGGTGGAAATCCTAATAAACAGATACCAAGGAAAGGTATTGCTTCGGAGCAAATATGTAGCCAAAAACAGCTTGAAATATTTGATCAAGATTGAAAAATCTTTTTTTTTCTTCTGTGCCTTTTCCCATTTCATTTTGGGGTCGGCCCACCCCGTTTTAAGGTGCCAAGACAGTCCTTGTAGTCGTTGACCCAAAAACCTTGACACTGTTGTCCACCACGTGGCCAGCGGGCGTTCTCTGCCCTTCTTCTTTTCATAGATAGGGTTTCATCAGATGTAACAAACAACAATCATAAATGCGTTTCCATATCGCAGGTAGAGACGATAGGTGATGCTTACATGGTCGTGGGTGGTTTGCCCAAGAGGTGCTCCCGACACGCTGCAGAAGTGGCCTCTCTAGCGTTGCACATACTCGATGCAGTGCCCAAGATACGAATGAGGCACACGCCTGCTGCCAGGCTGCATATCAGGATAGGTAAGTTTCCAACACTATGTTAATTCTAGAATATTATGGATGCTAGATTTACTCCGCTGCCACGTTGTTTAGTCGACGTAAGAATACGTAGTGCTTATACTAAGTAGTGCCATTGTAGGCACAGACTAGTGCTTTTTGGTCTCATGACAACTATAAAAAAATGGGAACGATTCTACAATGAGTGATTTTTCCATCTTTAAGGTAACTAAAATGCTACGCCTTTTTGGTCCCTTTTTTGTCGCGGAAGAAATGCAAGGACGGAGTATACCCTCTAAAACCTCCGCGGCGTTCCGTAATCGCCCGAGTGGGGGGGGGGGGGGTAAAGTCGCAATATCGCCACGAGTTACCGAGTATCCGGCCGTAGCCTTAGACTTCCGCGACAGCGCTTTTTTCGTCCTGCGTTTTGGTTGGTGTAGTTTTCAAGAAAAAAGGACGTCAAAGTTCAATGAAACCTCAATTTCTAATAGAAAATATTGACCAAAGTTAATTTTGTATTAATTTATTTCAGGAATACACAGCGGAAAATGCGCAGCCGGCGTGGTGGGAATCAAAATGCCGCGATACTGCTTGTTCGGCGACACCGTCAATACTGCAGCCCGAATGGAGTCCAGCGGTGAACCACAGAAGATACACATAAGCCATGACACGTATAAGCTGTTAAAACATCATGGCGGCTACCACTTCAAGGAGAGGGGGGTTATGAACATCAAGGTAGATAGACAAGTTTCAGTTTCAAATGGAAATATTGCAAAAGTAGGTTTCTCGAAGATTGATAACCCACTGCCCATTACCCACCCCAGAATGATCCTGTGCCCACCCCAGAAAATCTCAGAAATAGTAAATCTACATACATATGTACTATAACAGCGGTTCCCAAATTTGTTTTGTCTACTGCCCACTTTGAGAATAAATTCTTTTTAGCGCCCCCATTTGTAGTCGAGAGTGGAGTGCTCAGTCGGTGTCTAAGAGACCTCCTAGTAAATGACGCCTCCCAAGCCTCTACACAACGTCCCGATTTTTTTTCTGGGTCTCTTACCGCGCCCCCCTTTAAGCCTGCAGCGCCCACAAGGGGGCGTTATCGCCCACTTTGGGAAAGACTGTACTATAAGACCCTAATCGCACCTCCCTGAAAAAGAACTCTAGATAAGCCAATGCTAAACAATCGTAGGTTGCTTGATAAATGACTTAAAACTTGTCTTTTTTTCAACAGGGAAAAGGAGAGCTGAAAACTTGGTGGCTAACTGGTGAAGATCACGTCCGCAGAACATACAGCTTTTACAGACACCGTATGTATCAAACCGTTGTTATTGTAGTATCAATTCACCATCAGTTCTGATTATTATTGATATGTACTTACTATGGTTTGTCAGAGCCTGAATTGGATGGCATCGAGGGAAGCAACGAAGAGTGGTGGAGTCCTCAAAGGTCGATTATGAACATCCGCGATCGAGCTCGTCTCTCTTGCGGGGGCTCTCTAGGCCCAGGATCAGCTCTGTCCTCCCCTGGACCCCCAGCCTGCGCTTGCTTCGTCCCCCAACGAGACCATCATTCTGCCCCAGCCGTGACCTTCTGCGAGGACTGACGTTAACCATTAGGAGGTCACACGCTCAACTACTTCTGGGCAAAGAACGAGAGCAACGATTCTTGGAAACCCATTCTTAATGGATATACGGACGATATTATCTTGCCAAATATATATTGTAAAATAGACGAACAAAACGTATATTTGCAAGACGTTTTTAGTTCGTATAAAATGGTTTACGAGTGTGACTTTAGGGAAAACGATAGGGAAGACGCCTTTATAAGGGCCAGAAAGCTAGCAGCGTTTCAGAGGCTGTATTGCGTAGACTATGATTTTTGGTTGTAAACCAATTTTAGCTAGTACCTATTTTGCGACTTGCTTTTTGTGAAATTCAACAAAACAGCATCAATTCTTGCGAAAGACTGTCCAGTATTATTTTTATTGAAAGTTACATATTTTAATACTTTTCAATTAAAAGGAACAATGCGATTCCGTCCAAAAAGGATCACTCTGATCGAATGCGACCAAATCGTGACGACTTTTCGTCAACTTTTAATCCGTTATAGTTTTGTTGAACGGCTTCTATGTGTAAAATACAACGACATGGACAGTCAGTATTATAAATTAAATCAAATATATATTTGTAAAGCACACGTGAGGTTAAGAAGAAAGTAAGTAGGTAATTATACGGATTTGTTGGTCACTCTCAGGGTAATGGATTGTAACTCGAAGATTGTATTGAAAATAAAGGAAAAACGGAAAATACCAACTCTACAATATATCTATTTAAGTATAAACTTGAATTTTAATAGAATATTATATTCAAATTGAATATTATGATATTTGATCTGCGCAGGACTTGCAAAGTTGGATATAGGTTTATTCGAAAATTTAGATTAAGATAAATGTTCATGAGTTAAATATACTCGTAAATGTATATAGGGTAAGATAAAAAACGATGGTACCTACCTATAGTAAGAAATAATACTTTTTCGATGTATTTTTCTAGAATACTACTAACTATAATATACCTACCTACTGATTAGACCCTTTCCATATTAAAATAAATACCTAAGAAGTAGTTCAGCCAATCCCTGCCATAGAATTTACCTACCTGTATGTCATTTTGAAAGCTTTTAATCGATCGACTATTGAAGAGATATAAAGAATTGCTGTGCTCAAATTAGATCAATTACATTATTTATCTTGTCTTAAGTTACACACTTACATGATATTTAAATAATAGTTTTTTTAAATCTGTTTCTTTTGCCGGGTCTCCGCGCTCGTCTGGTATTAGGGACTAGGGAACTAAGGACATAAAATTTTCTCTCCCTTGTCAAATACCCGCCCTTGTAATCGAATTTGGAGATTTTGAAATGAAATAATCATAAACATATCCTATACTAATTACACCAAGGAATAGTGTCGCTTTCAATGAAAAATTCTGTGAATACAAAGTACTTAGTATAATATAATCATCTTTTTGATCTGCTGTGACGTAAATTATGGTATTGATACTCTATACTGCCTGCCTATGTCTTTAAATCTAATTGTACTTACCTACAGTAGCTACAGACTATTACTTACTAAAGTACCTACTGACTAGGTCTTTCCTGCATAATATTGTGTGGTGTAATACTTGTCTAAGAAGCCTATCATTAATCAATCAATTTTAGTTCAATTCACAATCACTTAATAAATTATAACCGTTTTCATTCAATTTGACAGTTGGGATAGATTGGTTACAATCAGAGAAAACTTTTGTGTATTCTCAGTACTATTAACTCATTTCAAAATGATCTTAGGCATACTTATACACCTGTAATATTTAATTAATAAATGACTCGTTTAAATTGATTTCTAAGCTTTGAGAAGTATCTTAAATTTTATACTTAATAATTAAGTACTTAGATATTTGTTTTAATAATAACTTTGTTATAATAAACTCAGACTGTATTTTATACTGTAAGCTGCAACATGTCAAGATTAAAGATACTTTATGTAATTTATTACTTATTATTATGAAGTTAATAAGCATTTATTGCCTACTCTGTTTTGGAGACTGTAGTTTGTAGTACATAATACGTGTTTACATGCTGTATAAGGAAAGGTTAAGTTATTATCAATGTATTTTAACTCACCTACCTAATGAAATATTGTATCTTAACAATTATAAATAGATGTGAAAAATATATTTAAATGACTGTTGGCTGTTGATGATGAATAAATAATTTTTTATAATAAAATTTCATTGCACTTTCTTTTACCCCTCCAAGATAGATAAGAGAGATGGCAGACAGGGTTTACATAGAATTCAGTGGTTCTTAACCGGTGGTCCACGGGCCACTGGTGGTCCCTGGAGGCATTCCAAGTGGTCCGCGAAGACGTCGTAATAAACAACAAGTGACGTGACGTGATGAGTCGAGTAAACAACGCAAACGGCGCACAGTGGGCGAGAAATCGACCACCCCTTTTATAGGATTTTGAAAAAAAAAGTGGTCCTGAGAAGATAGAAATTTGGTAAAATGTTCCCTCGTGACTTAAAGGTTAAGAACCACTGAGATAGATAGAGATAAATAAATAACAGTATTTTATCATCAGGTACCTATCTATTACATTCCAAATACATAACTATAAGGAACAACAATAATATCTAATGACTAGTTAAATAGATGAATAACATCTTAATGACTTACAAAATTTTAATATACTTATTAACAATCAAATTTAATAGCACAAACTTATGTACAGATCTATCTACTGTAAAACTAGTTACAATAATCTACAGGACTACATATTAAAGTGTATGGACAACAGCATATTAAGACATAATCACTGTTATTTTTTTATTTATTATCACATTTGCATTTATTTGTTACACTAATTAGTTGAGATAGATGCTATTTTCAAGCAAAAAAATCTAGTCTCTTATGCTGTTGAACATACCTACATCTATCTACTTTTTTTTAAACCGAATCCTTAGTTCCATTTCCAAGTAAGCTTTCATTGAGGGATCATCCACCATTTTAAGTACCTTTTCTTGTATTTCCGGCCCTGCATTCTGCATCTTGTTGGCTAGTGCTTCAGCCCACACTATGAACACACAGTTGGCGCAGCCAGAGCGACAGCAAGCCGTAGGAGGGTCATCTATGGAGGCCTGAATGTAAAAAAAAAATTTAACTTCGGTCCAAGGAGGTTTGCATTGTTGTGACTTTTTGAATTGTATGTGTAACTTCTATAAGTTGCCGATAAGAAACAACGATGTTTTGTTACAGTTTGGTAACAAAACGAGTTGTTTTCGAAGCAAAACATTAGTGTAAGAAATAAAGATTGTAAGAACTCACATCTTTGGCTATCCTCTCGAGTTCCTTTTCTTTTTCCTCTTCTGTAGCACTTGTTTGGGTAGTACATGTTCTTTTGGAGTGTGTAAGAACTGTTAATTCTTTTGGTTTTACCCTGAAAACATTAAAAAAACATATAATTTCAAAGTAGTTCAAAGTTTATTGGACAACAATTTTCATACCAAACGAAAAAATACATACAAAGTTATCTTGGCAGATTGTAATAAAGCTTTGGATTTTAACATTTATGCATATTTATAAAATAATTCTTTAGAATAATTAAATAATTTGTTTGGAACGTAAAAACCAAAATATTTTACTACTTTTTGAGGTTATATTTTTTTTATCTTTTTTTTTGTATTTTGACACTTGTTTGTGCTGGGAGTTGAAACTAATTTGCCAGCCTTCGAGTAAAAATCATGCTAGGAGACGGCATCGAATACTTTTCCATTCTAAGATTAACATTCCATAACAACTCCTTAAGTGGCCAGCAGACCCTTGATAAATTAATCAAAGCTTTGCTATCTTTGTGCGTTTACACAATTGCAAGAAAATGTCATTTTTGTAAACTTCCATGCACTGAAAATATTTAGCTTTAATTTTTGGTAAAACTTGTATAGCCTGACCAGGAACATAAAAACCCTCGCCATGTTGCGGAAAACTAATGGTACTAATTTCTTTTAATGGCAACAGTATAGTTCCAAAATAGTGAACTGTCCTATCGATGACATTGACAGTGGGGCGCCACCGTCAATACCGGATCGCTGGTTCCGACATTTGCCATGTTGGAAACCATATAGTTGAACGATGGTAGCGCCCCCCTGTCATTGAGTTTGGCGGGACAGTTCAGCGTGGGTCATCTATAACTGAAAACTTCATTGACATGTCACCTTGCATGTCAGTCTATTGCTGTCAAAGTGTAAACAAACTTTATTTTAAATGTGCGCAATTGGTTTTATAGATNGGGTCATCTATAACTGAAAACTTCATTGACATGTCACCTTGCATGTCAGTCTATTGCTGTCAAAGTGTAAACAAACTTTATTTTAAATGTGCGCAATTGGTTTTATAGATGACCCACGCTGAACTGTCCCACCAAACTCAATGACAGGGGGGCGCTACCATCGTTCAACTATATGGTTTCCAATATGGCAAAAATCGGAACTAGCGATCCGGTATTGACGGTGGCGCCCCACTGTCAATGTCATGCATAGGACAGTTCAGTATTTTGGAACTATATGAATTAAATTGCTAAAATATTTTTATAGTCGTGAAAGAAAAGCGGTTCACAATGTGTTAAAGTATTTGTCGAAGAGAAATACTAAGGGTTCGGACAATATTTTCATTGAATAATGTTTCCGACAAAGGTTGTCAAATTGACTGACATGTTTATCGTATAGTACAGTCCACTATGAAAATTAGCTGTGGTTTGTTTCAACTACCTATTTTAAAACATTTTGTCACTTTCTAAGTGTTGAATTTTATGGGATTGGGAAAGAAGTACCGAGTTTGAAGCGTTCATGAGCAGACATTGCAGTTGAATATTCACGTTCTGAATTTGATTATTGATGAATAATAAAATAAATCTACTAGCTCGATTGATGGTTTCATTTAATTTATTTAAATCAGGTAACCTATAATAATATTTTTTCGTTAATTTATGAAAATATCAAATAAGCCCGTAATCCTGAATCCTGATACATAAAGTTAGCCTTTTAATTTAACACAGGTACGACTGTACTGTGTTGCACTATCAAATGCAATTGACGCGCCTCTATGCCAGGGTTTTTATGTTCCTGGTCAGGCTATATCATCGTCTCCACAAAAACTAAGCTTTATGCAACGCAATGTTATGAAAAATATCGGATATTGTTTTAACCATAAGGCTTAGGAACATCACTATGTGCCAACCAGAGACAAACCTACCTGCCAAACAATAGACAATTGATGGCGACAACCGGAAGATTTTTCGTCCGTCATTTTTGATCTATAGATTTTACAAATTGCTAATTTTTCGTAAATATTATTTGATTTTTGGTGCCTTTTGCCGTTAAATACTTGCAGTTTATTTGTATCGCCTTGTAATCGTCACACATTTTTATTGGAACGTGAGTATCTTGTATAATTCTTGTGAATGCTAGCATAATCCGATGTGCCGTGGGTCTATATGACGAAGCCGCTAGTCGGCTATCATGTCATGTTATTGTCGCCGTATTAAACCGAGACGCTGTCGGTGAACCCTGCAGTTATAAATATCTCTGTTTCATTTATGAATGTATAATTTTTGCATGCCGATTTAGTGTCACTGATTCACGTAAAGGGCGGATCCTGCAGCGTGCTTCTAGAAAATTGCACTACAGAATCTCATTATAAACAGGATCTCAGTATCGCCGCCTTGTTAAATTGGACAGTTTCTTCTAGGGAGTCCTAGAATTTTTTTTAGGTTATACCCAAAGCTCTGGGGGGCATTAATTTTGTTGTTACACCTACAAGATGAGTAATATTTCAGTTTAAAATGTCTGGAGAGCCCGAAGTTGCTCGTACTCCTGAGGAGGAGGAGACTGAGGAAGAAATCAAATCGACTTACAAACCTCCTCCGGAAAAGACGATTGAGGAGATCCTAGCTGCGGACCAGGAGGATGAGTCGTTGAGGAAGTACAAAGAGGCATTGCTGGGGCAGGCACAAAGTGGCACTGTTGTTGTTGGTAAGTGATGCTTGGTACTTAAGATGTAATGAGTATTACTTATGAATATGGATAATTAGCTAGCCATATTGTTAGTTGAAATATACCTACTCAAGTCAAGAATACATTTCATGTTGTAGATCAGAGGTGGAATTGTATAAAGCAATCGTAATCATTTGACAGTTCATAACATACAATAAAGTCTGTTAAACAAAGCGTTTAACAGAATAATTGTATGTTATGAACTGTCAAATGATAACAATTGCTTTATAGATGACCCACGCTGAACTGTCCCGCCAAACTCAATGACAGGGGAGCGCTACCATCGTTCAACTATATGGTTTCCAACATGGCAAAAATCTGAACCAGCGATCCGGTATTGACGGTGGCGCCCCACTGTCAATGTCATCGACAGGACAGTCCAGTATTTTGGAACTATACACAATTCCACCTCTGACATTATTGATTCTTATTTACCATAGAATTTTTTAAATGAGTCAAGATTTTGAGTATGATTCTGAAATCTTGTTGGATTCTATTTTTTTCTAAGTATTAGCTATTATAGTTTGCTTGCATTCAGGTACATTTATCTACTGCATAAAAAATACCCAATATTGTTGAATGTAAAATTTATTCATACTAAATAAGGCCAGTATGTGCTATGCTTACTAACTTTGCCCTTTCTTGTATAAACAAACATTATTTTCCAGAATAATCCATTAAGTTTCACCATTTGCTATCAGGCAGGCAACTTTATCTATAACATATCTGCCACTGATAGGCAGTCGTGATAAGCGCCATAGATAACACCGGATAGAGTAATCCATGTGTGATCTAATTGCCTGTGAGAGTTTATCTTATTTACAAACCATAAATGACGAGTTTAATATTAGTAGCTGAGAGTAGATTGGATTAAATTATAATTATCTACTGCAAACAAGTTTAATTTGTTTATGTAATACAGCACAATGTCAATTTTATTGACTAATTGATAAGGTCAATGAAAATATTTTTTATTGATTTTTTTAATTTTTATTATCAATGAACGATACTTGTTGTAGTTGTTGATAACAATGCACTTAATATAATGAACTTGTTAATTAAGAACACATAAATAAACACACTGAATAGTCAAATCAAATAGTTTATTCAGTACATAGGCTTTCCAGGGTGCTTATACACGTCCTAAATGTAGCTTGCCCTACCGTCACTTCAGGACAACATATTGTAAGTCAAGGTCGGGCCTTTGAACCATCATTCATTTAATTGGACTGCTAATTATAAGATCTAAAGCCTTCAAAATGAATCTCTAGCTCGTTAGTTACACCCATGGATATAGATAGTTTCATCCACAAATATGTGCACCACCATTCTTCCGTTAATCTTTGAGTGTTATCTGTACACGCTAAATTATCCATCAGTGCACATGCACACTACAATAATGACGCTAGGATTGCTCGGATCAAACTCCCCGCGCCACGCGCTTCCCCCGACCAAAAATTGGTGCGGCGCGTCGTCGTGGATGAAACGATCTATAATAATGAATTTTCCTCAGATGTCAACGACCCACGGAAGGTGATAGTGAAGAAACTGGCCCTCTGTGTGGTCGACCGGGACGATCTTGAGCTGGACCTGACTGGTGACCTGACCAACCTCAAGAAACAGGTAAGGAAGATTGTAGTTTATTCGTACTGGGTGAGTTTGAATATGTGTTGGCAGGGTAAATGGTGTATTATTTATGAAAATCTTTGGTTTAAATAGTTTTAAGTAGCTAATCTTTACCATAAGGTTTGCATTGATATCATATTGACGAGAGATTCAGAGAGTTCATACATCCAGTATTCTGGTAGGTAATTAAAATCTTTTGATGATGGTTAAAGAACCAATAGATTTTTTGACTAAGTTCTGACGTAACCAAAGTTCAGTAAATTTTTTTTACTACGCCATTTGATTTCCATCACAAAAGTAACTAATTGATTTCTGTTCTTGAATCTAATTGGTTTTTTGAGACAAATGATTCAATTATACAGCACCTGCGCCACAACAAACAATGTTATCAATATCAATGAGCAGGATTACTAATGTTTGGCCAAAAAACGTTTCCCAAATTATCACATCGCAAACAACGTTTCGCAAATTTTCATTTGGCAAATTCTCATTTGGCAAAACAACTTATTGCAAACTTTTAATTCGCAAATGTCGTTTTTGGCATATTATTGTTTAGCAAATTATTGTTTGGCAAAGTATGTTTTGCCAAATGTTTCATTTGGCAAAAATATTTCACGATAAAATATTTACAAAACAATTTGATTGGTGCATAGAATGGAATACAAATTAGCTTGTGGTTATTATTTTGTTTAGTGGGTAGTTAATATTTTTTTTTTTCTAAATAAATTTTCATATTTCATTCTATTTTATCGAAATTTCCAAATGATTCATTAGCAATAGAGATGATTCGGCACGCTTCGCTCGCCTTCGCGCATTAAGGGTCACTGTTCTAACCTAACCTAACCTACTATTTTCTACAATACCTACTTTCTGCAACCATACTATTTTCTGCAATCTCTCTGTTTTACATAAAATTATTGTGAAAACCATGACCATGTGCCTTATGCTTTGATTTGTGGGTAACGGTGGGTACTCGTAAGTATGTGAAGTGTCAATTTGACCAAGCAAATTATTTGGGATATAATATTTGGCAAAATAAAACATTTGCTATATAAACATTTGCCAAGTAAAATTTGGCCAAATGTTAATTTGACCAAATGAATTAGTTGCGAAAAGTACAGTTGCTAAAAGTTTATTTGGGAAATGAAACTTTGGCGATAAGTTGTTTGCGAAGTGAAATTTGGCGAAAAGTAATTTGGCCAAACGGAAGGATACCCAATGAGCATTATCATAAAATACATATTTAACTTTAAACACATTGATAATTTTGTCCTTATCTCTACATTGAATAATAATCGTGCGTGCATAAATAATATTATTGAAGAATATTTATTATTTTGGAATGCCAATCCCATAAAATTGGGGCCCAGGTTTGCGCTGCGGCCCCGGGGGGGGGTAGCATGGATTGGCCCCCGGGGGGATCCCCCCCCCCCCCCCCCGTCATAAGTCCTAAGGCACCCCCTGGTACCCCCCAGTACATCGCCTTAAATTATCGCTAGCCCTATTCCAAACACACTGTATAGTGTTTCCCGATTTTGCAACATTTTTCTTCACTGCTTCGCCGCTATTGACTTTAGGGTGGTATAGCCTGAAGCCTTCCTCGTTATATGGGCTATCTAACACAAAAACAATTTTCCAAATCGGACCAGTAGTTCCTGGGATTAGCACGTTCTAGCAAACAAACTCTTCAGCTTTATAATATTAGTGGTAGTAATGTACTTAAATTAGTATAGATAAGCCTTCGATTAATCATGTTTCAATAAGTATCTTCTAATGTCATACAGTTTTGTATGACTCAGTGCATTCACATCTGAACCTGCGACCTTGCAACAATGTCTAGCACTGTCCTGACGTCACGCACTTGCCAATAGTTCAACGAACTGGCGGAGATTCGTCCTAACAACAAAACAAAAGTGTTCTCGACGAAAAATGTGTTCCATTCTGTGTCGATTTGTTTATTTGTTCACAAACCAGTTCGTGACCGTTTATTTCAGATCTGTATTTAAAAAGTAATGTGAGTTATTAGAGATAACTATTTTGTAGAGTAGGGAAAAAAAAGAGCGGGTAGCTGGTTTACACGCATAATTATTTTCATGCAAAAAGCATTTTAATCTGTGATCGCTTCGATATTCTTTAGTTCGTTTTAAAACAGTAGAGTAGCCAGATTTGTTAATTGAAATTGACAGCAAAAGCAACGTTGTTCTGAAGCGCACTGCACTGCTGACTTCAAAAGTGATAACAGATGTATCAAAATTTCGCAGAAATGTCGGATTATGCAACTTACAGTTATTCAGAGCACATTCTAGCGCCAATTCCATTTCATAATGTTTGTTTTGTAGCCGTATCTATCAGCTCGTGAAATTCAAACAGTTCCGAAAATAAGTTGTGACAAAGATTTACTACCTATCCATAATAAAAACAATAATAATAGCATAATGATCTTTCCCTTTCGCTAGTTATTTTGATTCACCGCTATAAAGCCATTTTATAAACTGCATATCCTCGTATGACCTGCGGTCGCTGTTTGGGTGACCTTTCCTGTCAAAACACCAATCACAATTTATTCTGTTGTTATCTTCCGAATCCGTCGGTTGACATCCTTGATTTTTATCGGACAGCTGAGTGTCAGCCCTAGTTCACTCGGACACGTCATAGGTAGATGACATATCACACTGAGCGGCGGCAGTTGATTGAAGAGTCAGCCAACCAAACAGGTGACAGCGATATTGGATAGTACAATTTTATCTGAACACGGAAACTGTAGATACGTTCCTGAATGTTTTTACTTTAATTAATTGTGTATATTTTTTTGTGAAAACAGACACATGCCGGCCTAGGATGCGCGCCATGACGACAATTTCAGACGATAAATGTATAGGATAAAATTATCGAATAGGCCATACATTTGCCTCGATATACCTGACTTTATTATGACGTGCATTCTAAGCCTACAGGTATTGTAGAATAGAAATCATATCACAGGCGATAGATATTTTATACCTACACTTGACCCGAAACTCGAAATAAGAACTTTCATTTCTGAAATTCGCAATTCCTGCTGAATGTTCGGTGCTGTTGATCAAGCGTTGCTATTTGCCGGCTTGGATACGGCCGAGTGCTCGTAACTTTTTGATTTATCGCATGCAATACTTTGCTAACTACTCAGAATTACATTTACTGGCAGTAACTGCGTGACCATTTTGAGGGACTTGAAATGATCCCAATTATTGTACACGACAGCACATCAGGTTACCCATTTTTGTTGCAAACTCGCCCCTATTAGAACTGCACAAGAACCCACAGTGTTTACGTTGAAGTGCCGTCCCGTAGGTTTTTAAAGTGAAAAAGGATTGTCTAAGTTTGCTTCCACTCTGCACGTGAAACGTGATAGCGATACGATTTCGAAATCTTGTCCAATATTGCTGCAGATGGTCCACTTATACGGATTTGAAAGATCGACAATGTAAGGACATTGCCATTTTCCTCCCTAATGTTAGACTTGCTTATTCTGTTTCAGAATGAGGAAAACAGTTCATAGCATTATCAATGTTTGCTCCCATTGATTTATAGCTAGAGCAATTCATTTATGGTACCTACCTATGTAGCGCGTGCAGTTCATATTGCGTTTCCTGACAAATGGTGTTTGAAATGTTTAAACGCTTACTGCCTACATCGAAATGAAACTGATAAGGTTTTGGTTCTTCGTCCGGCTGTAAAGTGAATAATTCTTCAAACTTCGCATTACTCTCTACCTGACAATTCCCGTTATTTTCTTTTGTAACCTACAAATGCCGTCGATTTTCCGTAAATGCGTGCAAAAAATTGCAGAACTTTCGCATATTACTCAAGTATTTCGTCCCAGTGACAGGTGCGTCCTATGCATCATCGTCCCATCTTGACCATAAAGTGGGCAGCGCAATTAGCACGATACGATACGTTGGCGATCCGCCAGCCCGGTGTAGCAGGAGCAATGGGTGGCCTTTGCACATACAAGCGTTCATTCAGGTTAAGAAAAAGATTTGGGTTTCATTCAGTAGAGTATTTGACACACGCGGCGAAGATATCGCTTGAATAAGTCGCTACAATGCTGTAGCAGGAGCAATCAGTTGCCTTTGGGCATACTCGTGCAAGCTCAGAAAAAGATTGGGAGGATTTGTTATAACATCTCGAGCGAAGATAATGCTTGAACAAGTCGCCACCCCGCTGTAGCAGAAGCCGTGGTTTTGCCTTCGCGTATAATCATTCAAGCACAGAAAAGGATTCTGATTTCATTCGTTCGTTAAGAACTTGTTATGTATAAGGATCTCAAGATAAGATTATCCTCAGTCTGCTGTAACAGTGTTTGTCTTTTGCGCATATTCATTCAAGTCCGAAGCACCTCCCAACAGAGTAAGCGCATTTTTAGGAGTGGGTTCGCCAGAGAGTTCAGCGAGCGATGGGGATCGAACTGGAATCGGCAGTCCGACTCCGAAACCTTTGGGCTTTTGTTCCCAATAATGAAAGAACATTTGGTGGTACCAACCAATGCTCAGATATCAATCACAATGGACGTCCAAGTTTCATTGCGCTATTACTGTTTGTTACCCATAAACTTAGCGAGCCTGTTCGGTCCCCGCCATTCACAGCTTGGCCCCACTCCAACTCGACTACATACAGGATGCGCCAGAAAAACCTTTTGATGGCTACCGGTCGATGAACGGAAAAATAGACGCTCTATGATCTACGTCATAAAGTTTATATTACTCGGCAGCGTAAATAAATTGCGACCATTGTTATTGTAACAACTGGTTGCTGGAAATAGGGTATTTTTGAAGTTCCATGAAAACTAGGTGAGGATGGTGGCGTGTGTTTTTACAGTGCGCAATGTATTTCGTCTTCTATAGTATGTACATATTGTGCCAAGCCAACAGGCCACAACCCTAGAGTGTCTGAAACTTTATGAATCGCCGTTAAAAGTGATCATCTGACAATCGCCAACGACTTGCTCTCCAAAGGAATCAATCAGTTTGTGAATCGCACCCAAAACCTCACGAGTCGAGAGATCTTGCTCTTGCAATAGTAACATGTAGGCGGGGTTAAACTGCAGATTATGTTGTCGCAGCATCTGAGACATAGGACTCTCTGATTGAACTTTATGGAGCCAGTACATGACATGGTATAAAGTTTTGCACCACATCTCTGGATATAGAAAATCTTGGATGTCTAATTTCTTTCCCACAATATTGATTTTGAAATTTTTCTATAGTCGGCAGCGCTTAAGGAACACTTAACTAAAGAGCAAAGAAAACGCGTCAAAAGCATCGTACGATGAATGCAATGAGGTATGATTTACGCGCACCCGGTATAGCGCGGTCTAAATGCAAGCTGAATGGCGATCGAATTAAATCCGTGTCTTCGGTTTATTTATGTTTCGCGACACATACCCGCGCTATTTTCACCCTTATTGCTAACTGGACGGAGTACAAATTATTACGGTTTAGGTATTTCTGACATGTCACGCTAACGAACATGCTGTTATAGATAATGTTTGTGTAGTAAGCTTAAGCCCGAAAACGACATTTAAAACCGCGTGAATTTTAGGTCACTTACCAAAGATATTGTATTATTTAAAGATATTCATTCATGCTGACAAGTGAGAGAGCAATAGAGACGAAATATAGGTTGTAGAGGGAAGTCCTATCCCATTGATTTTACGTACAGTCAGTGTCAAATAGTTCGTGCGTCGTGACGCCCAAAGTAGCCAGAAAAATCACAACACGTCTTTGTTACAGTTGGAATAAGGTTATGTTGTCAACTTTTTGGTTACTTTGGGTGTCACTTTTGATGCTGACTGTACTTTCGTTATGAGAGGCCTTGGCCTCGTGGTAGGAGCACATCGAAAAAATGGCAATCTTGTCTGCTCCTACAAAGTGAGCCTTCTTTACTTTACTCCAATATGACACTTCAGTTTCGCCACTGACATGACGTTTGGATGTAGGCAGATTTGAGCGGTCATTTGACGTAAATCCAGCGTGAAACGTGACGGAGTGAAACATTTGATGCATTCCCTCTCGTCCCCAATTCACGCTCTTCTGCCCTCATTCCTAATGATGCGTGAAAACCAAGTGTTTCAGCCAGACCCACTTTCAGCTGTTTAAACTCCATTTATCTTGTGACGTCTTTTACATTGCTACTCAAATGTTGATGTGAAACAATACTTTAAAGATGAGTTACACCAATGGAAAATATACTTTAATTGTGAATTTCACCGGCTTGAACATGAGGTTGGCGTATTCCCGTAGTCCCAAACCATTTCTCACCCACTAACGGATATCATTCAACCCCTAGCTCTGGTAGTAGGGGAGACTGAGGAGAGTTGTGACGTTGTCGATTTCTGGAAGTCTATTACTAGCTTGCAACATCGAGACGAACTATAAAACGCACACTGTTCCGAACTCGACAGACAAAAAATCGAAAATGTCACAACTCTCCTCTGTTACGTTTACAACTTACCTCGGTGTCGTCCCCCTACTATCGGCCACAGTTCGAACTATTCATTTCCGTTCATGTCGTTTGGTTCTATCGCAAATAATCACCATTTGATGAGAGCGAGAGAAAAAACGGAAATGGGCAGCTAGAACTGTGGCCGATAGTAAGTACATAAATGAGAATTCAACATTCTTCGCCTCACTCGGTTCGGTTTTTTAAATTTCAAAAATACGAAATCGTTATTTAGGGGAGAGTTCGGTATATTGTACCGCCGGGTAAATTGTACCACCCTCATATTTCGTAAAGTATTTATTGAATGTCTGTAATTGCAACACTCAGCGATACACAACTAAAATCAATTAATATCGGCCATGTGGTTTTTGCCGTGACAACAAACACGTGTGTTTTATTTTGAAAAGTATTTTTTCATTGTTTTCAAGTAACTTTTGACAATACATGTTTAGATTGTAATTTTGTTAAATTTAATCACAGGGTGTTTCTAATATATTATTTAGAAGCGTAAATTAGTGTGGATTACAATTATTTGAAACATATTTCGGTATTCATAAGCTATATTTTTTACCGATTTTTTAAAACCACTATCACCTAGTCGGCTAAATTGTACCACATCAAGTTGTATGGAACTTTACCAAAGGAATTTGACAATTTTTTTAGTAAATCATATTTTGAAGTTATAATAGCGTAGTTATGTTTGACTAACAATAAATGAAAGCAAAAGACTGGCAAAGTAGATTAGGTACAAGTGTGCGTTACGATAATTGGAATTACAAAACTTGTACTCAAAATCGTGATAACGTGTAAAACAATATCGATTGTCTATGTTATTAACTACTGTTCCTCTTCGTTTCCTAATTTGTTAAGAATGTATCGTATAATATTTTGCCATAGTTTTTTTAAAGGCTTGAAATTTATTGAAATCCAATTTAGTAACCCTGTGGTACAAATTATCGAACCGGTTGGCTAAATTGGACCGAAGCTCTGAACTCGTACTTTGTTGATTTGTGCTAAATATACAACAATCATGTTAATTAATACTTATGAAATAGTAAGTTGAATAATGTATCTTTTATTATATACCATGGACATTAGCAAAAACAAAAGAAAACTATGTGTAAAATGGGATTGAAAAAAAATGGTCCAAATTAGCGGACTCTCCCTTAATAGTGACGCGATGTAGTCAAATGGTAGAGCTCTCATCTTTCTGTTAATTTTATTCAAATTCAAAACATTCATCATCATCTCATCATCATTTCAGCCATAGGACGTCCACTGCTGAACATAGGCCTCCCCCAATGATTTCCACAATGGCCGGTTGGTGGCGGCTTGCATCCAGCGCCTACCCGCTTCCTTTATAAGGTCGTCGGTCCACCTTGTGGGATTAAAAACATTCAAAAGGCAATATTACGACGTCATTAAGATGATATTGTAGTGATTGCCAGTCAACAATACAAGTTATGTCAACTGAATGAAGGTTCAGTTTCCCCTTTCCAGGTGTTCGTGATTGCCAATCTATAATACAAGTTACATATTCCAACTGAAGTAAGGTTCATTTTCCCCTTTCCAGGTGTTCGTGATAAAAGAGGGTGTGCAGTACAGGATAAGGATCGACTTCATCACTCAGCGCGAGATCGTGCACGGGCTCAAATACGTGCAGAAGACGTACCGGCTCGGAGTTCCAGGTGAGAAGACTACTTTATTTATGAAGCAAACATTAATAATCCGACAAAAGCCCAAGGTGACAAACTACTCTGCCGTCACCACACGGCTTACCAAACCCCTCTTTTCCCGCGGGTGTCGTAAGAGGCGACTTAGGGACTACACATCAAACAGAGAACGGGAAGCAGCGCTCTCTGAAAAACATCAATCTTTTGAACTGCGATCTCCAACCCGCCTGCCAAGCGTGGGGATTATGGAAAAAACCCTCCACTATAGTGGAAGAGACTCATAGTCCAGCATTGGACTGTAAAGGGCTGTTGATGAAAAGCCTCATTGTCCCCTAGACTGGACTAAGTGGTGAACTCACTTCCTTCACTCACAAGTTTTGTACAAGGTCGCCCAGTCGCAAGTGATCGCCCGAAATAAGTTAAATATTCATGAATTTTTTTCGAGAAAAAACCTGACCCTATTGTGAGTATTGTGTACTTTTTTTTGGGAAAGATTGTCATATGCAATACCTTTTTTCATACAAACTTGAAAATTAATACATTTAAACCACAACCTTCTAAGGTTTTTTCTTGATAATTTTTCATGAATGGTTAGAATATTTAAGCCGGTCACTTGCGCCTGGGCCACATTGTATTATGTTTAGCTGGAGGGGTTTTAGTGAGTTTAGGGATTAGTGATTTGTACCATACAAATTCATTTAAAAAATCTCGGAATAGTCGGCGGCGGCGAGGTTCGAACTAGCATTCCTCGGATCTCGAGTCGACCAGTCTTGACACCATTGGGCTATTGTCGCCTAATATTCCCTATTATTAATGATTTCAACTTATTTATTGCTGAGTAAGAACTACTTAATATAAATAAGTCCGTTACATTAATCAGAAACATTCAATAACTATGTTTGTTGAATCAACTTCCTCATACATAGAAATAATCAATTTTTCTTTCCCGCTTCCCTCTGGACAGTGCCCGGTACGTACTATTTATTTGTATTCATAAGGAATATGACTGTGACTATACTACACCCATATAGGTTAAGTTATTGAATACAGACCAATGCTTTGTGGCACGTTTTTTGGTGTAATATGCACGCGGAATTTTAATTGTGTTGTAGTTATGAATTTGTTGGTTTTGGAGGCCAGGTATGACCCAATTGAAACAATTAAAACATTACAGACATTTTTAAGATTGGGCCAATCAAATAACAGAGCATTTTAGGTGTACATTTTAGGCGTAGTAATATTTATTTCGGCTAAGCCCACAAATTGCCATTTTGTAAATCTTGTAAGACCCATAGATTTAAGATTGTGGCCAAAATATTGAAATAAGACCAATGTTTTGAATCTATGCTTGATTTTGAATAGAACTTAGATCTTTGTTTTACGATAATTATGATCCTGAGCTAAAGGTGTCATGGGTTGCGCGACCTGTCATTTGCCTATGATCGTACGCGTTGGTGTGGTTGAAGCATTAGCCTAGGCGCAGACCATCGATTTTTCGTCGGCCGATAGTTTAGTCGGGCAGTTGATCAGTATGGGCATGTATGGAAGTGCGCACATTACACCGATTTGATTTGGCCGATTCTTCATACAATTTAAAATCGGACACAACTATTGGCCAACTAAAAATCGGTGGTCTGCGCCTAGTCTAAGTTCTTTTTGTAGCCGTAGTCATATACATCACTAGATTATTATCGTATCGCCACAATATCGATTCACCGCACTATCCTTTTTCAAAGCCAATCACCCCCCACCCCTAATCACAGCACAAAACCTCCTTTATTTAACCCACAAAAAATTCCATATCTAACTTTACATTTTCTCATTTCCAGTGGACAAGATGACCCATATGGTCGGTTCGTACCCTCCCAAAACGGAGATCCAATCTTACACCACGCCCCCCGAAGACGCCCCATCGGGTCTGATGGCTCGCGGGGCCTATACCGTCAACAGTCTCTTCACCGATGACGACAAGAACGTTCACCTACAATGGGAGTGGAGCTTCGAGATCAAGAAGGATTGGAAGGACTAAGCAGCGACGATTGGATTGGGCTCAGCAGTGCCATAAGGTATTGGGTTGGGAGTGCGGTTCGTGGATTGGGTAGCCTTTTTTGGTCGGTTGTTAAGTATTTTCGATTGAAAACTGGTAAATTAGCAGTTGAGTATACATTGAAATGGTTGACTTTAAAAGAATTGTGCAAAAATGAATTCTACCTCTCATAAAGAACGCAAAGCTCATTTTATTTTTGCAAGTAGGCTTTTCAAAAACTCTTTTACACGTCCCAGTATTAACCCTATCACTGCTACGGGTCAATAAATGGGCCAGTGCTAACCGATTGGCGTGTTCGTATAATGGTACTTTTAAAAGTACATAACTACAACTCAGTGCCTTTTAGCCTCGGAAATAATGTACATTTTCGTGTGTAGAATTAACGCATTGAACACACGCAATAGCGTCGACTGAGCGACACCACTCGGTTATCTAAAGTTATCTTAAACACTCTTTTTTCGTCACAGCTATGGTGTCATGCTAGTAGTGTGACCACTGTTGCTTCCAAACCATTATGGTGAGATGCTGCATCGTGTCCATGGGGCTTAAGATCACGGGTCGTACACGTTGACAGTTTAAATATCTCTGACCGACATGAAAAGGCTACCTGTGTATTATTGGAAAATCAGTATTAAATCCTATCAAAAATATGATATGGGTGACAATAACCACATTTTTAAACGGCACCGTTTTGAAGGTAAAGTGAAATTACGTCAAAATTTTGTACTAATATTAGTACACCATAAGAACTGGCACTCCTAACACCTAGATCAGATTCGACAGTTGTTAACCTTCTCACGTTACATGCCTAAGTTTGGAAGATTCTTCATCTACCCATCATTGGATTTATTTTATGCTCACTTCAAAATTGTCACATGAAACAAAATTGTACTGTAAAAAATTCAAAATATTTCTACGATATTTTTAAAGGCATGTAGCGTCTTGTGATTATTGAAAATATCAAGCGACTGTTAGGGACCCTGTCACAACTACTATGTAGTTATGTGACATAAAAGTTACATAATATATTAGGTCCAATCCAGTTTGATAATGTGTCGGGTGGCTGACTGAAATCCGATTGTAACTGACATCTTAGACTTAAGACATTACAGAACCACTACAATTTATTTTCATTACTATTTCTTTAGTATCTAGAGTACCTACCTAATAGTTGTTTGTATAAATCTATACAATATAAAATATGTCACATGAAATTCAATATAGTGCTAATCAAAGTATTTACAATGATAACTATTTTAAATATGTTTCTATTTCATATGTAAGGTAGCAATATTACTTTTAAAGTGTTTATGCGCTAGTGGTTATACAATCTAAATGTTAGAATGTATATTTCTATAATTTAGAATAGGTTATAGATAACGGATCGGTGTGCGGGAGTGATTTGTACTACATAGAGTACATAGTATATAAATTGATATTTCACACAGAATTATGTATAAAAGTAATCCTTTAGTATTTCTTATTGTAATGGTGTTTTTAATAATATTATGTGTAAGCTTCCACTCGCCTTATCTTAGCTTTTAAAAAACATTAACATATTTACACTATTCTGTGAATCCTAAAGGCGCAGTTAAGCCAAGTGTCCCTTAAAAGTAGACCTTAGCTTTTAAGATATAAGATAATATTCTCACCTCAGCAGGGCTACTCTGTAACGTAGTTTCGGATCTATCTGACCCTATCGCTCTCGTCGACATTTAGCTTTACGTGACAGGGATAGAATATTCGATTCGGATGTTTTTGATAGTAGCCTTGTTTCCATAAAAATAATAGACCAAGCATACAAATATACGTCTGTCTCACTCCCGCAGCCTGTCAGGCCACTGTCAGACACGATGCTACCAGCAGCATTCCTACCGCATTTGAGCCAAGCCGTGAACGCTTGTAGGTATATCTTAGCTCCTCCCGCTAAGCGAGCGAGACCAAGGTCTTCCGTTGCGTTGGACATATAACACTAGTTTAAAGTCCGGTCGCCGAGCAGATAGAATTTCGTCCAATGACCCCAAGCTACCTATCCTTATTACTCGCGCGTAATTATATTGCTGTCGCGATTGTGCGACGCGCGGCCGCAGCGAGTGTGACACTCGAGCGCGCGATAAGGATGGGTAGCTTGGGGTCATTGGACGAAATTCTATCTGCTCAGCAACCGGACTTACAATATACAGCTATTAGCTGTCTTTTGGAAATAAATAGCTCTTAAATGTTTCCAACGCAGCGGATGACCTAATAGGTACCAAAATCTAGTATTAAAACTATATAAGGGTATTGGTGCACCAAATAAAAGAAATCTATTTTTAATATTTCACATTTTGCTTCAAAATTCAACGGCGGAGGCGTACCGTGGCAATAATCGAAAAGTATCAGTGTATCTAGTTTTTGCTGTTCCCTGTATAAATAGAACTAAGCGGCTACAAAGTACATACGTGTGTTGTTCGAGCTGAATACTCAGTGCGGCTCTAGTGATGTGGATTTGTCGATATCGATGTTTTGGGATATCTGGCAAATTTGATATTGGCTAATTTAGCCCGGCTTGACAACATCAAGACCACTTTTAAATTTTCAAAATACTTGCATTTTAACGTAAAATATCGATAAATGGATATCATCCACACACTAAAGAGCTTAGATATCGAGGTATAAGGCATTTAAGGCTGGATCGCTTTGGCGCGAAGTATCGAGAAGGTGCTCAGTGGACATCACTGGTGCTCTTCTTATTTTAACCTAAAGTAAGGCTTCCCTTTTATAAATTATTATAATTATACTAGTATGTACCCCTTTTTGAATACATTTTTCATGTTGGTCAGTCAGTATGGATAACTCGGTAAATGTAAAACTATGAAATTCAAATTCTTATGTTTTTGGATTAGTTTGTATGTATTGTGCTATATTTTATGATTAATTTGTTATGTCACAGCTATGAATGATTTTTATTTCAATAGATGTTTATGCATTGTAATAGTTTGGCCAAAAATAAAGCTTATTTATTCAATAATATTTTTTATTGTATCATTATTCCATAACAATTAATTTATACACGAGCCAACTTACATACGTCGTTGGCTCTATAAATAGGTCACATAATAAGAAAGATTCCATTCCGAAAAAAATAATTATCCAGCACTTCTAAGAAGTAAATGGACAAGGAATCTAAACGGTCACTAGTGATGTCTCGTGGGCGTATTGTGAGTTTACATCAAACATTTTATAAAAAATTTAGTTCTTGAAAGTTTCCGCTAGGGGCGCTGTACAATCCGTCATACATTTAATTTTAATGTCATATTTTTACTCGCTCACTAGTGAGGCCTAAGATGTGCGCCGCGATAAGCGGTTATCACGGCATTTTATCGATTTTGCCCATACATTTTGACGTCGATAAAAGTTATCACGGCGCGCATCTTAGGCCTACTGATCTCTAGTAGTACGGTAGTACTGGCACCTGGGCATCTAGACAAAGTTACAGGACGTTGGTTTTCATTTCGAAAGCGAAGTATCTACAATATACCAAAAAAGTAAAGGAGTCGGAGTAAATCGATCTTGGAATTTTATCTGTCGCTTTGCACTCTGGCATATCTGTATTTAGCTCATAATCTCCTCCAAATTGACGTCATACACTCGACTGGCGACGCGTTTGCCGCCGCCCGCGTGTTTCTTTAGCGCGATCATGACGCGCTGGTCCGTCTTCCTCGAGGGACAGAAAGCTGTCAGTCTGGTCGGCACGTAGTTGCTGTTGAGTAACATGAGAGGCATCGCGATGGACATGCAGCCAGTGTCTGAAATAGAGAAAAATCAGTTGGGTTAAAATGCGCGCCATGATAAAATCTTACCGATGATCTTATCGCGTAAAATCGATAAAAGTTTATCGTGGTGCACATCCTAAGCTTAATATGGTCCGCTGGCCAGATTTCATCATGGCCAATGGATCTTGTAAAATTAAAGAGTCTCCGGCCCGTAAACGGCTTTCCAGCCATGAAAGGCTTCTATAGAAGGATTAGGTTGATATGCAGCCTCGATAAGGATTATAGAATAATAATGTTATTTTAGCGTAGTTCAGGTACCTATCTATAGCAGTTAGGTAGTGTGCTTGATATATTTCGCACTCGCTATTATTGTAAGGAATTTCGATCTATTAGCATTACTCGTACACACAATTACTGCATGGCAAGTATGCTTCTTATCTTCATATCATAAGTAAGCCTTTAAAGTAGCTTATTATAGAGGTATTTAAATAAATAAATCTGCAGTGGCACTTTTTGATCGGATCGAAAATTAAATCGAATCCGTTCACGGTGCGATGTAACTCCATACAAAAAACGCCGAAGCCGAAGCCTTTCGACATTAAAACTGACGTTTTGCCAATTGTCTAGGGGGCGCAGTGGGTCTAGACAAAGTGCAAATTATAATCGCAAACCAGTCGAAAAGTGGTCGAAAAGCCCCTTTTTTGTATGGAGTTTTGACGGATTCGATTCGATCAAAAAGTGCGTTTTGTCTAGGGGGCAGGTTTCTACTCAAATTGCAAATTATTATTGTCTTATAGATGACCCACGCTGAACTGTCCCACCAAACTCAATGACAGGGGGGCGCTACCATCGTTCAACTATATGGTTTCCAACATGACAAAAATCGGAACCAGCGATCCGGTATTGACGGTGGCGCCCCACTGTCAATGTCATGGGTAGGACAGTGGGTCTAGACAAAGTGCAAATTATAATCGCAAACCAGTCGAAAAGTGGTCGAAAAGCCCCTTTTTTGTATGGAGTTTTGACGGATTCGATTTTCGATTCGATCAAAAAGTGCGTTTTGTCTAGGGGGGCAGGTTTCTACTCAAATTGCAAATTGTCTTACCAGGCACTTTCCTTTTCATGTTGACGTTGTCTATCATGTATATGCCGCTTCTGCCCAGCAGATTGGTGATGGTCCTGGTGGTGAACTCCCTGGTCTGTTCGGACTCCAGGGTGGGAGCATCCGTGGCCACGCCCACCACATGGCTTAGGTTTGCAGCAATCCATTCTGCCAGTTCGTAGCTTAAACCTGGAAGGAAAAAAGTATCTTAAGAGCGTTTAATGGGATCATAGGAATTTTGAACAAATTAGAGTAGTAGTACCTTTTTGTCTCTTCAAGTTCAGATAAGTACTCGTACCTTCTTACGTGGACCTGTGTGTAATATTATCTACTGTCGCCAAGCTAGCGCTTACTAGGTGGTACTGGTGGAGTCCAGAGATTCTAATTTGCTTCAAGAAAACATAATGTCTGTGCAAAGTTGTATAATTATTGGGGCCCAATGGGCTGTTTCCGCTTTTCTCCCTTTTTTATAAATGCCTTTTCCCCCTTTTAATCGTGTACCCTACAAACAGTAGAGAACCCGCTTAGTTCACTGTGGATTGACTATCAATATCCGATTCTGCATCTTTCCTAAATCAGTGAAGATTGACCAACAATCTATACCAAAACGAGAGACCTACCTAATTCAGGTAAGATATAAAGGCCCGATTCTACCAAACTTTTATCCAAGAATACTAACTCCTGGTATAACTGGAACATTGACAGTTTCAGTATAGGAAATATCTATGTCAAAACTGACGATTTATTCTGATATTAGTATTTACTCTTGTTTGGTCGAATCCACCCTAAAGGTTCAGCCAAACTAACACGATCACACGCGATCAGTCGGCCTGCAGCGATGGCGATCAATGCATTTAAGTCTACTCGCGTTGGTTTGGCTGAACCTTAAGACAGGTAAGATTTAATACCTGGTATCTCACAGACGCAGCTCCTCCTCATATTCTGTTCCTCTTTCCACCCGAACTTGAACAGCAGCAGGGTTGGTTCCTTGGGGTCCGTCTTCAGCGCCATCCACTGCAGTGCCACATCCAGGGTTAGAACTAGTGATGGGTGCAGCCTGGTCAGTGAACTCACGTCGATGATCGATACTGGAATGACGATTGATTTCATATTATTATCAACGAGACTCTCGGTTAAGGTCAGGGGTGACAGGGTGGTCCATATGAAGTGCAAAAATGTGTTGAAATTATACTACCTACCTAGCTAATTATTATGGAATATTTGAGTGTTTCCCTCTGATAAAAGTTCTTGCACATTTATTTTTCTGATATTAATCTAAAGTAACGTAGTTAGTAAAGACTTTGGAATTCTATCGTTGAGATTGAAAACTACTCAATGAAAAGCACACATTCAAAAATTTAAATTTTATAGGCCCTTTTCTGGATTTCAGCTTTCAGCACGTCCCAAATATAAGTAGGTACTCGTTGTTTACCCTGCCACCACTTCGGGATCTTTTATTGGGCTGGTCCTGAGGTGTGCCAGAAGAAATTCTTGCTTAATACATAGGTAGGTAGGCTTAGAATCAAATAAAATTTTCATTAATTTACATCTCGTCAGAAGAAACTCCATTGGTATGATCGCGGGATGCATGGACCCCGGCGCCGAGTTGGCGAAGTCTAGGTGCATGGCTGTACCCAGGCCAGGGACGCCGCAGTTGATGCACATCTTCCTGAAAGAATAAGCCTTTGGTTACATCGAGAACTCTCATTAACATCGGGCATTTAGTTTCTAATGTAGGAGCACGACCCTCTCTAAGCTGGACAAAGAGCACGCAGAACATAAAAAGGTTAGAACGTGAACTGTATGCATAATTTTAAATTTTGTGGTTAAACACGCTTGCTGCTACATGGATCATCGGAGAATTCCACTCAAGATTAAGACTAGGCGCAGACCACCGATTTTTAGTTGGCCAATAGTTGGGCCCGATTTTAATTTGTATGAAGAATCGGCCAAATCAAATCGGCGTAATGTGCGCACTTCCATACATGCCCATACTGATCAACTGCCCGACTAAACTATCGACCGACGAAAAATCGAGATGGTCTGCACCTAGGCTAAAACTTACTACACCTACTTGCGAGATTTGTCCGAGTCGTTTAACATTAGCTACTAAACTACAAGTTTTCTTTTTAGAAGAGATAAAGAAGTTACTCTAAAATGGTCATAGCAAAACAACAACACACACAAATCCGCGCTACATCGGATAACAATGCACACGGGTAGAAAAAAACTGCAAGGCAGAACTTGTGGCAGAACCTTTGCCATACTTGACGGAAATGCCGCCGCGCCGTCACGATTTTGCAGAAAATAAATGATTTAGTAGGTAGGTAGGTACTTAAAATTTTTACTGACCAATGTTTCTCCACAGCCGTGTAATACGACGACAGATCCTTCCAAGTTGTAGCTTTGGTGAGATCCACAACATTGATCATCCCCATACTTTCGTCTGATTTCTGATCCAGAAGCACCTTCCCGAAGCACTGTTCAATTAGTACCACGTAAAATATTATTCTATACATAACAAATTTATTTATTTAACCCTTAATATAAGAATTTTCTTTCATTTCCTTGTGAACTAGATGAGGGTTGGGCCCAAACTAATTTGGTAGAGACAATAGGTTTTTCTTGTTTGTGTTTACCTTTGATTAGGTATCGTCATCAAGGCATTGTTATTTGTAGCGGTATTCATAATAAATATCACGCGGATGTTATTGTCTACATCCGTGAAATTATTGTTTTGCTAATAATTTAGGTAGGTATCTAAAAGTTATTAATTTCACATTGCCTGGTTGGTAGCGGCCTGTATCCAGCGCCTTCCTGTTACTTTTATGAGGCTGTGTCGATCCACCTTATGTGCACGTCCCACGCTGCGTTTTCCGGTACCTAAGTGGCCTGCCACCACTCCAGAACCTTGCTGCCCCATCGGCCGTCAGTTCTACGTACTAAGTATCGGCAACAGTGTTAACTGCCCATTGCCGGTCATGTCGTCTCGTTCTATCGCAAAGAATCACCATTTGATGAGCCGTGTGTATTGTGTGCCCTGCCCATTGCAGTTATTTATTAAGTATTGTTTTAGATCTTTGTTAAATATTGAAAGAAAGAAAAATGGTTTATTTGGTACGCGTTTAAATGGTTTATTTTGGTATTTGGTATTGCGTACTTTTGTTTGTTTTTTATTTCTAGTTGTAATTTATTTATTAATTACTTACGTTTTGCATTGTCATGTAGGTACTAAAAGATTACATAAGTCTAAAGCATTTATTCTTTATTTTGGCCTCCCACGTATTCATAATCCTGGTGTTAACTAGAATTAAACGTATCGAATAGTTTCGCTCATTAGATAGCAGTTCCTATAGTTAATCCATGGCTTAGCGACAGTAAAAATCCTACTGGGATTATTTACCTATGTTATCAACTTGTTTACGTAAAGTACAAAAGTACGTAACTAATGCGTAGGTTACCTGTGACGTCATGATGGAGAAAATGAACCGTTAAAATTAACTTTTCTATTTAAAACTATCCTTTTCCGGGACTCAAACTATCTCTATCACTTCAGTGGTTTAGGCGTGAAAGCGTGACAGACAGACAGACTGACAGACGGACAGACACACTGAGTTACTTTCGCATTTAAAAGATTTTTATTTGCGATGATAATTTTTCTGTGATCTTAGATTTCGGTACGCGTTGGATCTAATCCGCGTGCGTGTAAAATCACGTTGCTGGTTGCACGCAGGACAAAGATTTCGTATTGTGTGCCCGCAGCCATCCGCGTTCCGTGTGCGTGTAGCTCGCGTAATAGGAAAAACATGTATGAAATAATGAAATGCGGGTATCCCGCAAGCGGATTAAATCCGCACGCGTGCTGAAATCCGCATCACAAAAAAAGGCACTTCTACCTTAAGGATGCTTACTTAATGAAGTAAAAAAAACACACATGCCTACTTTACAGCTAGGTAGGAAATGTTTTTTTGGTCATTTTTCAGTCACACGTCTGTGCAAGTGTAACGTGGTGTAACTAACAATAATTTTGGAAGTAAGTACATAGTTCAATCATTCTTCAGTCGGTAGACAACTAAAGTTACATAAAGATTAGCTGTTGGTTCGTAGATCACCGCAGATCTGATGCATGTGGAGAATCCTACCTAGTTTATGCTGATATCAGTTACCCACCACCCAAACCCCCAATTTGGGTTCACTACACCCACTTCGAAACACGTTCATCGAATTACGATTCATCGATGACACCTCATACTTAGTACCTATTTTAGGAGTCTATTCATGGAAATTTAAGTTAATTGAAGAATTTGTTGATAAGATGATATAACTACATTCCGTTAAGGACCAAGTCTTCATGATTTAAATGCTAGCGATGTAGGATGTGAACTTAGGATTTGATAATTTAAAGTGATAATGATGAGTCGACAGCCGTTACACAACAGGGTTCTACGAACTACTGGATTCTGGAGTCCGACTCTAACACTATTATATTAGTTATCAAGGGGTTGCAAATACGAGATTATTAAAAATGTTTGGGATGCGTAACTGCCTAGCTCGCATAAATATTTATAACTATGTATATTTTAAAGCTTGTAAACCTTTGAAAAAGAGGCTGACAATAGTGACTGAGTTTCTTGCGCTGCTTCTTCTCAGCACTGGCCCATTTATTGTCCTGAAGCAGTGGTAGGGTTAATACTGGGACGTGTAAAAGTACTTTTTAAAGCCTATTTGCAGAAACAAATGAGTTTTATGAGTTTTTATACCTATAATAAAAACAAAAGGACACCTGACTATCGCAGTTTAGCACGCACAGGATCAGACGAGCTAGACTTTATTAATAGGATTAAGTTCTTTAGATTATAAATCACTAACTCACTTAGTGTAACATGTAGGAAAGTCTGGGCCTTTTGGCGTTAAAATTAAATTATCATTTAATTAACGATTAACTAATCCCGAATTAAGACAAGTTACACAAAACGTCGTTAACATGTCGTTACTGTTTGAAATTGCTTGCTAGAATAAGATTACTTTTTATTATTGAAATAAGATTTAACCTTAGGAAATCCGTACTTTAAAACCAATGCCTTATACAGGATATTACTATGAACCCCCATTTATTTTTAAGGAAATTTTCAATGTCTTAAACTAACTTCCCATCACTACATTCTTTAAGTTCTTTCTTGTAATTAGGTACCTACTTCAAAAGACAACGCAAAAGCTGAATTATCAATCTGAACATAACTTTTCACTTAATCCGTAAACGCCGCGGCTTAGTCAAAGACTTAATCAGAGATTACGCATTAACCATTATCGGTGCCACCCGTCCGTCTATCCTTACAAAAGTCGTCGATCCAACATGTCCGTAAACAGTGCTTGCAGAAACCCTGTGAAGCATGTTCCGTCTTGTAGTGCTAGTTGGGTGCGTGGGCCTGGCCCTTGGGGGAAGGTCCCCGAATGCCGATGTGGTCGAAAAACTGCTGAGGATGAACCCTCAAGGGAGGTACTCTAACAACCTCATAGAAGATTCTTTGCTGGATGTGGTGAGTTAAATATTTTTTCAACAAACTAGTCCATATTTTCAAACTTTTCTATTTTTTCCAGGCCTCCTCTGGTAGGTAGTCAGATAAATTTTGTTTCAGGTGTGTAATTCTCAGGATCATTCTTCGGATTTCAAAATGAAATAAAACCGTTAAAGGTTTCAATTTCAGCTACCTATTTGGTGAGGATACCTGCTGCTCTGGCTAGAATCAACCAGATCGTCTGAAATATGATCATGTGCATCAGAGGGCAAAAAGGCCAAGTCAAGCCTTTGATCTGATGAAGTTTAATAAACTCTTCATTTAGTTTTTCAGTTGCTTTGAAATCAACAAGTTTTTTTAAATTTCTCAGCCATATTACTAACCCAATCACGTTGATTCAAGCTTGCAATGCACCTAACCAAGAACTACCACTATTGTTGTAAATGTCCAAGATCAGTTCATTAAAGACTTGCTTCTGTACCTTTCAGCCGGACCTAGTAGCAAAGTATGGCTACCCTGTCGAAAGCCACGATGTGGTTACGCAGGACGGCTACGGGCTGACCATGCACCGTATCCCCCATGGCAGAGACAAGAACAACAAGCCTGACCCCAACAAACCAATCGTATTCTTGATGCACGGTCTCCTGTCTTCATCTGCTGACTTTCTGCTGTTGGGACCTGGTAGTGCCTTGGGTAAGTTTCACTTGAAAAAAAAAAAAGATGATGGCGAGCCTTTATGTATCAACGTGCCACTTTTCTAAAAAAATGTTTGAATCATGGGTTTGAATCAAATAACACTTCGTGCTATTAATGAGGGGTATTGTGCAAGAGGTGCCAGAGAGGTTACTCTACAGTGGCACTAACTGATGAGGGCAAATATGATAGCCCTTATTCAAAACACATTATTTACTATTTTATTTTTAAGTGAATTTTTTCATTGGTGACGTGCCCTGAATATTGTGGCACGTTTGGTTTCGCCATCTCTGACCGTCTAGCTAGGTATTGCTAAAAATATTTTAACTAGGTAGGTATGTCATCCACTTGTAAAATGCTGACTGTTATAATGAAACAACCCAGGAAATACGAGATGATTCATCACACCAAGCCTAAAAACCAAACATTGCTTATCATGTGCAAATAGACATCTTTATCGGGGTAAAGATTAACATTTTGACATTGAACAGGGACAATGAAAAGAAAGTCAAGGTTTCACTATATTTTATTGAGAGACACCTATGCTATACCCTTGTTAAAATGCCAATCATGTTTTAAAAATGCTCTATTATTTGCGACTATATTGGCAATGTAGAACTCTACATAGAAGGGTTACAGTTGTGGTTACAGTACACACTATGATGATGAGGCTCAGTTTAAAATGCTATTTACCGAACCCGAAATATTCCAATGATGTAATATTACCTACGAACAAAACATCCCTTTCATTGGATTCTTTCATCAAACCCCGTCTACTGCTGGACAATTAGTATATTATCTTAAACTACTTACACATTACTGTATCATTTAAATCAAAGCTAGACTAAAACGAATGTTGTGTTCAGCTACAATCGGAGTGCAAATTAATTGTTAATCTTTGTTCAATGTACTTTATTTTTAAGCCATGATTTGCAATCTGTTGCTGTACCTTAATAAATAAATAAATAAATATTATTATTTTTCTGGTTCCTTTATCTGTTCAATTTCAATTTCAATGTATTTATTCCAAAAACAAAATACATTGTATAGTTCATTGTCTTTAAAAATCTAACTCTCTTTTTTCCAGGCTACATCCTCGCTGAAGAAGGCTACGATGTCTGGATGGGGAACGCTCGTGGCAACTACTACTCCCGTCGCCACACTAGCATGAACCCTGACAGCAGGCTAAACCAGAACTTCTGGAGGTTCAGCTGGGATGAAATTGGCAACCACGACTTGCCTGCTTTCCTAGACTTTATTGAGAAACACACAGGACAGTCCAGACTCCATTACATCGGCCACTCCCAGGGTGGAACCGCGTTCCTGGTGCTGACCACTCTAAGGCCCCAATACAACAGCAAGTTCATTTCCTTCCAAGGATTGGCTCCAGCCTCGTTCTTTACTTACAATGAACACCCTACGTTTACCAGGCTAGCGCCGTTGGAAAGTGTTTTGGAGGTAGGTTGAGAAAATACATACCGATGCTCTTGCTTTTCTAATTTAGAACTATGCTATACTTAGCCTTATAGGATCCATTACGTGAGTTTATCAAAAGTTTTCGCTAGAATCTTGATATCCGTGTCAACAATGCCCCATACTAAAAAACACTTGGGTAATCTTGCAAATCAGTGAAGGTGACTAACATTGACACCTAATTTTCCATGACCCGATAATATTAGACTTAATTTTGTATTGAAATGATTCTCAGTTGGCGCGGTTACAGATCGTAAAGTGTAGACTGGATGTGTTAAAGCCAGAAAATTACAATAACAAGCATTTTTCTTCATATTCCAGACCGCCGCATTCGCCATGGGTCTGGGAGAGATCCTTGGTAGAAACTGGTGCGCTGACGGGTCTGGTGTTGATCAGCTATGTGACCTTACTCTGAACGAAGGCTCTTACTACGTCAACAGTGTAAGTATGAGGTTTATGTGACTGCAAAAACTATCGTTGCAAAAGGTTTTTAACAAGTGAAATTGCCAATGAGGAATACAAAAGCGAAAGACATTTTTAGTTAATGGCCAGTTTTGATGAGAGCCAAGATTATTTTCAGTGAGATGTTATAGGACTTAGGTAGGTATAGGTAATACGAGTATCCGTACATTACCTACTTGTCAAATTAATGTACTTGTCACAAACGCGATCTTATATCACATTTTACAATGTTTAGTATCGTACACGTTTAGTATTAGACTTATATGCAGTTGTTGTTGTTGTAAGCTATAGATGTGTGTTAAAAATATTCCATCTTCTATTCAGACTTTTTCTTTCAGAGCATGCTTCCCTTATTCGTCGCACACACTCCAGCCGGCGCTTCCATCCGCCAGGTCGCTCACTACGGCCAAAGCATCAGGTTCAACACCTTCCGCAGATTCAACCACAACGCTGTCACCAACTTGGCCACTTATGGCCGACTGACCCCTCCTTCCTACGACCTCTCCAGAGTCACAACTCCATCCTACATCCACTACGCTACCAATGACCTGCTGGTTCACCCCAAGGACGTTCATATCCTAGCATCGAAGCTGCCGAACCTGCAAGGCCTATATCTGGTCGACTCGAAGACGTTCGACCACGTCGACTTTATTTGGGCCACCAAAGCGCGCGTGCGAGTTTACAGTAGGTTGCTGGCCTCTATGAAGGCTGCTGAGAAGTTATAAATGTCTAATATATAATGGTGCTATGTAAATATATTTTCTTATTAGGAAATTAAAATTATATCATCAGATCTGTGTTTTTATGTATCTTGAAACCATGGATTCCCGATACGGCGGGCGAATGGTTCATAGACCAATCGTTTGTTGGTAAACCCTTTAGGCATTTAAAGATTGGATACAATTTCAATTTTTCAATTTTCAAAAAAATTCATGGATTCAGCATACTCTTTTCCTAGAAAATTGGATCTAGATTCAATTTAGCAAAGTTCAGTAATATTAGTCAAGTTAATGGCCGTAATATACGGTCCACGGCGTCAATGCGTGACAAAGTGACAATTGCATTTCTTGTGCATTACTTAAGTAAATTATCATTTATTGATATCTGTAGATAATCCCTAAAAAAGTTAAGCGACTGTATGAAAAACAAGAGATAGACCGAGTACAAAATAACAAGAAGCTACTATGGGAGACGATCAAAACAATAAGCGGTTCTAAACGTATTGCTGACCATTCATCGCTCCTCGTTTCTCCGCAGAATCCCCAGCAGAGCCTTGATATTGTCAACAATTTTTTCGTAAACGTCGGTAAAAAATACGCAGAGAAGATCGACACTAATGTTCCCCTAAATTACGATGATATCAACTCGATCCCTTCGCCTGTAGGCTCCTTTGTTNGCCCCCCCCACCAAGTCGAGCAAAAAAGCGGCACGGCCGCGGCCGTAGGGTAATTGCGCCGGTTTTCCGTCCAGCTCCTGTTATCGTCCATTTGACCGACTTGCCACAAACAAATACGGAAAATTAGAATACAAATCTAACTTTCCGTGCAAGTTTGGACTTGTTACAATCTATAATATCTAAGTAACAGTTCTGCCTGCATGAAAATGTAATTTGACAAGTAATAACTCCAAAAAAATTTACGGAAGTTGCTGCTGCACACAGGTGAATGGAAAACGTCGTCAAGTTAGAAAAAAAACGTGCCGGTAGGGAACTTTCATGGTATGTTCAATTACTGTTTTAGCTACTTTACGTAATGTTTTTGGCACGTATGTCTAGTTATTAGAATAATAAACACTATTTTAAGGGTTTATTAAAGTTTTTTTTTATATAAATCTTAGATAATTAAGTGGACTAATACTAGCATAACAATTTTGCAAGATTTTGGTTTTCGTCCACGTGGACGGAAACCCTGACACCTAGTTAATATTTTTAATAATCATTTTACTTCAATGGACCTACAAAATACAATGTTTTTTCTTCCAACATGATCTTTATTGCTATTACATCAAACATTTTAGTTTACGTCCACTTTTTAACAGTGATAAACCCATAAAAACCGTTAAAAAGATGTGGACGAAAACAAAAAACTGCTTTAAACGTTGTTGTGTTTTCGTCCATGACGTCATGAGCAAGCACTGGGGTGGACGAAAACCAAAATTAGCTATTCCTGTAGATTAGTTTTCGTCCATTTGTCCTTCGACCTATTGCAATATTTTCCTAAATTTAGGTAAGAAACTTATTTAAATCTTTTTGATATCATTTGAAAGCTAACAAAATTACCTTTCAAATGATATACCACAATCCATAGTTACTGTATTGTAGAATTGGTTTTAAGTTAATAATTCAAANATGATTTTAATATTATTATTATTATAATCCTAATCTTACACAGCTATTTGTAAAAAAGTCCCTTTGCCTTTATTTAAACAGCGATTAAAATGACAGCTTCTAAGTATAGTGACAAAGGCAACAAAGGATAATCATATCTGATAAGATATGATTTACAACTGTATAGCAGTTGTTGTTTTGAATTTGAAAAAGACAATTAAAATATTATGAGGATTAATAATCTATAAATAATTATAATTTTGTAAATCCAAGTGTCGTTAGCATGTGGTAAATCATTAAATACTTACCAATATTTTTTATGCATAAGAATTTAAAAACAACTACCTATTGGCGGTATTTTAGGTAAAATGATTATGAATTCAACACCTTTTAAAAAAATTCAATCGGATCAACCCTTTTGAAACATAAAAATTTCAATCGGGAGGACGAATTTAAATTGTCACCAGTGTGGAATCCGGTGATTAATAAATGCAAACCGCGAATTTTGCCGTCAAGTAAGTACGAATTCGGACGCTGTGAGTGTCGCGGTAACATCACTAGTCGTAGTGTAACAAATGACAATATGAGGGTAGTTGAAAATTTTCAAGCCCGCCCTAACGGACGACGGCGAGAGCCGCCAGTTTGTGACCACTACGGCTGCAGCATCGCAGCCGAAACGTCAAGCCGTGAGTAAGTACATAATGTAACTCATTAATAAACGTCGCGTTAAGACCCGTGTCTTACTATGTAAGTCCGTTTGAATTGAATGATTTCTATAATGAGATAAATTCCTCACAAGGAATTGATCGACGAATCTTGTCTTCGTCTTCTTAGTCGTTTCGCTCTTGGCAGAGCGGCGGTGGTTACCTTGTGGCGTTCACATCAGTGTAGTAGAGGCGGATACAGCTCTCCGCACGATCTCCCGCCATTTCTCCCTGTTGACCGACTGTATGGTGCCTCAGGTACGCGGTTTCCCACTGCCGATTTTACTTAATCAGTCCAGCACATAGGTGATGCCATGCAATCGGGTTTCTTCAACTTTTCCTTAACACTAGAGTGCTCGCGCCCCTAAATACTCCTAGAGTGCTCGCGCGGGTGACATATGTCCCCCATTATGATATGGGTTTATTTTTGCTAATCTTATTTAATACAAGTAAAACAATTTATAGTATTAAACATCAACTATATTTCTTACTAAATAATTTAAAAAAGTTTGAATTTCTTTCATGAACTCTTATTATAAACCAAAAGAAATACTTCAATATTTTTCAAATATCTTAGGGTCGAAGAGACCAAAGTAGTTTAAATAATCGTTTGACCCGTTATTTTGGCAAAAATATCACCTAATTAGAAAGTTAATCAATAATTTGATCTTATTCTGTGATATTTTGATCACAACTCGGGCACGATATGATTTGATGATCTGGACAAAAACGCCTATTCCACTTGTTACATTTGCTTACGAGTGCTTCGATTTCTTGCTCTTGTGCAAAAAACATATCGTCCTTTGCCACAATACTGGCAAGTTTTGTGCTAGTTGGTGTTCTCGCAAGCCCAGAAGAATAATGGTTTTTAATTTTATAGTCCTAGGTGAATTATTACTACATTGCATACAATCTAAAACATCTACTTTCTTGCATCAGTTTATGCTTATAAAACAATATAATTATTGTAAATGTTTAAAATTTTTTTAAAAATTATAACTTTAAGCTTACATGAAAGTAAACTTGATTTTAAACCGCGACGATAGAGGATCAAACAATTCCTCGAGTGCTCGCGCGGGGGACATGCGTCACCCAAACACTTTAAATGTTTTCTGCACTCACGTTGATGCGTCTAGCAAGATGGCGTTACTACTAAAATGTGCGTCAATACATGCTCGAAGAATACCTGAGAAGGCAGCACTGTAGCTCGATACCTTGAAAAAATATTTACAAATTTTACACCCTGGGTGAATATGTCACCCGTGCGAGCTCTCTAGTGTTAAACGACTAGTCTTTATGAAGTTGTCATCCCGCCTTGAGACTTGTCCAAGGTTCTGAATCATCTTGTAATTAAGCTTCATTTTCTCTACCAATACTTATTTATCAATTAATAATTGGAAAATGTCTTTCTTTGGCATTTTGTATTAAATGAGTATTTCTCAAAAAAAATGTACATTTTGAAAAAAAAAAGTGTGCTTTGAAACAGTTCAAAAGTTTTATATTTATAAATCATCACACAAAAAAAACACACACACAATTTTGAAGGATGACTATTAATCTTTAAGATAACGAAGAATTATAGCTATAATCCTACTTATTACCAAATATTTAGATATTTTAAAAATAGTCCTTTTTTACCTTTCATACAAAAACCTGTTTGCCACCCTAGCTTTTTCATGTATTTTTGTTTTATAAAATGCGATACGTTACTAAATTATTGTAAATTTATTTGTATTATCGTTCTACAGTAATCGCAGTTTCTGTATCAAATTGATTTTCTATGGGGTGTCATAATGAATTGACAATTTAAAGCAAAAAAACAAAATGAGTCGCTCTCATTTACTATTTCGTTATTTACTCTTTAGTTACGATTTATTTCTACTTTCCCATGGTTTCTGAACAATTCCGTATTTATTTTACACGGACAACAATAGCTGCACTCTGAATGGCTGTTGGCCTGACGTCTCCGCCATAACATCTATCGCGAAAATTAGTGAAAACGTGTGTGTTTTGTGGGATTACTTTTTCGTAACAGGCAGTAAAATCAGCGATTTTATATAGAACGGTAAGTCTTCATTTAACCATTTTTTGTAATACGTGTGGTACGAACATTTAGTAAGCTTTTATATTTGCTGTAACAAATTTTATCAAAAAAATACTTGTTTCTGATCTCATTTTGTCTAATATTTCGTTACGTTTTTTACGAATTTCGTTACGTTACGAAAAAGTACAACATAATGCTGAGTGTATACTGTTATTACCTGACTAAGCATAGTAATATTCACTACTTAATTTATTTCAAAAAATATAGAGCGTTAATAACAAAAGGATTGGATACTATCTGCTTTACAGAAGTGCCACCAGCAAAAAATTATCAAATCATTTAGATTACGTTTTTATGTGATTACTTCTTTTGTTTTTTTAGGAATGCCGCCAAAAACCAATGCCGAAAGGCAAAAAGCTTACAGAGAACGACTCAAAATGGATAAACATGATAATTTATTAAAATAACAAAAATAATTTTATTAAAATAGTATGAATGATTACTCCCTTATTTTATTTCTAACCCCTTAATATTACCCCGTATTTGGGTGCATACTTACAAATATTTCGAATTGAATAAATGAAGAGCATTCACAATATTTCGCCAATGTATAACAAGCCTTATGGCCTTACTATTTCGTTACTACCGTTTCGTTACGTACATTTTTTTTGAGAAATACTCAAATACAAAAAGTAAGTAGGTACTTATCACATTCGTGTTTCATATGTTTGTCTGCGTCTTGTATCTTATCTAATTCTTGTGCCTAAAGGTTTGAATATTTTGAACGTGACGTGGAACGATTAAGCTAAAAAGTCTACTTACATCAATGATGGGAAATAAAAATTAATAGGATGGCTAAAGAAAAACTAATTGACAGTTAAGAATAAGTAAAAACCTCATTGCATCTTGCGGGTGCATCCTTCATTCAAGTGTCGGGGAAGTCCAAGGCTTCGGCCAGGTACTCGTGACACCACCACGGGTCCCCTAGTAAGTTCGAGAGTCGTTGTAGCGTTGCACGCTGTTGCGAATATTTTTTCCACTGCCTTATAGGTTTGAAAGCATATGGACTCGAATGACGCGCGAATGACGCTGTTTCGGTTTTGTGGGTAGGTACCTAATTATTATACCCCGTACTTTTCATTGTTAGGGCGCTGAGAAGCCCACATACCATTCTGCCCCCAGCATTGGTGATGACCCATTTCGTCTAACCTCATTAACACCTGTGTAGCCAAGATCTACATATTGACGATCAGTAAAGGCCACGGAAATAGTTAATCGGTTGTCGTCATTAATACTTTTAATCAACTATTTCTTTCATAATGAACTTAAAAACTGAAACATAGAGGTATTTAATAAGTGCCCTTGTCTGTTATTGTAGGATGTTTGTTAATTGTAATCCGTTGTTTATCTTATGCATGTTAGTATTTTAGATATCACAAATCAAGATTTCATACATTTCTTTAATGTTTAACATTATCTGATTGTGTTAATGACTGATAAACTGTGACGTAGAATCTAGTAGTAGGTAGGTACTATTATTATTGTCACAAGTAAAATAACATATTAGACTCATGTATGGCATTTTTTCGGGAATAGTCCCACCTCTCTTACCCACCGCTGCAACTCCTGTGTAGCCAGGATCTACAAATAATATAATCATTTATTTGCAAGAACATGGTTGCAGATGGGTGTTAATTTAATAAATTCCAGCATATTCTGTCGCATGCGACGTGCAAAAGTTCTTGTTCTTAAAGTTATGTTAATTATTATTGCTACATTTAGTTTCAGACTTTACATATTTTTACAACTCAAAATGACTCAAAATCTTATTTTACTCGTAGTTGTTTTTCATACCATGACAGTAACAATACAAAAAATAAATGTCAGGAAACAAAATCTGAATTGAAAATGTCAAAAGAAATTTAAATTAATTGTATAAATGTCAAATTAAGTTACATTACCGATGTCACATCATTCTATCATTTTGACCGCCAATAAAACCCAACCAGTGAAAGTCAAGTTCATCCCGGGGGAAAGTTAAACTGTCATTGGACCCGCAACGAAATTAATCAGAAGAACATAGGAGGAGGTCAAAGTTAAGGTTCGACTTCCCTCCGTTGCAAAGCGGATGACAGCTGGTGCGAAAAAAGGTTTAGTAACCTTTATGAAAAGATATGCACCACAGACAATAAACATCGTGTATGGGATGGTTCTAATGAGTTAATCTACTGTATTGCAAAAATCGCACTATTTCCTGATTTCCGCCCTTCTACATCTCTACCACACTCTAGTCACCTTGTTATTTTACCCAAATGTCTGAGTAAACTAGCTGGTCAGTTCAGCTTTTCAGTTCACTGTAGGTACAAATACTGTCGAATACCTATTTGTTAGTATGAAAAGCGTTAATATTTAGTATTTACTCGAGCCACTGTAAGTACCTTAATATTGACGGGTTTGATTTCTCGTATAATATTCATTTACGTTTTTGAGACGCCATAGGTTTTTACGAGAAATGAGGAGAGTGAAAACCAATGTAACCCGTGGAATTGCCAAACTTAAGTGACTATGGGGGAGACACATATCTCATAGAGCTGATGACCGCTGAGGCTGTATTTATAATAGCAAATTCTCAGTTGTCTTAATCAACAGTCTGATCATTGCCATTGAATCATCATCATTTCAGCCATAGGACGTCCACTGCTGAGTATAGGCCTCCCCCAATGCTTTCCATGTTGATCGATTGGTAGCGGCCTGCGTCCAGCGCTTCCCTGTTACTTTTATGCCATTGGATCAGTGGAGATTTATTCATTCTTATTGTTTTCAGCTGCTACTACTTACTCTAGAAAAAATGCCTACCAAAAATCTTATCAACAATTTGTACCTATTTACCTATAATCGCAATAACATAAACACATCTCTGATTTAATCACTGGCTAATTATTGTTGTAATTTAAGGACGGTTTAACTAAATTACGTAATTTAATGTTAATTTAAATTGAGCGTTAAAAATTATATGACAATTTTGTAAGTCTAAACTTAAATAAAGAGTCACGTTTAGAATGCATGGAAAACAACATTCAAAGCTTGGTAAGTGTAAGAGTAATAATTTTTTTACAAATATTTATAGCATTATTTAATTAAAAGAACATTAGTTATTTCATTGCTTTAAAACTTATAGTCACGTACGAGTAAACCATGGTAAGCTGAGTAGAATTGTGTTACTTTGATGTTAATTTAACTAAGACTTATTCTTATCGGTAACATTTTGCATTGATTAATTTTGTGCATAAATATTGGTGAACAGGTCTGTACTAGGTAGCTACAATAAAACCGTGGACTGTATGTACTATATCATTCTATTTCGCTTTGAAACTAGTTCTACTACATTGTTCTACTTTGATAGACCTAGACAGACACATAATTTTGGGCTCCTCTTGACCCACGGAAATGGAAAAAATCAAATTGAACCGCGTGTTAATCGACCCTCAGTGCCATCTAGTATCACTTTGTAACAACTAAAACCCAACATAAACAACAGTACTATCTTTTGATACTAGATGTCACTTTATACACATATGTGACTTCAACAATTGGGAATGTTCTTTCCTTATCAAAGGCTAGAATAACCACGCTGTGAATGATAAAAAAAATGATTTAACAGTTTGTCAAAGTAGCGCAACGTTTATCGGTTCAACCGACCCTAGATCAAGTAATCGGATCCTTTTTAAAGCCCCCTGTGGTTGCTTCTCAAACAGTACGTGCTGGAAAGCTTAAGCAATGTTACGTCTATTGCTGCTGGTGGGCTCAATGGCCGCCGCGCTTGCGGGTCGATCTCCGCATGCGGATTTCATAGACCAGCTGGTGGCTTCTGCACCATCTGCCAGATACTCCAATAACATCATTGAGGATGCACTTCTGGATGTGGTGAGTACACTTTAAAGCGAAGGTCTCTAAGATTCTTGGGCTCATGGACCACTCGTTAGGCTTGTTTTGAATTAGGTAAATACACAGACATTACTAATTGCTTATGATTAGGCTAACCCGCTGCCTACAAGATAATTATGTAATATACAAACTGAATACAACTGAAAAACTGAAACTACACTTTACTGGGAAGAAAGACACCGGTTCCTGAAATACAGTTTTCACTAGTTTAGGAGTCGGTTTCAATATAAAATTTTACAGTGTGTTTACATAAATTAAGATATTTCTATGATTAAAGCATACATTTTTCTACGAAAACTTTATCTGGAAGTTCAGCATTCAGTTTTGTGTAGATTTGTAATGCGAATTTGTTTTCAGCCTGGTCTAGTAGCCAAATATGGCTACCCCATCGAGTCCCATGAGGTGACAACCTCTGATGGCTACATCCTCACGATGCACCGCATCCCTCACGGACGAGACCAGAACAACAGACCAGATCCCAACAAACCGGTGGTCTTCCTTATGCATGGTATGCTGTCATCCTCCGCCGACTACTTAGTCCTTGGCCCTGGAAATGCTTTGGGTAAGTCTATTTGTCTGCATCTTGTAGAATCTTAACCAACGCATCGTGTAGAAGTTGATGCTCTACAAATATAGGTTATGCCTTATTGCGTTTCTTGTAAATTCAAAATTCACTGCTGACGTTTAATCTTGATGACATCAATGCTGATAGGCTACTACAAACACCTGTTTACGACAACTAGCTATCGCTTCTTCAGATCTTTTAATTTCAATTTTTAAATGGTATCATTCTGTATCATTCTTCGTGATTATTCTAGAATGACAATAATATGACTTAAAAATTATCGATTATGATCCCAAAAAAAAGCTGTTCATGTTGTTTTTTATTCTAAAAACTGCATTTGTTATTTTATCTCATTTTACAGGTTACGTCCTCGCCGAAGAGGGATACGATGTTTGGCTAGGAAATGCCCGCGGCAACTTCTACTCCCGTCGCCACACCAACCTCAACCCTGACAGCTGGATGAACCCGGCCTTCTGGAGATTCAGCTGGGATGAGATTGGCAACCACGACTTACCCGCCTTCTTGGATTACATTGAGAGGCACACTGGCCAGAAGAAACTCCACTACATCGGCCACTCGCAAGGAGGAACTTCATTCCTTGTCCTGAACTCTCTGCGTCCAGAATATAATGCCAAGTTCATTTCCTTCCACGGAATGGCTCCCGCTGCGTTCTTCAAACATAACACTCATATGATCACATCCCTTGCGCCGCATATTGACCTCATTGAGGTGAGATCTTCCTATGACGAGATGTAGAATGGTAACTCTTTGAACAGTAGATTAAATTCAATCTGCATTTTCAGCCTGCTGCTTTCGCCATAGGCCGAGCTGAAGTCTTTGGTAACCGAGAATTCATAGAGTGGTTCAATATGAATATGTGCGCCGAGTCATCTATTTTCGCGCCTGTCTGCTCTGCCATATGGGTTAGCACTACTTCGGACTACTTCAATACGGTACGTTTCATTCCTAAATGTTTCAAAATCTCTCAATTATCTAAAATTATAGTGTACCATAACATTATTAACTCCTAAAGTAGCTAATTTCTTAAGTTTATTTATGGTTTATGCCCATCCTATTGGGACTTCAAACTGATTTGGTATTTTTCATTAAAGTGACACTTTACTAATGCTTTTTCCATTTTTCTTCAGACCATGATCCCGTTGTTCCTTGGACACTCTCCAGCCGGCTCCTCGATCCGTCAACTCAGTCACTACGCCCAGAGCATCAACCACCACACCTTCAGGCGTTTCGACCACAACCCTGTGACCAACCTCATCACCTACGGACGCAGGACTCCTCCAGACTACGACCTTAGCAAGGTCACAGCTCCGGCGTACATCCACTACGCTGTAAACGACCTGATGACCAACTTCAGAGACGTCGAAATCTTGATCGAAAAGCTACCCAACGTTAAAGTAGCACACTTAGTGGATTCCCCAGTGTTTGACCACTTGGACTTCGTTTGGGGTTCTGGGGTTAAGGCCCGTCTGTATGACAAGATGATTGGGCTCATGAAGGAGGCAGAAAGAAACGCTTTGTAAATAATAATAAATATTTCGGAAAAATAAATTTGTTATTTATAAAATACCTACTGTGTTTTTATAATACTAGTACCTAACCTTTATAATGTTTTGGGTGTTCAATTATATGATCAAGTATTTCCTTTCCACTAGTTCTACGATAGTAAACTATCGCCCGCATTCACAAACGATGCTTGCTTAAGTGAAGCAGCAAATCGAACGCACAGCGTTGAATAGAGCTCTGTGATTGGTTCGTGTGTCTCCATGTGCGTCCACGCGCACTGTGAGACCTCATAATAATGTTTGTGAATACGGGCGTCTGTGACGTGCACATTTATCAACACAATAAAGCTAGTCTTATTAGATAACTAGCTTTCCGCCCGCGGCTTCGCCCGCGTGGTATTTAGTCTGTCACAGAAAAACATTATCGAGCGCGTCCCTGTTTCAAAAACCGGGATAAAAACTATTCTATGTCCTTTCCCGGGACTCAAACTATCTCTATACCTCATCAAAATCGGTTCAGTGGTTTAGGCGTGAAAGAGAGACAGACAGACAGACAGAGTTACTTTCGCATTTATAATAGGTATTAGTATAGATTCATATAATTGCTGAATTGCGTAGTACTGGAAAACTTTAAAATTATTTGATATTGGCCAGTGGAAGACGATCAATACGGCACTATCACATTACGTAGCGTAGGTAAAATCACAGTCAAGCACCGGATTATTAGCAAGTACTTACAAGGTCTTCGGATAATAATATTAATTTTATCAACAAATAATGATCAATTTGCAGATTAGGGCAGGTGACACAAAATTATTTATTTAAATCAATTATGAAATTAAACGCTTTGTTGTTAGAAGTCACTTTGATTGAAGATTTTTTTCACTACCTAAGTAATTATTAAGTAGTAGATACTTTAATAATGTCAGTGCTGAAACTTATAAAAATGTCCTGTGCCCTGAGCATGAAAGACATGATCGTCTAGCAACCACATTCTTTATATAACCGTAGCGGAGCTGTTTAGTTTTTACCCGACTACGGCAAAGCAAAAGGAGGGTTATGAGTTTGACAGGCTATGTATGTATGTATGTATGTTCATGTGTTCCCTTGTAACTTCTAAACTACTTATCAAAATTCGACAAATGACATATCATTAGAAGCGTCTTAATTGTCCGCTGGTTATAGGCTACTTGGGGTTTCACAAAATCGAATGTGGCGCCCTCCAGCGGACAAAACATACAGAGTAAAAAAATAAAGTTAAGATAAATATGCCGTGTTTGGTAACATTTGAAAGCGCTTTACTTGTACATTTCGAATATATATATATATATATTACTAGCATTTGCTTGTGACTTTACCCGTATTTATGGGCTGATTGCATATAATTCAGATCTTTTCGTTCATAGCTTCTTTACTACTTATTAGTTCATCAATTTAACTTTTGTTAATACATATTATGCGCCATAAATACACTTTAACACCAAAATAGTACAAATAATAAAAATTTAAAAAACTAAAACCCAACTACGACAAAAAACGACGCTGAAAAAGTATAAAACAAGATTTTCAGAATACTGAACTGAACGAAGTTGCCAATGTAGTTGCATAGTAATTTTCATGTTTGGAAAGGCGTAGTCACACGTTACTTAACTACCTACCTACCGTAGCACTTTGACAACGTGTGACTGCGGTTTTCCAAACATGAAAATTACTATGCAACTACATTGGCAACTTCGTCGTTTTTTGTCGTAGTTGGGTTTTAGTTTTTTTAGAAACAGATCTAGCGCTTACTCAGTCAGTGCCTGCTGAGGCATGGGAGCGTCACGGGAGGATGTTTTTGTAACATCAAACGTCACCGACTTCAGATCTCATTATATGCTTTGTCACATTAAAATCTCATGTCACCCCGCTGTACCACTTCCGTATCTCAGACCCTAGTTTTAGGCCTATACCATCCGTAACGAGATCTATATTTATACGTGCTCAGGGCACTGACTTAATTTTTAAAATTTTAATTTTGTCGTTTAAGTTCTATCACCGAATAAGTCATTTTCAGCAACATTTTAGGAGCTTGGACGTTACGACGCGTCTTTCGATTCTCCAGCTAACGACATCAATATGTCAAAACCGCAAAAAAATTACTTACGTGGTGATAGAACTTATCCGACGATTTGTCAAATCCGCTTATCAATAGACAGTGCAACCGAGCTGCGACGCTTTTAAAACTCCCCTGCCGTGATTTCGGTAAACAGTTCTACCCAGAGATTGGTAAAGATGCTACGTCTATTGCTGGTGGCTGGCTCGGTGGCCGTGGCTTTGGCCGGAAGGTCCCCTCATGCAGACTTCATTGATGAGCTGGTGGCTAGCAAGCCGTCTGCTAGGTACTCTAACCACATCATTGAAGATGCAAAACTGGACGTGGTAAGTGATATTTTAGCGGTAATTAGACTTAGATTTTGTTCTTTTGGAGCAAACCTTGCCTAGGTGCAGGCCACCGAATTTTCGTTGACCGATAGTTGGGCCCGATTCTAATTTGTATGAAGAATCGGCCGATACCAAATCGGTGGTCTGCGCCTAGGCTTACAGTCAATCTATTACATGTTTTTGGAGTGGAATCTTTGCAAGACATGTTGCATATAATTCAATGTAGAACAATACAGCTTTTTGGCCGCAAGTGGGTATTTGGTAGCTCTATTATGTTAGCTTTTTGTAAGTCCACTGTCCTTGTTTAGTACAATCTTCAGTTTTTTTATAATTGCGATGTCCATGGTTAGCAAAAGTATCGAAAAAATACTCCGAGAGATCTTCACAGTCCGAGAGAGACGTAACTTAATCATCACCATTTCAATCACATGATCCACTGCTGAACAAAGGCCTCTCCCAATGATAATTTAACTTAACAAGTCAAAATTACAGTAGATACGGCACATTTCATGCATGCCGTTGATCCTATGACTGGTGGATTCAACCAGATATAAACAAAAGAGTAGGTGGAGTGCTCATAAAATATTGGTGTTTAGCAACATTTGGAAATCTTTATCAATGTTGTGTAACTGGAGGATTTTGTTCCTTTGTCTTGATGTTAATGATGAACCCATTTGCTTTTAGCATACATTTTGCTTAAAAAAACTTTATCTGGAAATCCAGCATTCAGTTTTTGATGTATTTTTAAAGACAATTTTGTTTTCAGCCGGGTCTAGTAGCCAAATATGGCTACCCCATTGAGTCCCATGAAGTGATCACTCCTGATGGCTACATCCTCACGATGCACCGCATTCCACATGGGAGAGACCGGAACAACAAACCAGTTAGGAACAAGCCAGTGGTCTTCCTTATGCATGGAATGATGTCGTCATCTGCCGATTACTTGGTCATCGGGCCTGGAAACGCAATAGGTAATTTTACTTCTTTGAAACTTAACTTTAAGTAGAGCAAAGACTGGTTAGTTTAAAGATCTTTCAGCTTTTAGCATTCACGAAACTTGCTTTATTTTTGAAATGTTTATTTTTTATGCATGCATGGTTTTGTATTTCTGGATCACTCTGGTCTCAAATTTAGCGCGCTACGAAGTAATGTGATGAATCTTGGTGACTAGATATCCTGGTTTGAAAGGGTTTTCTAAGTGCTTACGAATTAATTACTCTTTCCATTAATTTCTAAAGAAATCAATTTATTGTTTTTCATGAAAGCAATTTTTGTTACATCATAATCCTTATTGATTGTAATACGTTTACACTGCAAATAATTCCGCACCAGATTATTTTAATCTAAAACATTACTTTCATGTTTGTCTTTATTATCAGTTCTTTAGATAGATAACTGTTATTGATGAAAGGGATTGAGTCTGACCTTTACTTAATATTTCCCGCTTAAACAATATCAAGACATAATTACATTCTTTTTGTTTCAATTTCCCAACGTTAGGTATAAAAAACTTCATGTATGCCTCTGTTGAATCTAAATCAATATCGATTTTTGCATTGTCTATAGGCACAGAGCCATTTAATTTTCTATACTATATTGATGCATTCTTAACTTTCAGGTTACGTCCTCGCTGAAGAAGGCTACGATGTCTGGTTGGCCAACGCTCGCGGCAACTTCTACTCCCGTCGGCACACCACCCTCGACCCCAATGACAGAAGCAACCAGAACTTCTGGAGGTTCAGTTGGGACGAGATCGGCAATATCGACTTACCAGCCTGCTTGAGCTACATCGAGAGGGTCACTGGCCAAACCAGATACCACTACATCGGACATTCCCAAGGAGGCACCTCGTTCCTCGTCCTGAACTCTCTGCATCCAGAATATAATAAGAAGTTCATTTCCTTCCAAGCAATGGCTCCTGCTGCGTTCTTTGAACACAATTCTCATTCAATTTACTCAAATCTGGCACCGTATATACACATTCTTGAGGTAAGGCCCACCCAGCGCCCCCTCTTTTGTATTTCTATGATAATAGTAGGATACACCCCATATAAATATTTTTTCTAAACTAGTTTATTTTAATTTTTAGCCTGCTGCTTTTGCGTTGGGCCGCGGTGAAATCTTTGGCAGCCGGGAGTTCATTGAGTGGTTTGCTTTGAACATGTGCACCGTTGGATCCATTTTCGAGCCAATGTGTTCTTCCATAGTGGTTAGCGCTACTTCAGACTACTTTAATCAGGTATGTATAGTTCTTCTATTTAAGATATATTTTGTTTTAGCTGATAAAATGAATTTTTAATGTAATTCCTTTCATTTGCAGACCATGATCCCACTTTTCCTCGGGCACGCTCCAGCCGGCGCGTCGATCCGTCAGTTCACCCACTACGGCCAAGGTATCAACCACCACACCTTCAGGCGCTTCGATCACAATCCCATCACCAACCGCCTCATCTATGGCAGCAGAATACCCCCCGACTATGACCTCAACCTGGTCACGGCTCCTACATACATCTACTACTCTGTCAACGATGCCTCTACCAACTACAAGGATGTCAGAATATTGGTTGACAGGCTACCAAATGTAAAGGGATCCTTCTTAATGGATTCTCCGACATTTGACCATTTGGACTTCATTTGGGGGTCTGGGGTCAGACATCGCCTGTACAACAAGATGATTGGACTCATGAGGAACGCTGAAAGAAATGCATTCTGAATACATGACTGAGATATTTGAAATTTATTTTTGGTCATTTCATTTTCACTTGTTTAACTTCTGACTGATAAGTACGTACTTAAAGTAAGATAATGTTAAATAATAATATGATTTCTAATAGATTTGTGATAACAACAGATAATGTTATTTATTAGACCAACATAGGGTGATAAAATCACAACTAATCCGAATCGTCGGAAGGTTTCCAAGATTGGACAGAATTATCAATAAAATACAATCTAATATCAGTTTTTCTAGAATAAATTGCACATAATTATTAAGTAAAGAAAATCAAGTAAAACACAATATGAATTTGATAATAATAAGTTTAATACGATAACCATTTCATGAAAGTATCGAATATAAGTATGCTAATAGAGGTATACAATATTTACATTACAAAGAAATGTAGAAGAAAATATTGCATGCATACTAATAATTTCGAAGATTATCAAACTAATACGAAATCGGGAAGTGTAAAAAAATAATAAGAAAACAAACACAAAGTTAAATTCAAGAAGTTAAACAAAACAAACATAGAGGTAAATAGTAATGTTGATTTTCTTTAGAAGTCTACCAAATTACACAGTGAAAGGTAATAAAAAATACAAACAAAAAACAAAAACTGGCAGCAATCAAAACTAAATCGTGTGATCTTAAGCCAATTTTGCCTACAAACAAAATTACCAAGATACTGTTACTCGTTAGAGCTTAAATCAACTTTATAAATTAGAAAAATACATCTAGTTTCCGCAACAGATTCAGGGAATTTATCTTAGCATTGGCTGCTAGCTAATCTCTTCAGAAACTAGTTGCAGTGAGACATTACCTTCCCAGCTGGGATTTAATATTGCACTAGTCAACGTAATTAGGTACAGATCCTTAAATTAGTCGTTGGTTTAGATTACTGATAACGTGAGCGTGGAGCGCATCAATACAATCCCGAAGGCATATCAGTGACTTTATGCAAGCCAAAGTTGTTGGTTGACCCCATGGGTGATAAGGTACGCTTCAGATCCGCGTGGCTGTGGGTCCCAGTCATGACAAGACTGGTCATACTCGCCGGCGCATCTCGTAACAAGTGAGCCCCAGAATAGAACCCTGCGTTACTCTGTCCGCGTTTCACTAAGAAAGACTGATTGTTGTAGGAGGTATGGTTGTCGTATGATCCAGTACTCAGTTTTGGATGAGGTAAGAAAAATTTCTGGGAATCCGATTTGGGGATATCGTCTTTTCCTTTGTTGCTCGAAGACCGGGTGTCAAACCTCTGGGCGAAACCATTTAGCCTACTATTCGATCTGGTAACGGGCACCAAGGGAGTTTCCTTCCCTGCGTCACTGCTGGTTCTGGAGCAAGATCGTTGTCTTCTTTCGTAAGGCCACGATGGTTTCTTAGGCTCGGACAGCATCACAATATCTACCATAGAATTCAAACCTTCATCAATCCTGTCCAAACTTTTCGTTAGTTTCTTCGATTCTATTAAGTTAACTATTTCGTCTACTCGGCTGCATTTGGAATTTGACCTCTGGAGAGGAGTGATGGAGCCGATGATAGAAGTGTGATTTTCGTTGTAAAACATGCTGTCGATGTATTCGCGTTGGCGGGAACCTTTTTCGGATGTTTGGAAAGACTCGCTTCTTTTGATTGATGTTTTTCGATTTTCTTCTCTCGATCTAGTTCTATGTCGTTTTTCTCTTCCAGTATCAACTTTGTCTTTTTCCGCCATTGTATTAAATAATGCTCGGCATTCATGGAAGTCAAAACTGGAGCCGGATGGTTTCTTCGTGACTGGGTTTTGACAGCGAGATGCGCTCAATAGGGAGTCAGACCCTTCATCACTTGAGTAAAATGTATCATCATACAAATCAGGTGGCTTATTATAAAGTAATCCTTGGTCGGCCGGTGGGGTGAACAAATGAATCAGACTTTTCGCTTTCCTCGGTGGATGAGGCAGAATTTTAGTAGGTACAATTTCACTTTCTTCATCATCTTCATTACTCTCCTGAGCAAACTCTCCGCTGGAGGTTATTTGAATACTGTGTCTGGTGCTCGTGATAGAGTCTTCTTTTTCGACCTCTCTGTGTTTCTGACATTCCAAGGTTTTGACTGAGACATTAATTTCAGAGGTCTGGTTACATCTTGATGACCTGTCATCAGTGTACATTTCACCTTCTCTGTTGTATTGTTCGGTCTCAGCATGATTAACTATGTTTCTAAGCTCTTGTATGACTTCATCGATGGTCGTTTCATCTTCTTCATCCGATGATTTTTTGAGGTCAACGATCTTCTTGGTTGATTCGAGTTTTTTGTGTAGAGGACGTTTGTTTCGCATCAAATCGTAGGTTTCGTTCTTGACGTTAAAGACTTCGTATACCAATGATTCTCGTTGGGGGTCGCCTTCAGGGCTCAGTGATCGCTCCGAGGAACTTATACCTTCATCTTCAGGTGGGGATGACTCGTCTGAAACAGATAATAGTACAAAATTAAATGTTAGTAAAAGGCTACCTGGATGTATGATGCATTGCACACATTACATGATGTAATATTATGGAATTTTAAAATCAAGTAACACCAACCTCTGTTTTTATGAACCGCGTTTTTTTTCTTAATAGCAAAAGTTTTCTTTCTGTTCGAGTTTCCATGTTCAGATCTCAGCGATGACACCTCTTCTTGGAGCTCACAGCATTTTTCTTTGAGGCATTTTTCTAACGACAGCAGAATGCCCTTTTCTTCTTGTAATATCTGTAATGAAAATGAACACCATATTAAAATGATGATAATATTCTCAAATTCACTCTAGAAGCTTGAAGTTTCTTAGAAGTTTTTACCTTAACACGTTTCTCTAGCAGTTCCAGCTTGCTTCTGAGATCGTCTTTTTCTTTCAGAGCCTCGTTAGCCTTTTCGCTCAGAGTATCAATATCAATCAGCTGTTTCTCGTACCTTTCAATTTCTTTTGCTACTTGTTCATTCCCATTCGGCAGCTTAGAGACCATCTGTTAACATGCATGATTAGATAAAGAAAACTGTTACTGCATTATTATATTGGTACGTAAGTATTTTAATCATTATTATGTTTCGTTCGTTCGTTCGTTTCAGCCAAATGACGTCAACTGCTGGACAAAGGCCTCCCCCAAGGTTTTCCACAATTAACGGTCCTGCGCTGCCCCAGGCTCTTCCCGCGACCTTTACCAGATCGTCGGTCCACCTAGTAGGACGCCTGCCCACCCTACGTCTTCCAGCCCGTAGTCGCCACTCGAGAACTTTCCTGCCCCAACGGCCATCGTCTCTACGAGCTATGTGCCCCGCCCACTGCCACTTGATTTTAGCAATTCTGCGAGCTATGTCGGTTACTTTGGTTCTCCTGCGGATCTCCTCATTTCTGATTCGATCACGATAAAGAGTTTAATTTTGATTTATCTAAAACTTTTTTTTATTAGCTAAGTAGGTAGATTGATCATAATATTTTTATTGTGAGATATAAAATTGAACCAATTAGTAGAGAATGTGAAAAGTAGAGACAGCTTCCCCAGCCCATCTGGCCAGCGTGGGGAGTGTAGACCAAATCCTCCATTTGCCTCTGGTATGTTAGAGAGGGTCGTGCTCCTACAATGGAGACTAAATAATCTGACGACGTGAAAAGTACAAATACCTTTTTCAAAGTGACAATATCGAATCCAGCCTGCTCCAGCTCGGCTTGTATATACAATTTCCTCTGAGGCGTTGGAGCACTGATGAGAAGGGCGTTGATGAAGGCCATCCCAGCTGCCTGGAGGTCTCCTGACCCTCCGGCACTCTGGAGCATCCCCACCAGGAACCGGAAGCGGACCGGCTCTCCGTAACGGAGGCGGAGGGTAGAAAGGGATTCGGAGACCATACTGTGTCCATTGGCTGGCGGGTAGCACGCTTTTGTGAGGAGCTGGAAGTTGAGGATGATATTTTAAAATTGGAAAAGTAGAGTAGAGTCGCTTTATCAGCTTTATTAGTCAAGAAATCAAGTTAAATTCTAGGAATATGGTTTATTAAGTACATATACGTAAATATTAAGACCATCAAAAAGTGGGAGTTATTTAAACAATTATCTAACATTCCACAATTGATGTGAACTAAATATCCAAGTACGAGTTTATTAGGGAAGTCTTGTTATTTAGAGTGACCTTAAAGTAAAGCTGATATGGACGGAAGTAACATGTTTATCTTATCAGAGCGTATAATAATAACATGAAAACATGCTAAGGAAGTGAAATAGAATGCAATTAGGTAGGTATTTCAAATTTAAAACATACAATAAAAAGTCTTGATAATGTATATACGTCAGCACATCAAATCACAAATCCAGTATGATGAGATTAAACAACAAAATGTCTGTACCTGTAACGCCAATATCCTGGACTTGTTGACGGTGGACATGATGCAGACGGTCAGCGTGTAGACGCCGTTGGAGCCGGCTACCAGTCTTCGGACGCAGTCAGGGTACCTGCTACAGCAACTCCACAGGCATTGTCTGAAATTAAAGAAAAACTTGCTTAGTTCACAATTTAATCTAATGGCATAAAATATTTTAGAGCATTGTGGAGTTATAATAAAGTCAATCCGTCTCTAGCCTCAAATCGATTGACTATCTGACTTCCATGAATGTCGACAATCAAATATGGTTCAATCGGACTGACTGATGGCTTAACGTGCCATCTGATGATCTGACGGAATTATATTTTTTATCCCAACTAATATTATAAATGCGAAAGTAACTCTGTCTGTCTGTCTGTCTGTCTGTCTGTCTGTCTGTTACGCTTTCCCGCTTAAACCTCGCAACCGATTTTGATGAAATTTGGCATAGAGATAGTTTGAGTCCCGGGAAAGAACATAGGATAGTTTTTATCCCGGTTTTTGAAACAGGGACGCGCGCGATAAAGTTTTTCTGTGACAGACAAAATTCCACGCGGGCGAAGCCGCGGGCGGAAAGCTAGTGTAGAATAAAAGAAACACATCCCTGCTGTCTATCCCGAAGACTAATAATTCGGGCCTTTTCAAGGTGAGAGTGAATAGGCAATTACAGGGCAGATATGTACCATCCTAGACTGCATCCCACTCAGGTGCGATCGTGGTCAAATAACTGCCTTGTTATGCATTAAAAAAAATATTGATCAAAGATTCAAAGCCCATGTGTAAATGGGAGGGATTTTTTTTTGGATTATGTTCATCCCAACTATCCCAACTAATCCCAACTAATATTATAAATGCGAAAGTAGCTCTGTCTGTCTGTCTGTCTGTCTGTCTGTCTGTCTGTCTGTTACGCTTTCCCGCTTAAACCTCGCAACCGATTTTGATGAAATTTGGCATAGAGATAGTTTGAGTCCCGGGAAAGAACATAGGATAGTTTTTATCCCGGTTTTTGAAACAAGGACGCGCGCGATAAAGTTTTTCTGTGACAGACAAAATTCCACGCGAGCGAAGCCGCGGGCGGAAAGCTAGTTATACATAGTATCGAACCGTGACTCGATCGAGTCTCTCTCGATCGAACTCTTTTACTACTATTGGTCTACGAAGCCAGATGAGATTTAGTTGAATTGAATTAAGTATCCAAGTAATTTTCTAGAAACAGGAGTTTTTTTTTATCTATTACGTATTTTTACTACTAAACATTATAATCTTATCTCTCAACGATAGCTTGTCAGTTTAACTCGTAATCACACCCGCGAATCAGTTACTTCTAAGGTCTACTCAAGCTCAAGGTCTCTGATACAGTAATAAATGTTCCATACTAATTCTTCTACAATCCTTTCAGTATGACACTTTAGTAGGCAGGTAGAGTCTGAAATTAACACGGCTCAAGCTCAATCCATGGCCAAGGGCATAAACTAGTGACGTCACTTACAAGCTAGCTGGTCTAGAAGTGGCCTGCACCTGTAAGCAGGTGACCCTCGCGGCGCAGAAGTTCCAGCAGTAACGTAAACTTAACGGCAATAATGTCACACCATCTAGCGGTTCGCACGTGAACTTACAAAAAAGCCCGCTCGTCCAGAAGCAGCAGCAAGGTCACGCCATCTAGCGACTCTTACGCGAACTGCAACGTCACGCCTTCTAGTGACTTGCACGTAAACTATAACATAATGCCATCTAGCGGCTCGCGCGTGAACTTACAAACAAGCCAGCTCGTCCAACAGTGGTCTGCGCCTGACAGCGGGCGGCCGGCCATCTAGCGGCTCGCACGTAAACTATAACATAACGCCATCTAGCGACTCTCACGCGAACTGCAACGTAATGCCATCTAGCGGTAGGGACGTGAACTTACAAACAAGCCAGCTCGTCCAGCAGCGGCCTGCGCCTGACAGCAGGCGGCCCCCGCGCGCCCTCCCCCGCCTGGCTGAGCTGCACGTTGCGCAGGAGTTCCAGCAGCAACGTCACGCCATCTAGCGACTCTCACGCAAACTGCAACATAACGCCATCTAGCGACCCGCACGTGAACTGCAACGTCACAGCATCTAGCGACGCGCGCGTTTACTTACAAACAAGCCAGCTCGTCCAGCAGTGGCCTGCGCTTGACAGCGGGCGGCCAGCCATCTAGCAGCTCGCACGTAAACTATAACATAACGCCATCTTGCGACTCTCACGCGAACTATAACATAACGCCATCTAGCGGCTCGCGCGTGAACTTACAAACAAGCCAGCTCGTCCAGCAGCGGCCTGCGCCTGACAGCAGGCGGTCCCCGCGCGCCCTCCCCCGCCTGGCTGAGTTGCACGTTGCGCAGGAGTTCCAGCAGCAACGTAACTCCATCTAGCGGCTCGCACGCGAACTCTTGGACGAAGCTGGAAGTAAAAAAAAGATTTTATTTAAAGGTGTTTTGAGGGTTCATGTTAGGATTCACCATCATTCATCAGGTCCATTATGCCCGTTTTCACCATCAATCTCTAATTTTAAGTGATCCCTATGTAAAAAAAATCCTGTTAATTGTTACCATAGAGGTCACTTAAAAGTTAGGGTTTGAAGGGTGAAAACGGGCATTAGTCTCTCTCTACCTCAGGCAACGACTCTCTAACGTTCCAGTTAATTGAGATTTTGGGCCTAACTAACTTTCCACGCTGACCAGACGGGTTGGGGAGGCATGGTTCGCATATTTGCCCCTTAGTCACCTTATAGATCACATCCACGGGAAGATAACTTCTGTTCATTGCTGAACAAAAGCCTCCCCATGTATTTAATAATAAATATCCTTGGACATTTTACACTGCGCTTCTAGTCCCAAACTAAGCAAAGCTTGTACTATGCGTACTAGACAACGGATATAAACCAGTCCAATACCATTAAATAATAATTATGTTCATGCACACAAATGTTTGTTACTGTGCGGGAATCGAACCCGCAACCTCCGGAATACCTACTAGTCCGTTTCGAACCACTACCAATACACCAAACGGCCGACATTTATCAACATTTCTTAGATCTTTTAAATTACATCATAACTTCAATACATAAAACGAATTATTTTCCCATTCTGCAGCCTAATGACCATAAATGACAGTGAATTTTTCTTCGCAAACAATTATCAAGGCGGCAACAGTCTTTGCGAATTCCTTCAAGAGAAATGTAAAAATAAGTACACAGGAGTATTCCATTAGAGGAACCAAGATGGATAATAAACACAACCGTATAATTTGAAAGCATAAAGAAAAATTGCAGCCGCACATAAAATAATGCAGTTTCTGTGGAATCGTCCTTGCAATTTGAAGTACAAAAACTCAAAATGTGGGGCCATTAAACGAGCGGGTGGCACGACACGAGCTATTTTATTTAACGCGTTCTATGAATTGATTTTAGATGTAACATTTCAGACATGTAATATGAAATTACATTATTGCTTTTTAAACGCTGACAATAAATTTTTCTTGCACCAAAAGAATCAGTGACAAGTTAATAGAAATATGTAGGTACTGAGAATTTAATATGAACACATTCAAATTCAAGTTGTTTACTTGCAGGATTGAGACTCCCTGTTTTGATTCGATCATTTTTGGTATAATGCATATTTGGAACATTGTGATTACACAAAAAGCTTTTAATTTGAAAAAGCACATTTTTCACATTTCATGGCCACAAAATAAGGTGCCCGTGTAATGCAACTCAAAAACGCATCTAACCAACCACACCTCTGTCACGCGGATGCAATTATGTTTCAGACTAACGGTAGTAGGACTTATAAAAGTTTTTGTATAAACGTTTTATTGTTGACAAATTGTTTAGTAATTATTCTAAGTTTTGGTGAGGACATCCCAATTTAAACTCAAGTCTTGACTAACCTTTTTGCATCTATAAAATACGAGTACGTATCAGGAGTGCAAAGAAAACTGTAAATTATGATTTTGCATCGATAATATGGACTTTGTTACTTTGATAAAATTAATGGTCGCACGTCGTTAAAATTTTATACACCTATTAAATCTTAAGTGAGAGAGTAGTTAGGTATTATACTTACAAACTTATCTGTTTCGCATACAAAGTCAATGTGGCTTTAAGTGCACGTTGTACAAATATATTTTTTATTCCTCTGCCGTGTTGTGAGCTTATTTTTATATCCTTGTAATACTTGTAATTTAAAAGTGACAAAGGAAAAGTTATAATAGTATAGACATCCTACACATCATCCGACATATAATAGTATACAGTATCCTGCAAGGTGGACCGACGACATCGTAAAGGTAGCAGGGAAGCGCTGGACGCAGGCCGCTACCAATCGATCAACATGGAAAGCATTGGGGGAGGCTTATGTTCAGCAGTGGACGTCCTATGGCTGAAATGATGATGATGATGAAAGAAAAGTTCAACAATACTAACATTTAATTTCTTCGAAATATGTAGAATATATTTTATAACTTACTAAGTAACTGTTTAAAAGAATGTATTTGCATACTTTTAACCAGATAACTGCAATTGTGATTATTTTTTTAGATATAGGACATATTTTTATACACTATTAATTATAATTAGGATTTTTTAATAGTCGATTTGCTAAGAATCAATATGAACTTTTATGATTAAAATGGATAGTTTCAAACATTTTTAATGTTTTTACGGGAGACTCTTAAGTGATTTACTCTACTTAATGCATGTTTCTAATCCTTGGTCGATTAAGTGTAAGACCATAAAGCTATTTTGGTGTTAATTAAGTTGCTACTGTGTAGAGAGCTCCATGGGGTTTATTGCCCATAAACTTTATTGATATTAATCTAGAAAATGATATCTAAAAGCCGTTCGTTTGAAATAACGAGGTTTTAAGTATAGCGTTCACTTTATGCTTATGGTTTAATTAGTGAAGTTTTGTGACTGCAGAATAATGGATTCCATAGTTATTACAATAGTTAATGCAAAAGTATTTATTAATAAATAGGAATTTGCCTGTCATTAAGAATATTTTACTACTGGTAGTTATGGGGCTTAAATATTTATAAAACGCCTGGAATTCTCTGTTCCGGCAGTTAAGAGTAAGATAGCCAGTTCCTCCGTGGTTGAGGATCGATTCCACCTTCGGCCTGATCATCTCTTACCATCAGGTGAGATACAGGCCAAGAGCTTCCTCGTTGTGGTTAAAAAAAATAACTGAAAGAAAATTGAATATACTGAATCCTCAAGTTAACCTAATCAAGTTAATATGTTCTATCCTTGCTGAGGTGTTCTTGTACTTTTGATCGCGTTAACATTTATTTTAAATGTAAACGAAACACCTTTATTTCCTTTTATTTGACTCTACATATTAATTTTACAAAAAGTTTTTGTAACTAACAGGTGAAAGTTGACTAAAGTTTTTTAAAACGACTTTTGCATTGTCATTCTAACTCCTTACATAAGTACATAAGTTAACTAGTAATTTTATTTTAAAACTCAGTCAATCTCCGGTATGAGGTGCAAAAACGTAAGATGTGATTACTCATAGATAACATGGTAATTACGATAAACAAATAAATAAAATTGGAGTCTGTAAAACAACAAGTTTCTGTCAAAACAACAGTTCCTATTAATTGCATATCAAAAATAGATCTTTATAATTTTTTCCTATTCTGTTTCGCCTAATCTCCCAGCTGATCTAACACTGCCTTGCAAAATTATATTTAGACTTTCAAAATTGCAATATTTTTTTAAGTACAGTTACAGTACAGTTGCAGACCAGAGTATTTTGAAAGAATTTTCATGGCAGGTAGCCGATGCTATAAAGGGTAACCCAGGGTGATGTTATTTTGGAAAAAATAAAAATTAGGAATAAAATTTGAGAAGATAGACTAGAATCTAACGCAGGTGAAGCCGCTGCCGGGCCGGAAGCTAGTCATTTTTATGTTATGTAATAAATCATAATAAGTAGTTATTATGCACTTAATCAGCTCAATCAATCATCACATTGAGTTCAAAATCAACATTTTGAATTCAATTACTTAGATTACATTTATAGACAGCTTATGAAGCTCATTATAAACTAATTAAAAAGACTGTCAGCACACTAATTATAACAAAATACGGATACGTCAACAATATTGGCCCAATAATGTCTGTGGACAGATAAAGTTTGACAAATCACAAGAGTTACGCCCGTATTCACAAAACTATGCTTGCTTAAGTGAAGCAGCAAATCGAACGCATAGCATTGAATAGAGCTCTGTAATTAGTTCGTGTGTGACCCTGTGCGTCCACGCGCACTGTGAGACCTCATAGTAATCTTTGTGAATACAGTCGATAGTCTGTTTCACATAGCAGAATTCATTAGCTCTTATAAAAATCTTTTATTTTACACCAGTTATTCAACTATGCATATCAATCAGAACTAGAAACGTCTTTTTGTTTGTATATGTTACAGGAAATGTATGAATTCTAGGAATTGTATACTATTCCTAGGAAATGTATACAATTCCGAAGCTATTTAGGAAATGTATAAAATATTGCTTCAGAGATTTTTTAATACGCACATATCCTAGGACATGTATACTTTTCCTAGGAATTTTATAGAATTCCAATATTGTATTAGGAAATGTATAAAACTAAGCGGCACAAGTGCGGTCGTGTGATCGGGTGCCCCTCAGTACGCCTAAAATTTCATTTAGACAAACCACATTGACCGATAGGTACTTTTAACTCACAACTATTATTGTTTAGCCTGAAAGTTGTTTTCGCACTATTATACTTTGGCTGAAAAAAATATTTGCCTATTGGCACACCTTTCTTTCGGCATCACGCATATTACGCTGAAGTATTGGAAAACCCTAATTTTAACATCTCTTTTATTGAACTGTTATTGACATAAAGGTTTTAGTACTCCTGTAGCTGGATAACAAAGTCTCGGTTAGGTTAGGTTAGACTTGCGACCTTACACATACACAGCGGCCGCGGCGCGGTAGCGCCATTTAAGTTTCGGAGAAAAAAAGAAATCTTAATTACTACATTTCCGATTGCTGTTTAGGAAATGTGTAAATTTCCTAGGAAATGTGTCTAATATAATTTACATCACACATTTCCGGGAGATTTTAGGACTTATACACAAATCCTAGGAATTGTATACAAAGACGGATTTCATACATTTCCTGTAACATATACATTTGATTTACGTAATAGGAAGTTATTGGTATCTCTAAAGCCTAGATTCTGAATTGAAATTGGCTAAAAGAATTTGAACTTCCTAGTAGCACTTTGGCTAAATTAATGACTGGCTTTTATTCGTTGACTAGCGGCCGCCCGCGACTTCGTACGCGTGGATCCCGTTTTACTCCCTTAGGGGTGGAGTTTCGTAATATCCTTTCTTAGCGGATGCGTACGTCATAACATCTACCTGCATGCCAAATTTCAGCTCGATCCGTCCAGTGGTTTGGGATGTGCGTTGATAGATCACTATGTCAGTCAGTCACCTTTGAGTTATAATATGTATATTATAGATAGATACATTGAGCAGTGAATAAGTAGGTTTTGATTGATTTGCAAGTAAAGTTAATAGTTGTTAGGTACATTATTGAAAAATGCTAGGTAGTGCCCGCGACTTAATCCACGTAAGATAACATCGAGTAGCTTTTTTCTTGTTTTCTACTAACTACATAAAATAATATGTTATTTTCTCTCCTATAATATTCGCCATTGTACAGTCTAAAGTATATAAAGCTACCAAATGTTTATTTCTTCAATCGATTGTAATATAAATAAAGCTTTTATTACCTCTTAAAAAGTTTTAAGAAAGTTTCAGATCAATTAACTCAAGACTTGTTATTTACATTTATGCTTAGTATAGTTTGGAGCTAGGTGATTTTGGGTGATAATTAAGACAATTTTTTATTCAAAGCTGGAAGAAAGTTTGTTATCATCTTTTACACACAGTTATCTTTTGGTACAGGAGAGTGCTTTGAGATGTCAAACGTCAGCGAGACTTCAAATATGCTTCATATTTGTATGCTCTGTCACGTGACGCTCCGATACCTCAGTCACTGACTGATTTAAGCCCAGACCTATTACTCTTACTACATAATTACTTGATCACTAAACCACAAGTGCTACTGACGATAATGCGATCCGGATGCATCACAAAGTGCTAAGTGTAATTAAAGTAATTTATTACTTTTTTGTGTGCAGTTGAAAGTGTGAAATGTTAATGGTTAAAGAAGTGACTTTTTTTTTATCCACAACGAGGAAGCTCTTGGCCTGTATCTCACCTGATGGTAAGTGACGATCAGGCCGAAAGTGGAAGCGAGCTTCCCCCGGAATCCTCAACCACGGAGGAACTGGCTATCTTACCTCCAACTGCCGGAACTACTACTACTACTGACTTACCTAGGAAAAGACAGTCTTAGATCAGCTCTAAGTTTGGTGAGTAACTCGCTTGGGGTGCCAAACTGCCTAAGGGTCATCTCTTCGCCTACACTGAGGCATGGGTTCCTGAAAGAAATTATAGCGTTTAATACAATTGAGTAGTTATTGTCTGAGTTTTAGCCCGCGAACATTTCAGACAGTAAAAAGTGTATTTAAAAATATTAGAGTCATAAATTCCCAACTGTTTCTTATTTTACTTATTCCTTCTAGTTGAACTCCGGCTTTTAAATTGTCATGTATGGAAATGTCATTTTTATCCAGAGTTCATCCTAGGTGTAACTTTATTAATAAAGGAGTATGTATTTTAAGATGAGAGATATTTTATGGTTTTTAGGTAAAGCTTTCAGGAAAAAAAGATTTAGCCATTCTAAATCTATCCGTTGGAGCCGAAAAGTTCTCAAGTGGCCACCACGGGCTGGAAGACGTAGCGTTTGCAGGCCTCCTACTAGGTGAACCGACGATCTGGTAAAAATCGCGGGAAGAACCTGGATGCGGGCAGCGCAAGACCGTTAATTATGGAAAGCCTTGGGAGGCCTTTGTCCAGCTGTGGACGTCATTTGGCTGAAACAAACGGTGGTTATAGATACCTGAAGTCCTTGCTGCCCTGGCTGGGCAGCGTCCTCGCCTTGGTGGGGTCCTGCCCCGACTCCAGCTCGTATAGGCTGCCGCCGCCCGTCTTCTTGCCCCATTTCTTCAGGGAAGTCGCGTAGTCTTCGGGGTTGTAGATCGGTGGTCGCTGCTTATCCTGAGGATAAAGAATATTTAATTAGTTACTTAAGATTGATGAAGAATTCACTACTGATATCCTCACATAGGTTGTTAGGTTATACCTACATAATATTGGAAAATCCAGGCAATTGTCTTGGGGCTATGCAATTGAATATGTTGCTAGTTAAAAGTACTTAAGTGTTTAAATTGTTACGTATGCATTACTCGCAATTACAAAAAAAAGAATTTCACAAAAATCTCCAGCCTATCTAGTCTGCGCTGTGTAAAACTTCCAAGAATATTTATTTACTAGCGGCCGCCCGCGACTTCGTAGGTACGCATGGATTCCGTTGAACTACCTTAGTAGTTGAATTTTGCAAAATCCCGTCTTAGGTTCTAAAAGGAACCCCCATGAAAAATTTGAGACTCCTAGCACTTGTAGTTTCTGAGATTTCGTGATGAGTGAGTAAGTTAGTGAGAAAAATTCTTAGTGTTTTTAATTTACGAACCGTGCAATTTGATTAACCAACCCTAATACCCCGATTGTTTTAGCTCCATAAAGTTCTAGACTTGTAGACTCTTGTCAAATCATCAGAGTTTTTACTAAGAAGAATGTACTTAAATCTCACGAATTCATTCTGATAAACCACGCACTCATTAGCGACCATCAGTCACATAACAATGGCGGCATGACAGTCCAGAGAAAGCCTACTATTGTGGCATTCAATCAGAAATGTGTGAAAGTGTGTGGTAAGTTTGAGGCTAGTTTAATTAACGTAGTGTTGGTGCGCATTACTGCGTGATGCTGGCATTTTTGACAGCTGTCTCATCATCGGAGATGTAGTTGGAAACATACGATCTAAGTAAAGCTGGAAACACACCAGCTAGTTAAACCGATAAGTGAGAAAAAGTACACCCAAAACTGACCATGTGTGTGAAATCTGAAGTTCAAAATCACACTGTCAGTTTTTAGGATGTCCGTTACTTCAACTGATCAGTTTAACTGACTGTGAGTGTCCAGCCTTAGCCTACAAAAATATTACAATTTTTAATTATTGTAGTTATTATAGAGGATCTATGAAAGTGATCCACCGAGGTGAACTAAGCAGATGGACCACGACCCAACACTGGATAATGCGATGTTTTGGCCAAAATATAGGGCGGGGAGAGAATCGAAAAATATTTGTATTTTTGTAATTAAAAGTCTTAAGAAAAGCATTATGCCATGGAATACATCTGAATGTAGGTAACGCAGCGTATAGTCCAAACATTAGGTGAATCAGAGTGGCTACTTTCCAACACTGAAACCGTATTTTCAGGTCTTTCTGTCTTTCTATCACTGTCACTCGTGCTAGAATCATACTGTGAAAAGAGGGATGAAAAATAGTTACAAAGGACAAAAAATTGAAGCATTCTCGGCACGTACTTTCGTGAACGTTCCATAAAAACCAATACTAAGTGAACCATTGGACGTGCAAAGTGCACGGTCTTTTTGTATTACTATCAAGTAAAGAATTGTGAATTATTGTGATCGTTAGTGACGCTCAATTTACCAAGGTGCCATTTTGCGAGATCGGATCCAGCTACTAAGAAAACTTATTGTGACCACTTCAAACTGTACCGTGTTTGAATCTGAGAAAGTGACCGTCACGGAATAGTGTCGTTATGTCGTTAATAATAGTCGTTGTCGTTAAATTATGGGGTTAACGACGGTATCAACGGGAGAGACCACCCAGCGTTAGTCGGGTCACGTATAGATAAAGAAAAATATTATTAAGTTTTAATTTCGGCATACGTTGCTCTCTCAAATGCAACTACTAATTCCTACTAATATTATAAATGCGAAAGTTTGGATGTCTAGATGTCTGGATGTCTGGATATCTGGATGTCTGGGTGTTTGTTACTCTTTCACGCAAAAAAATATTAAACGGATTTTGATGAAACTTTACAGTATTATTGTTTATAACCCAAAATAACATATAGGCTATAATTTATGACGATCTGTGACAAACTAAATTTCACGCGGGTGAAACCGCGGGCAAAAACTAGTTTCAAATATAACTTAGCTGAGAGAGTCTTTATTGGATTTTATAAGCTGTTATAAAATATGTTTTATTTTTCTAGCTATCTTATTTGAGATCTCAATTATAAGTTTTTAATTATCTTTTCACTGTCATCTTAATCAGCTATACTAATCAATGCGAGAATAGAAACACAAAAATAATCTTATCATATTTTGAAGAACTACAATATTATTATTATTTCTATTTTCGCTTTCTTTCCAATCGTAGCATCACATTATTAGAAAGAACCTCAGATCATAGAAAGAGAATAGATATGAAGTCGCGCGTAACTACAACGAGAACCAGTGTCCCCACATTTCCCCCACCACAGCTCCCACACACACATTCAACTGTGTAAAAACAAAGCGACTGAGAGTCTACGACAACATGTGCAGCCGGCTTAAAAGTGCTGTGATTGGCCAGAAGGCGTGCCTTATGGCCAATCAATGGCCGCGTGACGTGACGCACACTTTGAAAAAAGCAATTAGAGAGAAGAAAGATAAAATGGAGTCGATAAGATATCGATACTTTAAATCCTGGGGGCAAGGCTCGAAATTGGTTTAAAAAATGCTTGTATGATTACAAAATAGAAAATTATAATTTACTTCTATTTATCGATAATAGGAAACCGCATTAGAACACGAGCACGGCACTATGTTACGACCGGCACATGCGACCGTACTGTGTATTTTCACACGACAGTGGATATCGGAAGAAATTAAATACATTGCGCAGTAGTTGAGCATGACATAAAGTGGTTGCTAACTAAATCGTCAATGTACAAGTGTGTTAGAATTTTTATCACCACTGATTTCGATATCGCAGTAACTGTTACGGCACTGAATTCGTTCGTAAAAATGTTTAGTTTTTTTTATTTATAAGCAAAATACCAATGGATTTGCAATACTTACATGTAGTAAATGACTCCATTGTTTCTGTAGTTCTTCGTTTCACTTGTTTTATTGCACGTAACGACGCATTATCCAAAATATCGGAGAACATTTCCTTAGTACGACTGAATCGCGACTAACCTAGCCACGCGGCCGATGTTCGTTTCTGAGCATATCGCGGAGACACGCGCCACGCCCCCGTTTCACATCTATTCCCTTCTATGATCTGAGGAAAGAACAATAAGAAGAAATGTTCTAAGAAGTGGTATAAGTAGGTAGTCATAGTCACTTACGATGCCGTCAACCGGAAACGGAAACGAACCGCACACGATCGACACGGCATGGCATAGATTCGATTTTAACTAGTCATCTTTGATATTTCTTTTCCGCAGTCTCTTCTTATGAAGATTTGCAGTATCTTAGAAATACAAGCTAACAATGAGTAGTAATTTGTACATTAAGCTAAGAATCACTGAGCCCAATTAACTAAATAAATATACATCTGTAAAATATTATAAATGTCATTTACTTTAATTAAAAGCGTTAGTTTACGATTGAACTGAGATACATAATACCGTTACAGATTTAAATTTCTTAGGTACTATACTGCATACGTACGTACCTATCTATAATTTGATCAAACTTTCATTTAACAAGCAAAAAAGTACTACATATAATATATTATCTAATGGATTACTTGTAATGATCTGAAAATATCCTTTGTATTTCGTAGTTAATAGTACTTACCTATTAGTAGTAGGTACTCGTAGTGTAGAAATTGATTAAAAACAATTTGATTTACAATGGGCACCAGAAAAAGTAGGTACCTAAATACAAATTATAACATAGTATACAAAATCAAATCAGCTAAATATTTCTTACGTGAAATTCACAAGATTTTCTCTCGCATCACAACGTTTATAAACATCACTATGACGCAACACACAGCCTCATAAGTCCGAGCAACAGTGGGCAATAAAAGAGAATTTTCATCTAATTAATTTATAACGAAGAAAGCTATGCAGGTCGGTGAACTGGTAGGTATCTCAGATTATAATAATTGAAGCCAGGTGTGAAGGCTGCTCGTGTGTTGAGATCGAGTTTGGACAGCAAGCGATTCATTTGTTTTTGTGGTTTTTTCTTTTTGGCCAGCGACTTTTTTTCAGTATTGAACTATGACAGCTAGCTTTTCACTTTTTTTTTGGTTAATGACTACTTTTTGTTTTTAATCGACAACGTTTTTGTGCCAGACACTTTTTGGTAAAAGAAGAATAATAATTGAAAGATTAATAGAATAGATAGATTTTTTTTACCACCATACCTTTATGATTGCTGAGAGCCTGGACTCAGCCGTCTATGGTCGCTTTGTTGACTTACACATTAGGCATGTGAAGCTATACAGCGTCCATAGATGAAGAGTCAATATACAGAGCCCATGATGTACGACTAACATATTTCTAAGAACATTGTTACTAACTCTACTAATATAGTCTCTAAGTTCAAATTGTTACTAACCAAACTATGGACTGCTTTTGTCTGAAAATAAATGATTTTTATTTTATTTATTTTATAGTTTTTGTGCCAGCTACTTTTTGCTATAAACAAGTGAAGAGATTAATGTCATTTGATGACAAATACATATTTTTTTGCGGCCTGTGTCCAAACTCTTTTATAGTTGTCTTTTCTTTTGTGACAAATAGAAATAGTCTGATGTCATAAGGTGTTATAGTCAATTTTGCCTAATATATTCGGGTTTTAATTAAGGTTTTAAACCTTTGTTTGTCACCTGTCATTCGCTTAGCAGAGGGAAGTCGAACCTTAATTTCGAACTTCTCCTATGTTCTTCTGATTAATTTCGTTGCGGGTCCAATGACAGTTTAATTTTCCCCCGGGACAAACTTGACCTTCATTGGTTGGGTTTTTATGGCGGTCAAGCTGTAGATCCTGGCTACACAGGAGTTGCAGTGGTGGTAACGAGAGGTGAGAATAGTCCCGTAATATATTCGGGGCTTGGCCATAAGAGTGAATTCTAGATGATCAACTAGATACTCGGAATGTCCAAGAGCGTCGCATCTAATAGCAAA